TATACCATTTTTTAAGGAATGTACAAACTGCCATCTAAAATATTTATTTTCTTCATTGACAGAAAAGTCACCAACAATAGTTTCAATATTTTTTGTTCCAACTAAACTTTGGTATATTTCATTGACATATGTTTTATCTGCTTTAGTGTTTAAGGTTTCTTGTAAGTTTGTAATATCAGAGATAGAATGTGTATGTCCAACGTCACTTTTCCTGTTTAAGGTTTCTTGCAAGTTTGTAATATCAGATATAGAATGTGTATGTCCAACGTCACTTTTCCTGTTTAAGGTTTCTTGTAAGTTTGTAATATCAGATATAGAATGTGTATGTCCAACGTCACTTTTCCTGTTTAAGGTTTCTTGCAAGTTTGTAATATCAGATATAGAATGTGTATGTCCAACGTCACTTTTCCTGTTTAAGGTTTCTTGTAAGTTTGTAATATCAGATATAGAATGTGTATGTTGTTTTTGTGGATATGTTCTATCTGTCCATGCGAAAATATATTCTTTTGTTGCATCTACATATCCAGTTATCCATGTCAAGTCTGCTTTTGTATTCCTTAACTCTGTAACACCTTTCTCAAGCTCTTTCAACTGTTGTCCATCTTCCATTAAAGCTCTGTCATGACTTGAAACCGTTTGTGCAACATATCTACAGTTTCTTTGTCAGCTTTATTTTCAACATCCTCTTTTGTTGCATATGTTGCATCTGCTCTGTCATGTTCTTCTTGAACTTTTTCAATGACATATTCTTTGTCAGCTTTGTTGTCAACATCTGCTTTCAAAAGAAGTTCATTTATAGGTTTCTCGTTTAAATTTCCTTTTGTTGGATTTATACAGACAGTATTGTTTTTATTGTCTTGAAATAGAAACTCATCTGTCATAGGGTTTATTGTCAGTTTTAGGTTTCCTTTTTCAATGACTCAGATATTTTAGCATAGTTTGAAAAGTTTGTTTTTGTTCTTATTTAGAGCTTGCATAATGAGTTGTCGGTTGTGTTGTATTTCTCTCATAGACGCTGTTTCATTTGACATTTTATTATAGATAAAATATGCTTCCAATAGAAAAAGAAAATTCAAGAGTTGCTACAACTAAACCATTAGATGAACTTTTTACTAATGTCGGTCAAAAGTTTGACTTAGATACTATAAAGCATGAAGGCTATCGTTTTGACTACCATTAAGATGGTTAAGAGACCCATCTGTTACTAAATCTATTGGCTTTCGAAGAATAAAATTTGTGTCTGTAGAAGATAAAAGTTTTCCATTTATTGTAAGGTTTCATATAGATTATATATCTGAAGGGAAACGAAAAATGTGGGAAGAAATTGAGCTAATACAAGTTGACCTTTCATCTTCTCTACAGACTGCGTTAAAAAATATAGAAGATAAAATAAATTCATGTTATGCAAAATATGCTGATGAATATGCAAATACCGAGAGCACACTTTATGTGAGAATTGTATATGACAAACAAAATTCACAAGTGTCATTTCAAATCTACGAAAACAATCCAAATAAAGACGAACAAATATATACAGAATTCACTGCAATGTCATGGTATTATTTGCAAAGAATGTTAAATCAGAAAGTTGAACTTCCTTTAGCAAATATTTACAGTCGATATGCAAGAGATGAACCATATTTATTTAAAGATGTTTTCGACCAAGATGCTATTATTGTTCATGCTTCATTTTCTGGCGCCCAAAACTCTTTCTTATGCTTGGCAAATGACTTTTACGAAAAACCTACAAAGCTATATGAACCGCCGAGTGGAAGTATTTCAGACTTTCAAGTATGGTTTACTACAGATGGAAGAAAAAGAATAATTCCATTATACCATGCGTTTTACTTAGAACTTAGTTTCATATACAACTACTATCGAACGTTAAAAATATAATTTTTTAATACGGTTGAGGTGTTGGATTTGGTTGCCAACTAGACTGTGGTGCAGGTTCAGGTTGTTGTATAACAGGGGCTTGTTCTTCTGGTTCAGGGTCTTTAGGTATAATACCAACGAACTGACCTACTCTTTTACCAATATTTTTGACACCGTTCCAAATTCCTCTTCCGACAGATTTTATTCCATTCCATATACCTCTTCCAACTCTTCTGAAGAAGTTTCCAATACTACTGAAGAAACCCATTTTACTACGTGTAAAAATCTAATGTCCACCTAGTCTCTTACGTTTCCTGTTGAGTTCCATAGCATTCTTTAACTGGAGCTCATACATTCTGTTTCTCCTCTGGTAGAAAACATATTCTGGGTCAACTCCTGTGTTCGCGTCATCTGCATAAAGTTGTTTATATCCCACTTCAGGGTTTGTATAAAACTCTTTCCATCTCATATTTGCATACCATGGTGGCAAACCTAACGCAGCGTCATTTGACATGGCAGTTTGCATTTGTACATCTGTTGGCACTTGACCATAGTTTGCCATTGCAGTTTGTATTCTAACTTCATTTGGAATATTCTCTGGGTTTGGTTGTCCAGGTTGCTGTGCATTCGCTAAGTTCTGTGCGTCCATTTAATATTAGATAAAAATATCTCTTACGAGTACATATGCTGAACATTTGCAGGCATTGGTTCATCTTCATATTCTCTGTACTTTTCTGCCACGTCAAATAAATAAATGACACAATGGAAAAAACCTAAAACAAGTAGTCCTATTTCAAACCACATTTACTTACTAATAAAATTTCTTTGTTATGACACTTTCTCCAGTTTATGGGACCTCTCTCATACTCTATCTTGTCATATCTAAACTCATAGTCATGTATGTCCTCTAACCATCTCATAACGGTTTCCAAACCACTTTTATCGGATGTAAAGTAAAAGCATGGATGGCTATGTAAAACGTCTAAAGTTTCTAAAGAGTCTCTCAAAGTCCAGTCTACTTGGTATTGAAAATCCCATGTGTTATAGAACGGCGGGTCCACTATAAAGAAAACTTTTTCCTTGTCTTTATATTTTTCATACAACTCTGTCCAATAACATCTCACAAACTCTATACCCTCAATATATTTTTCTATGTCCTCTTTGAAAACATTTGTATAGTTAAGATATAAAACTTTTGACATAAATGTTTCAATGTCATGAACTCTTATAGAACCACTATATAATAGTCTAGCAGATATACTATCCCAGTCTATATATTCTGCTTTTTTCAAAACCTCTCTCACAATATTTTTCTTATCTAATGGTATACGTTCCATCTTACCTATAGGTATCTTTTCTTTTAACTCTTTCAATATATTGTTTGTGTCTGGAATATGTTTGAGACGGTCCATATAGTTGTCGAAGTCATTGCATATAATCTTTGAGTCTGGGAATATTGTATGACATAAATGGGATATATAGAAACTTCCACCGAACAAATCTACAAATGTTAGACCATTCGGTAGTTTCTTAAGTTCTCTCAATATAATATCTTTACATCTACTCTTATTTCCAAAGAACGGTAACGGTGGTTTTGTAAAATTCATTTATATATAATAATAAAAATGTTTTTACCCGAAAAGTGACAGAAAAGTGACAAAGCATGAAAACATATATAATTTGTGAAAAGCGACACATTATATAATGTTTTCGACCCAGAAGAAGGCTTCTTCCCAGAAGCAATGGAGGAAGAAGAAGAGTCCTCCGAATTCACACCAGAAGACTAACAATTTTCCGAATATAAACTTCATTTATACTAAACATCTTCAGGGCTAGAGGGCGCAACGCGCCTGGAAGCCCCACTACCTTTTTTTTTTTTTTTTTTTTTTTTTTTTTTTTATAACATCATCTTTATTCATTTTTCCATCATAATCTAAATCATTTAATAACTCGGCAAATTTTTGACAATTTCTTAAATAATATTTATTAACTTCATAACCCGCCTCCTCTAATATATCCTTTATTTCCTCATTTGTGAATCCCAATTTCTTAACGTTGTTAGTTGTGACGCTCATTTATCATTAAATAAAAAAATAAATTATTCAAAAAATGTAAGACATGAATTTTCAAAGTTTATTTTTCATTCATGAAAATAATTATTTCTAATTTCTTTTACTCTCTCGTACATACTAGATTTAAAGAATTCAGAACATTTCCCATAATCTCCTAAATGTTTTCTTATCCCTAACGTGTGCCAGTTATTATATGAAACTGTATAAACTTTATCTTTATCTTTACACCTTTCATCACTTCCAATATATTTATATTTCAGTTTTGATTTAGCATTTTCATATTCATTAGCGTTTAATAATTCACAGTCTTCCTTTTTAAATAAATGTTTTATGTATTCAGGATTTAATACTCTACGTTTATATGCTCCTAACTTAGTTCTAAAGGTTTTTCTACAAAATTTAGGAATTCCATCCTCTTTAATGTCATCAATGATTTCCATTTCATTATTTTCAATTTCTTCTTCTCGTTTATGAGGTCTTTGATTATGACTCCATTGATTCCATGAAATTAAATATTCTTTATCATTATATTTATACCTCATTAGCTTATTTTGGCTTTCATATTCATTTAATAATTCACAATCTTCATTTTTAAATTGAAGTTTAACCCATTCAGGATTTAAACAATGTTTAATTAATCGCGGAATATCTGACATCATCTATATATAGCTTCTTTTATAAAAAAAAATAAAAAATAAATTATTTTAAAATTAATGTTAATTTTTTAAATGTGTTTATAAATTATATTTTAATGCATCGTCTATATATAGATGTAACAAAAAAAGTCACAAAACCCGCACTCATATACTACTATCATTGAAGTTAATCAAGAAAATCAAACAAATCATCAATTTAGGAGTAATTTTATTGGAATTTCTCTAATCCAACGAAATACTCGTCAAAGGTGCAACAAATCTTTTTCAAGGGACATTACAACAATGAATTGCTTTATTATTCAATGAAGAGAGGTCTAAAATAACTCAATTAAATTGATTCATCCGATTATAGAATAAAGCTTTATTATAACAATTATATAGAATAAATAATATTTCATTAGAGGAGAGCCAAAACAGATTTTGCATCACTTGCTAGAGCGTAATCTCTAGCTGTTTTTCCATCTTTGTTCACAACGTTCTTATCTGCGTGGTGACTCAACAATACTTTGACCATATCCGCGTTATCATTTGAAGCAGCAATCATCAGTGGTGACATTCCTCTTGAGTCAAATAAGTTCACAACAGCATTCATTTCCAACAAAACTTTTGCAGCTTCAACTTGTTCCTGTGAAACAGCGAAACAGTGGAGTGTAAAGAGCCATGTTTGTTTCCTCCAATTTCGCACCAAAGTCAACTAACAGTTTGATCATTTCTATGTGTCCACAAGCACTTGCATGCATCAATGCTGTTGATCCTCTTAAATCCTTTACATCGACATCGCAGTTCTCTTGATTCAAAAACACTTTTACGATGTCAATTTCGTTATTTGATGCTGCCAAACAAAGAGGTGGTAAACCATGTGAATCTCTGACATCTAGTCTTGCGTTTAGCTTCAATAATGATTGTACCATCTCAGGGGAGTGTCCTTCTATTGCATGTATCAATGGAACTTTTCCATCAACTAACATATTGACGTCAATTCCGAATGTGTTGTTCATTATGTAGCAGGCCAGTCTTGTATCTTTGTAGTAGACAGCGTAGAAGAAAGGAGTTCCGCCTTGAACATCTCTTACGTGGAATTCGCATTTATTCAGAGCCAAAGCGTAAGAAGCATCGAAACTCTGACTTGCCATAGCGATTAACAATGGTGTTCTTCCGAATTTATCAGCACTTTCTTTGTTCGCTCCTGCTTTTATCAACAAATTAATACATTCAGCGGAGTTACCTAAGCATGCATGAATAATAGCTGTCTTTCCTTCGAAATCAGTGATTTCTGTGTTGCATTTCGAGTCAAGAAGAACTTTTGTTGTTTGAACTAAATTCTTCGAACAACTATACATCAAAGGAGTTATTCCTGACTTATCAAACAAGTTCTGTGATGCTCCTTTCTGCAAAAGACGTCTAACAACATCAGGTTTGTCAGCTCTAACAACATGTTGAAGAGGAGTCAAATATTCTTAATCTTTTTCTTCAATTGAAGCCTTGTAATCAAGTAAAGTATTCACTACATCGATGTTTCCTGCTCTTGCTGCCCAAATAAGAGGTGTTTCTCCTTTGCCGTTTTTGATATTAACAAGAGCGTTTTTGTCAACGAGCTGACTGACAATTTCAGATTTTCCTGACAACACTGCATAGAAAATAGCTGTGTTTCCTTCACTGTTCGCTAAGTTTACATTGCAGTTTTTGTCAACTAATGTGGAAATGAAACTTTGTGATCCGTTTTTGGCTGCATAAATAAGAGCTGTGTTTCCTTGTTTGTCTTGGAGATCGACATTGGCTTTATGGTCACATAACTGGAAGCCAATGTTTTGTAAGTCCTTTTTGGCCGCTAAAATCAAAGGTGTTTCGTTATCTTCTGTAATTGCATTGAGATTCGCGTTGACAGAGATGAGGAAACTGGTAGCTTCGATATTGTCATTAACAACTGCGTAATGCAAGGCTGTATATTGCTTTGGACCTGGAATTTCGATATATGTTCCCAAATCATTGAGAAGTCTCGCGATTGAGTAGAATCCTGTGGATGCTGCTGCCATCAGTGGTATCATTCCCTTGGAATCTGTAGAATCAACGTCTGATTTAGTGAATAATTTATCGAAAAACGCTTTAAAGTTGTAAGAACTGAGCGCTGCTTCCCATGTGTACTCCTGATCTTTGCCGCGCATGAGATAAGTGACAAGTTCTGACTGATGGTTCTGAACAGCCAAATCTATGCAGCGGAGTGGTACGAAATTGGCTGATTTCAGCATCTCGACGATCTGAATGTTGCCACCAAAGTAAGCGTCTTCGAAAACTTCGACGTTGATTGGTATATTCTTGGAAAGAATGTATCTGAAGCAATTCTCTGAGCCGAACCTTGCTGCAAGGGCGAGAATTGACTTGCCATCGTATAGCTTTTCGATGTTGAAGGCAGAATCGTTGATGATTTTCTTTAAATTGTCAACGTTGTCATGAAGCAAACAATGGAAGAGAGATCCTGGCTGATATATGTCCAGAATATCTTTTTCCGACTTGCCAACGAACTTTTCTGGCATTTTACCCGTCAATGCGCATCGCTTAATGAGAATTGCAACAAGATGCTCGCATTCTTTGAAATAGGAAAGAATATCGGGCACTCTCTGAGAGTGTATGTATTCGTGAGCGAGTTCCGCCATCACTTCGAGGTTCTTGAGTCTTCTTTGTGAGATGTAATCAAGCATGCCCAAAATCTGCTTCATGGACAAAACATTTTTGGTAGTTGCATTCTTGATCAGCTTAATAATAGTTGGAATGTCTTCTTTTTTCGCATTCCAAATCACTTCGGAAAGTGTCACATAATTTTCATAAATGGAAGGACGCTGTGACAAAAATACCTGCGGACCATTAACCTTCTTGTTATTAATGACATTGTTAAGAATGTAAATCCATTCGTCACGATCAATTTCGGTTTCAGGCAAAATATAGTACGTTCTTTTCTTGCTTGGGTTGTATATGGTGAAGCATGGCTGGATCTTATACTTCGGATCATTATCGACAATAAGATCGCCCGTAATCGGGATTGATCCTTTTTCTTCTCCTTGATAAGTCGTGTAATACTTTAATGCATCAGGATATAGAACGAAATAACGCTTCTTAATAGAATGAATAATTACACCTTCTTTGTTACAATAAGATGCTTTAATTTCACATGTTTTCTTCATTGAGTATTGAAAAATGTAAATATTTCAATTAGTTGGCATTCAAATTTTAAGGTGTTATCGAAATGAGATATCTTATTATTTTAATTTTACAAAGGCAGAAAAATTAAAATGATTTTCTGACAGGAATGTCAAATTATAATTGGTTTAAGTCCATAACATATACAAACGATATACTATCAAACACAAGATCTTTTTGTGAAATGGATCTGACTTAAAAGTGACACATAACTATCAAAAACATTTAACTCAACTATGATAAATAACCCCAATTTGAATTTTGGTTATTCATTTTGAAATCTTTTCAAATTTAAACAGTTAAAATAAAATTACTCTTTTGTTTTCGAAATTTAAAATAACTCCATATTTAGATATCATGTTATTTTTACCCATCATTGATCTAAAATTTTTGAACATATCCATGTATTGTTAGCAAAAATATGCCATACAATAGTCAACAATTTTATCTAAACATATTATCGGCCGATTTAAAAACATTTTTACATATTTTGATATTGAATCTTGCTAATAAAAACTTACAGACTATAGTACTGTATTTTAAACCAAACACAAAGCATGAATCACATATCCTGCACATTTGAATCAATTTTAATATTTTAGAATTTCAAATTTTGATAGACACATAAGTTTTTATTTTCCATCATCAGCTTCCGTTAGAATAACTATGCATTACAATTAGTTTCTGGGTTATGATATCATAATTGGAATTGAATCATGTAGCAAATCTCCTACAGCTGTATTAAGTCTGCTTTGATGGAGACAGATAAGCTATAGTGATCATCAGATTTGCTCTATTCTGCTTTGTTTGTTCTTCCGATTATTCAACAACATTTTAATATTCTATATTTTCCTGAAAATAAGAATTATAACTACCAACAAGGCATGTTTTATCTTTCTCGACATCCAAACATAAAGTTAAGAAAATTTCAAAAATAATAAACATGTTTATAAATAAAACAAAAATTCTTATCCAAAAATGGCATCAAGATTGATGTCAAAGCTTTCAATAACACCCGGAGCTGCAGAAACCATTTCTGTAAACTCTTCGATTTCCAATTCTCCACTGCCGTCATCATCATATTGACTTATTAATTGATCAACAATTTGGGTCACTTGAGCATCATCTAATGCAATCAATGAATTATCGGCAATGGAAATCTTAATGACTTCTTGAATTTCATCTCTAGAAACAGCTCCAGATCCATCACTATCATATGCTTGGAAGCATAGTCTTACCTTCTCATCAAATGGAGCATCTGGATGGAATTTATTAAGTCCTTCAACAAATTCCATGAAATCAATATCTCCACTTCCATCGGAATCAATGATCCTGTAGAGAATCTCACCAATGCTTCTATTCTTAATCTGGAGGTTCTTGCAAAAGCTATCGATTGTAATCTGGGCAGCTTTTGTCAATTTCCTGTAGATTTGCGCTAAGATGAAAATTTGCTTCTCTGTGAAGAATGTATTATTAGAGATCTTCTGAGCATCTGACTCTGAGATATATCCTTTTTCGACGCACGATTGATAAACTCCCATTCTAGAAAAATGATTTTTAGAACAATTCGATATATTGATAAGAGTACTGAATTTTTTGAGAGCAAAAATTTTTCTAATAATTAAATTTATGAAATAAGAATAGGCACTAAAGATGCTTTAGAAATGTATACATTTTGATTTTACTCTTTTTCAAATTTTGAGGGCACTTTTCAATCACCAATCAAGTATAAACATTAAAAACATATTTTCTGCATGAAATATAATCATCGTTTAATCTCGTAAAAATCATTCAATTCTCAATTATCTCCCTTTTTGAAAATTGAATCAAAATTATTGAATCTCATAAAATGTGAAATTTTACAGAGACAACTTAATTTATTGATTTGATTTCGAAATGATATCATTAGATACTCATAATACTCTTTGGTAATCGACAAATGACGATAATTGAAGGATGTGGACAAGTGACGATAGCTGAAGTCCTATCAAAAAGTAATCTTACTTACTCCTAATATCTAAATAATATGATTATATTCAACAAGCTGCCAGATTTGTTCGATTATTTTGAATACTTCACGGAAAATTTTCGTAAATTGACAACTTTTTTGGAGCACTTTCATTTTGAGTCCCACTCTTACTCTTTGAAATAAGATATAACATACAGAAACGATTACGAATTGCATTAAAATTTGAGTTTATTTTTGTTTTTTGCGAAAGAAATTTCCATTTTACAGTTTATTTTAATATTTTGTACTCTTTTCGGAACAAATCATGCAAATATCATGAATGTAACTATTTAATTACTATTTAAAGGAAAAACGCGATGGATTTTCATGATTTGATATTTGTATTACCGATTAATTGAAATAAATCCTGTGCAAGTAAGGGTTTCGTTTTGCTAAAATTGTCACTTTTATAGCATATTTGTTTTTGGATGTTTTGCGAAACCAAAAAAAAACTATGATATACAATGTGTGTGTAAAGAAAATACTTTATTTACTAGTTAAAAAATCATTTGGTATTGATCAAGTTATTTTTTCTGGATAAGATATCATATGGATAATTGGATAGAAAATACAATTATATAATCTTGTACCTGGTTTAATTAAGCTAATTGTCATCAGAAACTTGTAATTTTTATGAATTTCAGATTTTCTTTTCATTACTGCTTTTCTTAATAGGTCAAGTTCTTATTTACGTTATAAAGTATGATATTTACAAATATCAAGTTATCATGTTTTTTGAGAAATTATGAGAAACAAACAAAAATGAAAAAGATAGGAATAGCAATGAATAGTGATGTGGGTATAGAAAATGTAAGAGATATGAATGCAAAGCAATCAGTATTTAGGATATTGACCATAGATTTCGAAAAAAAAATGCTGCATATTGAGCGAAAACTATGATTATATTATAAGGTTGTCATTTAAAGCATAATGAAACTATTCCCTTTTCATTTTAATCGAATAAGATAGTAAAGATTTTTGAATTAGCTAGAAACTGATGAGATGTTTTCACAAATCAGATTTTTAATCTCTATAATGCATAATTCACTCAATATCTCAATTTTGATATTGCGAGATATTTTTGCTATCGGTTTCGCAATTTTGACACAATAGCAAGAGGGTTCTATAAGCATTATTATCAACGTAGAATCTGAATATCATATCAGAAAATGTCGCAAATCTGACATTTACCCGACCGAATAGCAAAAATAATTGAATACTTTTCGCAAAAATTTTAAAAATCGATAAAAATATGAAATATAGATATTAAAGAGACTTTTTATATAATATTCATAAAGATTTTCCAAAAATATGATACCGCAAAATTAAAAAAGTGACGTCTTGAGTGGAGTCAAAGGTCGAGATTGCTAGCTAAATGTTTTTTTAGCGAAATTGCGTATTGTACGTTTTTTTCGCAAAACGAAACCCTTAGTGCAAGGCATTAACACATATAGGATAGTGATTGTGCATCAGTATTCATGCGAAGAAATGTATATGAAATAATTTTTCTATTGAAAGTTTCCAAATTTATTCACATGGTAACTTAACAATTATTATTCTAAATTAGATGCAGCGCGAGATCAACAAAAAATGAACATCAATAAAAGAAATAAAATTTTTTTTATTAGTTGAAAACTAAAAAAGGTTTAAAAGACTTGATCAACAAGTGTGTAATCATCGATGTATGGGTTTCTGTTACCCTGGCTCTTGTTGATGGCGTCATTACGATACTTTTCGAAAGCGCCTGGTGGATGTTCACGGTTCCACTTCTTGAGTGTTTCAACAGTGCTAACCTTGTTGATATCGACTGTGTCGTACATTGTCATGAAGTAGAAGATGGCACGAGCGACTTTACCACGGTCTTCAGTGCGTGGCATCCAGTGATGCTTATCTTTATGGCGGCAGGAGTAGTCATCTGGGTTTGATGGGCGTGTTGTTGAGCATGAGTCATCCTTGCAGAAATCAAGGCATTCGTCATAGCTGAATTCAGCGAATGGATAGTTCGAGCGCATGCTGTTGAGCTTGGCTGGAGCTGGGTAAAGGTGGTGAATATCGCAAACTTCTGGGTTCTTCTTTCCGAAGAATGATTGTGGAACGATGTGCTCGCAGTTGACTACTGTGCCGGATGGCATTGAAGATCCACCGCACTTGAAGGAATATGTGTTGCCACCATAGATCAAGGCAATTCCTGAGCCCTGGCAATCAACATTATTGTATAATTGAACACGAGCCTTAGAATAACCAAGGGTCTTGTGGGCACCGTAAAGGCGGCGAAGTTCTTCCTTCTTGCTTTCACAAGAAGCTAAAGATGTGAGAAAAGTAAGCATGTAACAATAATGTGGAAAAACGATATGTAAATCATTGGATAATTCCATAGAACCGTATATCGATGTTTTAACTGCAGGATAAATGATTATGTGTTTACACTAAGAAAGGCGATCTGAATCAGGTAAGTATTTAATTCAAATTTCAGAGTCTCCTTGAAAATTACGGTTTGAAAATTTAGACATTGAATTCTGATCGAGTAAGATCATTGTCATAGCAGAATAATTTTTATATAATTTTTAATTGGGATTATCTCAAAACAACTCTTATGCTATTTTCTCTTCTTAAATATCATTATAATATGTATTGTTATTAATTTCAGTAAGAATTTCTAGAATACATCCACAATTTTTCAATAATTTATTCTGATCTATCGCACATAGCTTCTAAAACCACTCAACTGGATAGCACATATACATTCATACAATTTCTACTCATTATTACCAAGCAATTATACATGTTGTAATCAAGGTGAATTTGTTATTTTATATATAAAGCCTACAACACGGAAATACATTTCCATACAGCATGGAGAATCAAAGTTCAGTATATTTGATTCATAATTTATTGAAGATGTCTCGGAGAAAGAAGAAAGATCACTCATGGGCAGATATTCAAATCTTAGAACCATCAATTCCTATTGACAAATTAGAAAATGAGATAAGAAAGTACAACCCAGCTTCATATCCTGCTTTTAATGAACTCATCAAAATTTTTACAGAAAAGAAGATTAACAGCATCATAGTATTAGGACTCGGCGATATGTGTACAGAAATCAGCGCAAGAAAACAGATTTCATTCATTCTTTCAATCATCGAAAAATTTGATATCAAAAATATTCGTTTTTACGACCCGATATCATGCAAGAATTGCAATGGATTCCTGGAATCAAAAGGATTTCATATTGATTCAGAAAATTTATATGGCCAATATGAAGCTTCACCAAATTCTGCATTTTTTATATTCCATGGCCCACACTTCTTGTATCACAATCTAATTACAACCAATCTAACTCCTGATAAGTTAGCGAATATAGTTATAATAGGTAATTCGATTGAAAATTCAAGAAACTTGAAAAATTCATCTGGATTTATAATGGGGGAGGCATTTGATGCTGGAATATTAAATGAAACAATGTTGAATTTTAATCATGATCCTTCTTTTGATAATACAGCACTAATAACAGCTCAAACCGAAAACTTCCCTCCATTAGATAACAAGATTTGGAGTAAGCGCCAAATCATAATATCAGATGGAGAAAAATGAAGAATATAGATTTAAATTTTTTGAATTACTATCATACACATGTTCTAAACATAAGTTTATTATGATATACCCTTAAATTATTTGAATTTGAGTGTTGGAAAAAAAGATCGATTTGCTCAAAAAATCATTAGTGATGTATAGCTTATTGTATATAGAAGAAAGTTAGATTGAGATCAATATTACGCCAAATAAATTCTAACACGATTTTTTTTTCCAAACAAAAAATTTTTTTGTCAGACTTTCTTTCTCGTCAATCAAAAATGACTCTTTATTCCGCAACTTTTAAAGATACACTTGACTTATCAGTGTTTAAACAAGGAGAGTTAGGAGAGGTCGAATTTAAGAACGATCCTATCTCAGTCAAGTTTATTTTTCAAGGTGATGATGATGAAGGTTTGTACCTTGTCTTTTCAGATTTTTCTGATCATCCAAGTGACAACCCATACGAAATTAAACTAACTCTCGTAGCAGGAGAAGAATTTCATAAAGATTTTATTCAATATATCAATCCGCAGTTTGAATACAGCTTTGAACTCTACTATGAAGATTTACAAAAATATCAGGAGAAATATTCATCTAATTTAGACTTCCAAATCGAAATCCAAGAGCTAGATAAAGAAAATTGCAGCACATTACCAAGCGAGAGATCTTATATGTTCGATTACCCAGCTGACAGAATTGAAAAGGATTTCAAATACGATTTTAAGTATGCTGATTACGAATTCTCATTTCTTCTTTACCTAGTTTCTTACGGACGTGTTCATTTATCATTCCAACTCAATAATGCAGGATTTTCCAAGCGTCTTACCGTTGTTTATTCACTCAAAGTCGCTGGATATCACTGCAAGAGCGCAAAAATGAAATTTAATTCGACAACTCTTACATGCGATGCAGAACAGATCTCAAAGTCCGATTGGGATGAACTAAAGAAGCGTGCAACCAACGGACAAATCCCATTTGTCATCGCAATCAAACGCACAACAGAATCCGAGGAAATTGAAGACGAAGACGACTTCATGAGCTTGCCAAACGATACCACTTCATACTCCGGCCACGACAACACCTATTCTTACTCAAACAGATCGTATTACACTCCACAAACGAATTATGCTGTTTCTACAGTTTCCTCCAAGGACGAAACCGGTTTTGTTGGTCTCCACAACCAAGGCGCCACATGTTACCTGAACTCTCTCCTCCAAACTCTCTATACTTTGCCAGCATTCAGAAAAGTTGTCTACGAAATGCCAACAACAGGCACTGAGGATGAGAAGAAATCCATTCCTCTTAACCTACAGCGCCTCTTCTGCCAGATGCAGCTCAGAAAAGAGCCATGTTCCACAAAGGAATTGACAACATCTTTCGGATGGGGCTCTACAGAGACATTCATGCAGCACGATGCACCAGAATTCAACAGAGTCCTCTTGGATAACCTCGAAATGAAGCTAAAAGGCACACAACTCGAAAATTCTATCGCAGATCTCTTCAAAGGCCAATATCGCAAATACATCAGGTGTAAGAATTATCCATACGCTTCAACACATGACGAAACATTCTACGAATTACAAATGGTCGTTAAAGATTGTCCGAATTTACAAAAATCTTTCGAAAAGTACATAGAGAAAGAGATTTTGGATGGAGACAATCAATACAACGTCGAAAGCCATGGCAAGGAAGACGCAGAAATGGGTATTGAGTTCGTAAAATTCCCACAAGTCCTTCAACTCCATTTGACACGTTTTACATACGATTTTAATTACGACAGAAATGTAAAACTTAACGATAAGTTCGAGTTCCCCGAGGAAATTGACTTATCTCCTTATTTGGCCGAAGATGCGGACAAATCCAAATCGTACGTCTACCAGCTCCACGATGTTGTCGTCCACAACGGATCTGCCACCTTCGGACACTACTACGCCTTCATCAGACCTTCTGCCGAAGATCAATGGTACAAATTCAACGATTCAACTGTTTCCAAGTCGACCAAGGAGTCAGCCATTGACGATAACTTCGGTGGAGAGTCCGAAACAACCACTTATTCGTCCTCAAACTACTATAATTACTGGGGAGGCGGATCCAGCGGCAAATCGTACTCCGCTTACATGTTAATGTACATGAGGAAGGATGCCGTGCAGAATATCTTCGAGCCAATCCCTGACGAAGCCGTTCCAGAGCATTTGAAAGAATATATGAACAAAAAACCATCCGAAACCTACTCCAGTTCACTTGATTTGAACTCTGTTGATATCACAGTCACAACAGAAGACGATTTCGAGGAAGGAACCCTTTTGATGAAGAAAGTTTTCGCACAAAAGGACGATCCACCGAAATTGGAGGCTGATAATTCAATTTCCACCCAGGAACTCTACGAAAAGATCGCAAATCTCCTCAAGATCGACGTAGATGAGTTCAGATTGTGGAAACAATCTTATTATCTTTTGCCACAGACATTAATTAGCAGATCCGAGACCAAGAAGATCGATTTCACATATTCAACAGCCCAAGTCTTTGTCCAGAAGAAATCCAAGGAAGATCCAGTCGAAATTCCAGAAGATGACATTGTTGTTTACACCAAGTTCTTCTTCCCGTTCGACCAATCCAACAACAAGGTCCAATACATCGGCAGTTTCCAGATAAACCGCGAATCTCCACTCAAAAACCTCATTAAAATGGTCAATGAAAAACTTGGCCTCCCAGAGGACACAGAACTCCAAGTCTACGCCGAATCCATCGACAAGAAAGCCGCAATTCTCGACAACGCGCTCACTCTCGACAATTTGAGCGTAAACATGGGTTCTGTCCTCATTTTCCAGCAAAACCCTGAAAAAGAACAAATTTTGCCAAGTAAATTTGTCAAAAAGTCAATTTCTGACAGTCAGAAAGGCGAAGAAAGTGAAGTGACCGATCATACCATTCCTATTATCTTTGCCGGCGATCAATCTGTTGCTGTTACTGCAAACAAGTATTTCATTATGTATCATGAAGTTTTGGAGTATCAATTTTACGATGTACACGATTGTTCCAAGTGCATTGCGATATTGAAATTCCCAACTGATATATTGTTCACTGATCTCTACAAGTACATTGCCAATTCATCGTTGTTTGACTACGATATTGACAAAGACAGCATTCTTTTGTACAGAGCAAATTATTCCAATGAAGAAAAACCAAGTACAGATCCAATTGACACTTCCTACTTCACTACACCGAAAACAACTCTTTACTCCGGCCAGAACAAGAGATTGTTCTTCAGAGTAATCAAGGGAACTCCGCAGAAGGATTACGCAAACAAACTCTGCAGAAGAATTATTTATTCGTCAGATTTGTCAAAAATTGACATTGACGATTATTTCTTATTTGACAAGGCATCTGACACTGTTGGCAAAGTTGTTCAAGAACTTGTTTCTAGAGGAACGATTCCTGACATGGAATACGACATTATTAAGATGGGATACTACAGTTCCATGGAAGGATTCCTTCAACTGGAAGAAACATGTTCTCAGTACTACAACACAGTGATTAGAATTCAACCGAAAGTTGCTGATAAATCTAAGTTTGTTTTCGTGGAAGTAGGAGAGTTCATGAACTCTATGTACTACTTCAGTCCATCGAGAAATGGAATATGCTACTTGGTTGATGACGCAAAGACAAATGAGGAAATTCTCGATGACATTTTAGCGAAATTGCAAATTCAAAATAATCCGAAAAAGTTCAGATTGAATTTCAAGGCAAAGGAAGATCCAATGGCAAAGAACATCCAGGTGTCGCAGTTCAAGGATAGTTTGAAGAACGGCGCATCTTTATACATTGTTGAGAAATCAAAGAACTCAGCAAAACTCTCTGCTTCAAATGAATCTATCAAAATCTATAATTAATTTTTATTTTATTTTTTATAAAAAAAAAGTTTTAAAACAACTTTAGATTTTTTTTGTTCATCTCTAAATCTTCAAATAAATCATACAGAAGAATAGAAATGATTTGAATTTTTAATATCTGAAACAATTTATATAAACAAGATATGTTGTTCATTTTGCTTTTATGTCGGCTCTAAGAGAAATAAGAAGTTTCACTAATTCTGTATTTCCATGTTTGGCAGTAATAAGAAGAGCTGTACAACCAATATCATTTTTTTGATTAAATATCTGCGCCGTGCGAAAAAAGGAGTTCGACGATTTTAGGGGAAGATCTCTTCTTGATCCAGTTGGTTTAATTAAAGAGAAACTTCTTGTATTCATGAAAAGGTTTCTTTTAAATATTTATTTTTAGTGTAAATTTTACAAGATTTTTTCTTCAAGCCGATAAAGTCAAATCGGCACTTTTCATTTTTTGACACTTTACATTTTTCAAAAATTTCAATTATTTGAAAATCTTATTATAGCAGAATATACTAATATTAATTATTTTTACAATTTTTCTTAATCAGATAAATGTCAAATAATTCAATGGAAGCGGTTTCGTGGTGAGAGGAGGCCGCAGAAATCGATGCATCAAATGGCGAAAAAATCGAACTATTATCTCCTCAGCGATGTGAAGTTGTCTGGAGTCATATTTCTCCTGTTCTTCATACGCTTTTAGCAGAAATTGATCAAAATTATTGGGAAAATGTCACACACATATTATCGAAATTAATCAAAACAGCAGATATACCAAATCCTGAAGCAGATTTTACAAAATTTGTTCAATTTTTATTCGAAAATCGTTCATCAATTAAACTTACTTCGATAACAAGCTGCAAAGAGTTCGCACTTTCATTCTTCCATGAAGGTGATACTGATTTCTTTGTTCAAACGTTCTTATTTGCTGTTTCAGATCCGATGTTAAGTTTAGAATGCTACAGAACAATGTTTTTAGAAAAATTTCAACCATTTATGACATGGCTATCATATCATGGCACAATTGAGAAACTTTAAAGCATGTTTATTACGTTTTTGACACCAGTACAAGAGAATTCAAACAAAAATCAAATAGTTTATCGATTACTACTTAGTGACTTATTTGCAAAACTAATTGTCAGCAATATACGTCCTATTTTCATGTTTGACGATCTTGTTTCAAATTATTTTTCAAAATTATTAAATTTAATCAATTACACCGACGACGAATACTCCATAAACTTTGCACGACACATTACACAAGTTACTGATCTCTGGTTCCCTCAATTAAGCGAAGAACAAGTAACAACTCGAATTTCAACTTTAATCTCTTCTTCTCCCGGAAACAAATCATCACACGAATACATCATAAGGTATTCTATGAGTAAATGTGGCAAACTGATACCACATCACAAGATTGCTTCGATTTTGACTAAACAATGTTTTGTAAACACGAAATATTTAGAAAATATGAGAGAATTGGCGCTGGCCGAAGGAAGTAAGGCAACAGCGTTTGTTGTTCACGTTCTAGCACGTTCAATGACATCTTATTACGCTTTTTCGAGGATTTCTGCAAAATTATTGGTTGATATCTTGAAAGTCGTTGGGGAAAACAAGGAAATAGTGGATTGGATGAAGAGATTCGTAACGATGCTTGTTATATTCATGAAAATAGCTTCGGAACAGGATTCTTTCAAAAAAAGAGTAAATTTGCTTTGCGAAGTCTTAACTTCGGAAGTATTTAAGCCATTGCCATGGTTTAGGAATATTCTACAGTCTACAGCAAATGCAGTTTATTTAATTGATCAAAAACCGGAATTTTTCAAATTATTTTTTAAAATTGGAGAAAAATATCCTTCTGCTTCTTTCTTTAAGAGGGAATATGACAGATATAAGCCATTGATCAGAACTCGAATGATTTTGAAGTATTTTCCATTCAAAATTAACAATTTACAGTTAATTAGTCCAAAAGACGTAGACAATGATGATGAAGAAGAGGGTTCGAAGCAACCAATTGATGATTCTTTGAAAGAACTCGGAATTGGAGCTCGTTCTCTTAAATATATTTTTCATGATTTCGATGCAGGAGTTATTGACCAACAACAGAACATTTTCTTGCTTGAAGACTTCACGGAACAAGAAACAAACAGGTTTAAAAAGACAGAACTCTATCATGAAAACTTTATTAAAATTAATTTGAACAATTATACATCAGAAGGAAAATTTGTTCTTTGTGGCCTCAAATGTGCCATGCAAGATATAGAAAACTCCATTTGGGAGTATCAAATTCGGTCATTAAAAGATTTTATTGGGATTGCAAACGAAATCATCAGTGTTTTGAAGCAGCATCCTCATCTAATGGCTAGAATTAAAGCATTGGGCAGGGATTTGAACGTTGGTTGCTCAGATGATCAAAATTATAAATTATTAAAAGAGCAAAGATCAATTTTGAAGAAAAGAATCGAAGCAAAGTTCAGATTCGAAAAAGAGCTTAATTCAAACTTATTAAACGTATTTTACAAGTTTGACAGCTTCTTACAGTATGTTCCTCCATCGGATTATGACTATTGTGTTGATAACTTCATCACATTCTCTGAAGAACTCAATCCAATGATTGAATCTTTAATTGCGATTGTTTCGAGTGAAGCTGTTGACAGTACAATACAAACTGTATGGGAATTTGCATCAGTATTATACGAAAAAACCAAATTTGTCCATGAAACAACATATGTTTTATGTTATATCATATTAATGAGGTTGATTTTTGACAAATCTTATGAAGTTTATCATCCATTGACATATCATAATTCTGCAAACATGGATTTCCTTATGAGATGCAAAGTTTTCTCAGAAAAAAGTGTTTCAGAATTGAATTTGCCAGAAAAAATCATTTCGAGAAGAGTTGTCCGAGGAACAATCGGTGCATTCTTCAAAACTAAGAGTCATTCATTGTATTCACTCGAATTCTTAGTGAATCCGATCGATATACTGTTCAATATCCATCAGACAGTCGTTCAATTGAATTCAATTGCACCAGGAGAAAATTTGTCAAATGATGAAAAAGTGACACTCATGAAAGGACTCATTTCTACTTTTCCTCCTTCGAATACTATTTCTATTGTCCTGTTTCTTGATAAGTGGGGAAACACTGTTCCATCTGCGAATATGCTTTTATCATATTCGATCTTTAGAAAGGCAGTGAATTCGCTGTAATTATTACATCGAATTTTATTTTCATTGTTTCTATTTTTTAATTATTAAATAAATATTAGTTGTAGACGATATAATTTTTGGTCATTTTTTCTTTAGCTTCTAGGTGTAGCACTTTTCTTTAGATTAAACATATTATATACATTTCTTGTATAATCTGGTTATTTAATGTTTCCACTAATTCTTTGAGAACATTATCTCTAAATCTTAACCCAGTTTTCAATGCGCAATTTAAAATGCATTTAATAATGGAGCTTATATTGACATGGTCTTAAGGCTGCACTTGCGCCCATCTGACTTTAATTCAAATTTTTGACAACTGGCATGAAACTTAATTGAAAATTAACCTTAAACATTTTGAATGAAGGCCATGTCAAAGGGGCACATGTGCACCATTAAGATACTAAATTCTCACAGACTATTTCAGAGAATTGAGCTCCAGCTCAATTTTCTTAAAAGTCTGCAAAAATTCGTATAGTTTTTGAATTTCTTTTAAGAAATTTTCTCCAATCAAAAATTTTCTATCGTTTGATGATTGAATAGCTTGGCCCCATATTCTGAATATTCTCAATCTGTTTATCTCGTACAATTTTTAATCTATATCATATATCATATATAACTTACCATAATTTAAACTTTGAATTTCACCTTAAGTATTCAATATTTTTTTTACAGGAAAATTTTTAATGTCTGCAAGAGAACCTAACGCTAATCAATCATCAAAATCTTCCAAACATTCAATATCACGGAAAGCTTTTTTTGAATGCTTAGATAATATAAAAAAAGAGATTTTAGACGGAATTCATTATCAAAATCAATGTCTCGAGCGCGAATTCGCTATTTTAATAGAAGATTTTAAACGTGATTTCATTCGAAAATTAAAACAAGACGAAGAAGCGATCAGAGCCGAATTCTTAAATCAAAATAAAGAATCCAACGATTACAAGGAAATTGATAATTCTTTTATTTCCAATTCAAATCAACTACGACCAAACTTATACCAATATGATTATGACACCTCAAACGATATCGATTACAAGGAAATTCATAATTATTTTAATACCTATTCAAATCAACTACAACCAATTTTATCCGAATATGATCCTGAACAATATTCATTTAAACCAAATTATTGCCAATATTTCAAGAAATCTTTTTCATGCATCTTCCCTCATTCAAAATATTAATTTTGAAAATTGATAATTGTTTCTTTTTTAATTTTTTGTTTTATTGGTATATTTTTTTTGTTTAACGACAACATTAAATTTAATTTTTTGCTTTATTAATTTTTATTTTTTAAATTTAATTATAAAACTCCACTCTCTATAACTTAATTAACTCTGCATTATATTTTATGATTTAAATGCTTTCGACTTACTTTTTGAATTCTGTCGATGTCCAATTTTTCTTTCCGAATCAAAAGTTGGCAGTTATGTCAATTAATATTACCACACACAAAACCAATTGTTTTGTTATACTAGTGATGCGTGTAAGAATAGTGAAAATATGCAGTTGTTTTGATGAAATTTGAATAAAGAATAATTATAAAATTATAATGTTGGCAGAACTTTGATCATTAAAGTGGAACAGTGCGCTGTTGTCTGTGGGCACATGTCATTCTGGGAGACATTGCCACCACATGTCTCCCAGAATAGCATAATGTTCCGACCTCACTTTCCTTGTGTATTTGAAATGAAAGTAATATATAAAATAGTAAAAGGATATTCTTACATCTCACCAAATACTTGTATTGTAATAAATATTTAAAAAATTCATTTAGAAAACTTAAGAACTATTTTGCATTTGAAAAGCCGAACGAATATTTTATCTGCTTACTAAAACTAAAAATCATAAAATTTATATTTGACGAATGACCTCCAAATAAAATTCACAGGCCTTAACTACTTCTTCCAGCGAAATATTTTCGTTTTCACGATGAACGAGAGAAAGATCTCCAGGACCAATAATAACTGTTTCCATACCAAGTTTTCTTAAGAATGTTGCATCTGTTGTTCCCGAAAATACTTCTTCATTAGTATCGAGTTGTTTTTCTTCCATTGCTTTCTTTAATAAGATGATAAGTCTGTCAGTACTATTCTGCTTCCATGGAGGTCTCTCATCTTCAATCACGTATTCAGCCGAAAACGAAGGTTCTTCCTTCTTTCTTTCTTCGATCAGTTTATCCAAAGTTTCCCAGATCATAGAAGGTTGATCTGATAAACCGAGTCTGGCATCTACTGTCAGTTCACATGAATCAGGAACAACCTTAGGTTCGACTTGTGCATGAATTGCAAGAACTCTCCAAAATGTCTGAAAAGCAAACTTTGTTTCTGGAGAACAAAATGATTGCGATCTGATTTTTGAAGTAAGATCTAATGCTTGATAAATAGCATTATTTCCAGCTGATGGAAGTGATCCATGAGCAGTTTCACCTTTCACACGGACTGTAGCCCAAGTTCTTCCTTTTCCTGCAGTGCAAAGATGAAGTCCTGTTGGCTCACAAACAATGCAACCCTTGACTTTTTTCAAAGCAGGATAATTAAGAGCTGCTTTTGAACCCTTCATGTAGTCTTCCTCATCTATAGTCGCCAAAAAGAAGATATCAGTCTTTGGTTTATAACCATACTTTTTCAAATAAGCAAGTGCAAACATGGCACAGCAAAGACCGGATTTCATATCCACAGATCCTCTTCCATACAATTTACCTTCTTTGATTTCTCCACCAAATGGAGGAAGAATCCATCGCTTTTCCTCCTCTGCACTTACAGGAACAACATCCATATGGCCGGTAAAAAGAAAGGCATCTTCACTGGTTTCTCCCTCGACTTTTGCCAAAAGATCATATCTTCCATTTTCGACTTCGATCTTCTCATATGGGATCTGATACTTATCAAAGAATTCTTCCAAATACACTGCTACTAGGGACTCCTTTCCTTCAGGATTTACACTCGGGATCTGAACGATCTTCTGAAAAAATGTGATTAGCTCAGTTTTCTCTTCCTCTGTAAGCGTATTATCCTGCAAATCATGTATGGATCTGTTTGTTTTTTCCATATTCTTTATGTGATTCTAAGAAAAATATCTTTTGTCCAATTCAATGAGTTCCCTCAATTTCAGAAAAAATGATCAATATTGAATTTTTATTTCCGGAGAAGTGAAGATAATTTCACGTTCATGAACTTCATTGATTAAGACAAAATATGATTTAGAAAATTGAGTTTTATAAGTCAGTTGTTTTTCAACCAAAAGATTTAAGAGGTTACTATTTCGAAAACAGCTCAAAAGAGCCAAGTTGTTCAAAAGACATTTGCTTATTGGAGTAACTCAGTTAACACAACTAAAGAAAGAGTTAATTCTCACATCAATTTGCTAACATATGTCAAACAAGCCAAATTAGATAAAGAAGCTTTGACACAACTGTAACATAAAGTTGACTTGATTCCGATGAATGCCAGAATAAGTTTGGACGAGAAGTTAATTACAGACATCACTTCTTCAATTAGCGAAGTTGTTGACAAGACTAACGTCTTCGTGACAATGGTCAAACAATTTCGAGCTCGAGTGAGGAAGATCGAAATCAAAGTTTCTGGAGTCCCAGAAATTAAAGAAGAAGATGATTTTGAAGATACATTGTTGTTATCCAGAAACAGACACAAATTATCAACGACACAATCCAAAATATCACTCAATCACAACAAATTTCTGAATCACTAAATTCTAAAGCTGTTGTCCAACAAATGTCTAATAACATAAGAGCTATTCAAACTGAAACATTAAATGCACATGAAAAAGTTTTGAATCAGATTTGAACGTAATCAAAGTACAAATGCCAAATATCATTTCTAATGCAGAGTTAATTGAACCAATCATTGAATCGCCACTATTCACATCTATCCTTAAATCTTTCAATGATTCATCTAACTCTTTCAAAAAACTTATTTCTGTTCTTCACATGAACAAAGCGACTTATGTTAAATTCATTCAACAAGCTCAGACATCGTTGCAGAATTTTATTACTACCTCAGCTGCTACACCAGAGTTACCTCAAGTCAAAGTGCTTTAAAGCACTGATTGCACAATCTCAGACAATCATGAAAGAATTGTCATCAATTAAACCGAGACAACCCAGTTAGTTTGTGAAGAAAATTTATGATCAAATTACACAATAAACTTTTGTCCTTTAGAAATGTCCGGGGGACACAGTCAGTACTCTTGGAGATGACGGATCTGAATTCTGGTAAGTTATTTGCGATCCATCAACTGAAAGTGTTTCATTTGATTGTGCATCATTCAATTGGATCTTTCATTAGTCAGAGATAATAACAATGTTGTTGCTTATTACGAATTTGGAGTTTTTAAGTCTTATTCGTAGTGCACAAAATAAAAAAATGGAGTAGGTGACAAAAGTGCATACTCTTAAATTAACCTTAAATGTTGATTTTTCGATATTTTCGGTATTAACCTTATTGTAAATTTTTCCGGTGATAAATTTATCACACTGAGGTTATTTTTCCGGTGAGATTTTTAACCTTGATTTAATGAAATTAATATATATAAATTTTATTATTTTTAATTTCGAATGAGTATAATAAAATATTTTTGAACCTAATGTCCTTATTCCATCTTTGAAGGCAATATTAAATTTGGCACAAAGAAGTTTAAAGGAAGAGTAAGCAAGATTAGATAATTTGGACTTTTTTTAAAATTAATGAATAAACAGTATATTTTTGAAGTGTAAGCTTATTTACCTGAAGCTATATTACTTAATATAACATTCAAAGTATTATTGCTATTTATTGGAGAACAAATTTATGTAATTTTCACATGAAAATTGATAAATTTGTATTTCCTTATGATAATCAATTTTTGTATTTGTAGAGAGTCTCCCTGCATGATATCAAGACTTGGCTATTAGTCTTTATCCATTTTTGAAAATTGTATTGTAAATTGTAAGAATTTCTGAATACTACTACTATAAAATATAATTGCTTATCTATGTATATTCTCCCTGCATGATATCAAGACTTGGCTATAAGTCTCTATTCATTATGAGTATGACCCCATTTTTTTTACAAAAAGTGCCGAATTGCAACTTTGTCCCAATCTCTAAAAAAATGGAAATAGCATCCTAAAATTAGGGTTGCAAATTCGAAAAAAAACTTTTTGGATCATCCAAATTCGAAAAAACCATAGATTCATAAGGCCTCCTGAAAAATAAATAAAGTGGATTCATAAAACTTTGATATTGAAGTGAGAAAATGGCTATAGCATGTTCGGAGAAGAACAACCCTTCTTGTTTACTCTGGTTATTTAATGTTTCAACTAATTCTTTATGAGCATTATCTTTTCTTAAGAAATCTTTTCAAATCAAAAATTTTCTATCGTTTGATGATTGAATAGCTTGGCCCCATATTGTGAACATTCTCAATATGCTTATCTTGTATCGTTTTTAATCTATGCCATATATCATATCTGACTTCCCATAAATTAAACTTTGAATTTCATCTCAAATATTCGATTTTTTTTACAGCAAAATTTTTAATGTCTGCAAGAGAACCTAACGGCAATCAACCATTAAAATCTTCCAAACATTCAATATCACGGAAAGCTTTTTTTGAATGCTTAGATAATATAAAAAAAGAGATTTTCGACGGAATTCATTATCAAAATCAATGTTTCGAGCGCGAATTCGCTATTTTATTAGAAGATTTTAAACGTGATTTCATTCGAAAATTAAAACAAGACGAAGAAGCGATCAGAGCCGAATTCTTAAATCAAAATAAAGAATCCAACGATATCGATTACAAGGAAATTGATAATTCTTTTAATACCGATTCAAATCAACTACAACCAAACTTATACCAATATGATTATGACATCTCATAAACATACTATCATATCGATTTCTGGTTGTCCTGGTTCCAGAGGTTCTGGATTCTTTTATTCAATCTTCAAACCTCCTGAAATAAGAGACATAAATGAGATCCAGATGTGGATTTGGACTATGATTGAAGGGGTTAATTCTGGTGATGGATAAGCAGTTATTAGTATGTTTAACAATATACAGACTTGTCATGACATCAAACCATATTTATATATCTCATTCATGCAGTCATTGTTTTGTCTAAGTAAATAATTCTTGTCTTATTCTAAATATCGAGTTTTTGATGAGCTTAACTTTGATTTCGATGTTTTAATAGAAATGTATAAAATGAATGAATACTTTAGAGAAATTTTGAATATGAGATGAAGACAGAAATTTTGAATTATTTTCTCATATCATTAAACATACTTTTAGTGATTCAAGTGATTAATGGCGTTTGGTTGCTTCCAAGGAATATTGTAATATATACCAATGAGATCATGTTCAAGTTGGAAACTTTGATTTAATGAATTCAAGAAGTGGAAATTTAAGTCAGTATTTCAAAAGAATTGAAAGTTTGAAATGCAAAGCTTGGTTTGTACTTTGTTGTATATCAGAAAATTTAAAATTGTCAAAAAATTGTGTATTTAATGTTAATGTATGAATGATGCTCACATCAAAGTAGTTTTGTTTGTATTCTAGTTATGATACAATTTTTGGTTGATGTAGAGTACTGAGATAAAGATTAGAGAATGAGTGATTGAAATACAAACAAATGATGTTAATGTCACTTTTTTGTCACATAAATAGAAATTAGGGATTTAATCCCTGATTTCTATTCAAATGACCAAATGATATTTGTTTGAGTAATGTGATACTATGTCCTCCTATTTCTACTATGGAAGGTATTCGTTTTTAAATGAAAATGGAAAAAAGCCGCCTGTTTGTAATGTTAATTGCACTTTTCCATATCCATGTGATGATAAAGAACAATGTTCCGGAATAAAATTAACTATGACTCCAGGGAGATATTTGTTCGAGGTTTATGGTGAACAAGGAAGCCAAAAAGCAAATGGTGGAGGAAAAGGCGGTTATGCCAAAAGTGAAGTGATAATCAGAAAAATGGCAGATATTTTCCTATTCATTGGTTCTCAAGGATTATAGCCAAGTGCTGCTGCCTATAGCCAGACATCCTTTAACAGAGGAGGCCGTGGATGGAATTGTGGACCTGGAGGTGGAGCAACTGACTTTAGATTGTCAGAAAATGACCTCAGTTCACGATTTTTGATTGGCGGCGGTGGAGGTGCAGAAGGATACTTTAATGGTAATTCATATAAAGGAGGTTCTGGCGGTGGGACAAACGGAGGCAATGGAGTGACTGGTATTAATGCTGGTGAGCCAATTGGACAAGGAGGAACACAAAATTCAGGCGGTTTTGGGTATGATAATATGAATGGAATTTTTGGATTTGGTGCGAATAAAACGCATGACCAACAAACTTCAGGAGGCGGTGGAGGTGGCCTCTTTGGAGGTGGAGCTGGATACGAAGGCGGATGCTCAGGTGGAGGAGGTTCTGGGGTTGTTTATTCAAGCTCAAAGCCTCCTCAAATAAGAGATATAAAAGAAATTAAATTTGAGAATGGTAATATGTTAGATGGAGTTAATATTGGAGATGGATATGCCGTTATTAGTAGATTTTATCTGTTGTACGAGAGAACATCGTTGTGCGACGGATCCAGCGCATTTTGCTATTTCCTTTTCACAAGATCAATGCTTTTGACAAATGAATAAACTATTAATTTTTTTAATACTTTTTATGATATGTAATCCCGAATTTCTATTCAAATGACAAAATGATTTTATTTTGAATAATGAGATTATATGTCATCTAATTTTTTTAATGAGATTATATGTCATGGGAATTATTCATTTTTTAATGAAAATGGAACAAAGCCATCCATTTGCAATGTTAATTGCACTTTTCTGTATCCATGTAATGATAAGCAATAGTTCTGGAATCCCTTTTTAAAGCCTCCAGAAATTTAATTTAAAAAAATCTGAAGACTTGTTAGACTGTTTTAGCTTGTAGAAAGGATTGTTACTTGTGGGTAAAACTTATATCAAAATGTTAGAATATTTAACTTGAATTGTCGAGAAATGATTTAAGTCACTTTTTGTATAATTGATAGAAGTTCGGGATTTAATCCCATTAATTTCTATTTAAATGGCAAAATACTATTTTGAATAATGCATACTATTTCATCCGATTTCAGTTTTGGTAAGTATTCGTTCTTAAACGAAAAAGGGAAAAAGCCGCCTGTTTGTTCTATCAACTGTAATTTTTCATATCCATGTGATGATAAACAATATTGTTCTGGAATAAAATTATCAATGAATCCAGGAAAGTATCTATTCGAAGTTTATGGAGCACAAGGAAGCCAAAGGACAAATGATGCAGGTGGAAAAGGCGGTTATGCCAAAATAACAGACATTTTTCTTTTCATTGGTTCTCAAGGAGTGTGGACATCAAACTCTGTATTTAGTCAGAACTCTTTTAATGGAGGAGGCCGTGGATATAATAATGGACCTGGAGGTGGAGCTACCGACTTTCGATTGTCAGAAAATGACCTCAGTTCTCGATTTTTGATTGGCGGCGGTGGAGGGGCAGAAGGATACAGGAGTAGTACATCATTTAAAGGAGGCTCTGGTGGTGGATTATCAGGAGGAGATGGAATTGTTGGAACTGATAGTTCAGCCACAATTGGAAGAGGAGGAAGTCAAATTTCTGGCGGATCTGGTTATAAAAATATGAATGGAATATTTGGATTTGGCGCAAATAAAACAGAGACAGGTATTATTTCAGGAGGAGGTGGAGGAGGTCTTTTCGGTGGGGGTACTGGGGAAGGAGCTGGTTGTTCTGGTGGAGGAGGTTCTGGATTTGTGTATTCAAATTCAAAACCTCCTGAAATAAGAGATATAAATGAGATTATGATAGAGAATGGAACTCTTATTGGAGGAGTTAATATTGGAGATGGATATGCTGTTATTAGTCGATTGTTGAGTTTATCTAATAATATCTGTTCATGTCATAACATTAATGCATATTTCTATTTCATATTTACTATTCTTTCATCTCATCAATTAATTGTTTTGTAATAAATAATAAATCTATTAAATTATCAACAAATGAGAAATTTCTCTTCGAAAATCATAAAATATCTTCATGTTTTGTTAATGATAGATAATAGTGTTTATGAACCTCGTAATGAGTCAAATGAATCATCCGGTTCGTTACGAGATGGATAAACACTTGGTTGAAGATTGATACCGGGACGTGTTAAGTCAAGTTTAGGAAGAACATCAAGTTCGGGAAGAGGTGGAAGACCAATGATTGTGCCTGCACGACATCGCTTCTGAACATTGACACGTTCTGAAATTGAAGGAACAATTGGTGATTCAAGTGGATAGATGATGTTTGGAGGTGAGTTTGAACGACGTTTCGATGAATATGATTCAAAATCAAAGCGTGTGTTTTTTTTTGATTTCTGCTTCTTAGGTTGAAGTGAGTCTAAGTCGTCAGAATCAAGTTCTTCTGGAATGAAAGCTTCAATAGAATCATTTTTATGATTGCTAATATTATTAATGTTGTTATTGTTGTTATTTATATTGAATTTTCGAGGTTCGGCATTAAGATTCTCTAATGAATTAAATAATTCTGAACTTTGTTCGGCAAGTAATAAGTTTTTAGGTGGTGACATAGATTTCAATTGAACAACAAGACTGTCAACACGTTCTAAACTTGATGGTGGTGGTGAGAGTGATTTCATTGGTTCAATAACACAGCCGGAGATGTCTAAAATCTCAGTGTCATTCTCTGGTGGTTTAAATTGTGGTAATTTTGGAACATAATCAAATGGTTTCGGTGGAAATTTGTTCTGCGTCGTGTTTCGAAGTGAGTTGAATAAACTGTTTGAACTTGATGGTGAACCAATATAAGTGTTCTCAAGACTGTCTTCTCTCATAAGAGGAAGTCGGTCGTTGTTATTATTGTTGTTGTTGTTTGGAAGTTTGAATGGAAATGCAAACTTTCCTTTAAGGGAGTCGTAGTTGTTTTTGATAACTTGGGCTGCAGGACCTCGAAGTTGAGAAAGAGGTAAGACTTGGTTGATGATGTCTTGTGGACTTTTGTCTCGAAGTGGGAATGTGTCACCCGGAAGTTTCAAAAAGCCGGTTGTTGTAAGCGCTGGATCAGTAGTAGAGTAGAGTGTGTCACATGTGGAGTCATCGATTGTAAGTGATTGTGTATTTTCGGTATCAAAGTCGCTTTCGAATGGAGAGCTTTTAGTTGTAGTCCCAAATTCTTCACTAAGTGTAAGTGTGGTGACGTCGTTACTACTTGTAAGAGATGAGCAAACATCAACCATGAAATCAATTTCAGAGCTGTTCAAGATTTGTTTCGGATATTTGGCATCAACCGATGAATGTAACGTTGTTCGCTCACTTTTTAGTTCTTTAATTGTATTAGAGATAGAAATTGCATCATTCAAAATTAACGAAAATGCTTCTGAAAGAGTATTTGCGTACTTTCGAACAACATAATCCCTAATTTCGATATGATCTTCATCTACTGGCTGTAGTTCGAAGCCTTCAAAATCAAATGATGACTTTTCAATATATCTTTGAAGCGGAGAAGGTATTATAAGTTCTCCTTGAGGTTTATATTTAGGAGGTGTGAACGGCGATTGGAACTTATTTTTCATATCAAAGATATCTAACGACGCAATTACTTCTTCAGTGTTTAAATCATGGTTTTCTTTTTTGTCTTTACTAGGTTTATCTTTGCTTTTCGACGAGCTGATTTGAATAGAATTCCTTGGATTAGGAATATCTGTGATTTGGATTGATAAAAGATTTTATTCAATCGAATTCAATTTTATTGAAAATAATTCAAATTCAATCGACAAAAATGCATGCTCTTTTATGCATTATCAAATATTTGAGAAATAATTTTTTTGAGAAATAAAATTTGAGAAAGGGACAGACTAGCCCATTGTCACTTTTTAATTTAGCAAATGAACGCTTATGGAGTGGAGTTTTTGGGTAAATCTGATTTGCTTATAAATGAAATAAAATCAAAAGAAACCATATTGGCATTATATTATGCAAAAATAAATGATCTTACTTAGTACTTTTAAAGTTAATTTCAGAAAAAATTTGACACAATGGTATCCGGCACATACAAGTGGTGTACAACCAAAATATAAGTTGGTTTAAACATATATTGCTATATCTCATGATCTTACTTAGTACTTTTAAAGTTAATTTCAGAAAAAATTTGACACAATGGTATCCGGCACATACAAGTGGTGTACAACCAAAATATAAGTTGGTTTAAACATATATTGCTATATCTCATGATCTTACTTAGTACTTTTAAAGTTAATTTCAGAAAAAATTTGACACAATGGTATCCGGCACATACAAGTGGTGTACAACCAAAATATAAGTTGGTTTAAACATATATTGCTATATCTCATGATCTTACTTAGTACTTTTAAAGTTAATTTCAGAAAAAATTTGACACAATGGTATCCGGCACATACAAGTGGTGTACAACCAAATCTTCGACTCGATGAACTTGTCATCGAGTTATATTCCAGTGTTGTTCCTTCATTCCTGATTAAGTTGCAAATTAAAGGTCTGGATTCAGAGAGAAGTGTTAAAGTTATCAAAAAAGTCACAAGAGATTTCGAAGAAATGACACAATTTAAAAAAGTTGAATGCATCAGTATGCTTGAAGCTGTTCAGAAAGGTCTGAAAAATGATACACTTGATCCCAACATTGTTTACTCAACATTAAAAATATTATTGCAAAGAAAAACATTTGATTTAATAAACATTTAATTTATTATAATTAATTTTTTATTACAGTATAGTAAAAAATGCTATAAATAAATTATTATATTTTATTAAAATGTGACTTTTAATAGTAAGTGAATAAAATAAATCAGGAATTGGGAAAGAAATAAGGTTAATTAAAAATAATGAAAATTACAAGTTTAAGGTTAATGAAAAGTGACAATGGGCGAGTTTGTCCCCCACTCAGAGAATCATGCGAAATGGCGTAATTTTTTGGATATCTATTCTTCAAAATTTGCTTCCAGGGACCAAATGATACCTTGCTACAAACAACAATAGGTATACTAGCAACCAAATTCCAAACCGGATAAATATCTTTCAAAATCCAATGTATTTCAGGATTCACAATAAAATCATGAAGTTCAAATGGATAACATATATACACACTATAGATAGTACGATGAGATTGTGAATTTAAACAACTTTAATTTGAGTTACACTATATTTATACCAATTGTTTAAATTCACTAAGCTTTCTTTATAAAGATATCTAATATTATAAAATATATTCCCTGTCCATTTTATGGAATCACAATATCTTTATGAATTGTTTTCCTAAACTCAAAATATATCACACATAGAGCAAATATTAAAAGCCTGGTACGTACTTGAGTGAGCAGTCAATTATATAGATTTGCTTATACGGAAATCTATAGTAATAGATCATTATTGGAGATAGATATTTCTTTTAAACAAAATTATTTATTTCATCTATAAATATCAGCATTTTGTATGTTTTGAGTATTCCGACAATACACGTGTGTATTAAATGGACAATAAAAGAAGATGACAGTATACGGAAAAAGTGGGTCTTAAAATCATTTTGGGTCTTATTTTTAACCGCAAAATTCCCACAATTTTGAATACTTTGGCAAAAAAACTTGGAAAAACATAGCGTCTATATACTATGTATATTAATATTTTGCAAAGTGTCAAAAAATAAAATTTTTTTTAAAAAAAATTTTAGGGAGTTCGAAAAAAGTAATGATTGTAAGAGATGGGAAGTATTTACGCTTGAAGTCGGAGCGGATATGAAAAGCATTTGTAGAGGCGCATATCTTGGTATGCAAAATTGAGATACTGTGTTGAAATCTACAAAATTCAAAATCTGACACAAGTCTCTCTGACCATATTAGACTCGTATTCTTTCTCTGTTGTATGAGATTTAATGAAAATGCTCGTTAATAGATACACATCTATTTAAAAATGATATCCGTTATTAAATCATATGCTCTGTGGACGCAGAAACTTGTGTTTTCGACTTTGTAAGTTGGTAATGAGCGATGCGAATGGGTCAGTTTGGTTAGTAAAGTCATCTAAGAAAAAATCGTTAATTGAACAATATGTAATAATTTTTGAAAATGAAGTAAACAGTATATTGAAATGTACAGTATTAAGCTACTCTTTGACCTTGTAAGTTTTGATCAATTATGTATGATAGAAAAGATGTTGAATTTTATGATTTTGTACTTTGTATGGAAATATGAGATATGAGATTTAATATGATTTGATTGCAAGTTGAAATTTTTGATTTTTATAATATAGCATTTTTATGATATAAAGAGTGTTTTTATGATAAAATTTTTGCTCAAAAACAAAAATTTTGGTAAAACGGTAATTCCTGGCTGACGTTAAAATATCCTTTGTTCTCCACTAAAAATAGTATTTAATGATATAAAAATCAATTATTTTGAGTATTCATAGACTTTTTTGTTGAAACTTCGAACGCATGAAAACTACTATGAGAATAGATTAGATTGAAAATAAACAGCGGAAACAAATTCAGCACATTTTATATGATTTAGTGCTGTGACAAAAGTATATCATTCACACTCAAAGGAAAATCTGATTATCCCAATAAAATAGAAATAAATCAATAAAAAGTATAATAGATGCATTCTATTTGGATGCTGATATTATATCATTTATCAAATTTTGAAAATATTCATTTTTCCCGAACTCGTCAAAATTTTAAAAAATGAATATTTATCAAAATAAATGCAGGATTTGTTGATTATATCATTAATACTCCATTCTTTTAGTAAATGCATGTGCATTTGCCTTTTCCTTGCAAAAGATTGAAATAGATTTTTCAATTTATTCTGATTAAAATATATTTTTCGTTTATCCATATCTATGTAAATACATTAAACATCATAACACTTTGAAATACTATTGTTTTAGTAATCAATTTCTTATCCTTATCATTTCTACAATTGGTATTATTCACTTCATAATATAAAAGTTCTAAAAATGTCAAAAAGTATTCATTTCAGGAATAAAAGACTTAATTTAAATTTAATATAATTATTTTTATATCTATACAAACAAATTGTGAGAACATTCAGGTGGCCCCATAAGTAATAACATATCAATATTTTGATATGATACCTCATATATAAGGTATGATTAGAAAGCTGAAATCAGCTTTTTCAATTTTTCATCAGTGAAACTGTTTGATACCTCATACCTATTAAAATAGCCTAATTTCAGTCTCATCCCTCTTGTATTCGTTGAGATAAGGAGATTTGAAATTATGCAATTTCGACGCCGTTACCCTCTCCATTTGCCACAAAAATGTAAGGGATATATAACATTGTTGTATAAATTAATATTTTATTGTTATTTTTTAAAAATAATACTTCAATCGTGCTAAAATTGAATTTTTTGATGCAAAAAATAACCTTAAACGGTAATTCCTTATGAACTTTGATCTTTAAATTTTAAACAATTTTGAGAAAGAAATATTGTTAATCGCTTAATATTCTTATGTATATAAGTTGATTATGCAGCTGTGTGTCAAAATCCAATATTTAATACCAATCTCATTTATTGTTCAAATTATTTTTATTATTATAATCATGAGATCTGGTATTATATGAATAACATCACATTTCAACATAAACATGAATAAATTTCAAGATTGCAAAACAATCACCTCAATTTCTCTATTTATTCATATTAACTTATTTTCGATATACCCATTAAATTAGTTTCATGTATGTTAGCATGTGACAATAGATATTTGAAGCTTAAATAATGGATTGTCGAAGAAATTAACAAAAAATTCTTATATTTTTGATTTATGATCATACAAACATAATAACTTACAACAAATATCATTATAATACATAATTACTATAGTTGGATCTCAAATTAAAAATAATATTATATTTGGATATTATTCTCAATAATTTTCAATTTTGCTTTATATGAGATTCAAACAGACCATTAGATACATGTTATAGCCAATCAATATTTTCATAATAATAAAAATTTTTTAGAAGATTGTTTTATGTTTTTTATAATTGACAGTCTATTTGTATCTACCTATCTTAAAATACATTTTATGTTTGTAATCGCTCTTCCACCTATAACAATATAGAACAATTCTGAATATTTTAATGTTTTGATATGGATAATTCAGTTATACCAAGATTGACTAAGTCTCTTGGTATGAACAGTGAACTTGAGAACATTCAATTGATTCATATTAATAAATTTGTGTCAAATTCAAATAATTGTTATTAGTAATCTTAATTTATTCAATATATATGACTAAAAACAATTTACTTGTTTCTTACTAATAGCAATCTTCTATTTATTTTTCAAGTATAAAAAAAAGAAAAAAAGAAATGCGTGGCACTTAATTCGAACTCGGAACCCAAAAAATAAAGCCAATCTGGCGGTTTTAACCATTAGACTACACCTCAATTTCATACAAAGTAAATTTCACAGATATTTATGAGTCTCACCCTGTCAAAAAATAAGACCAAAAGTGAGAAAAAAATATGAAAGAAATTAGATTAGAATGAACCATCATGGAATAGAAACGAAAACTATAACGTAGCAAACGAATGAGAGAAGTTCGAACTTTTGCTGCGATAACTTGGACAACAAAAAGTGACCAAATTGTTAATATCGATTTGATATTCTCGCAAGCATGTAAATAAGAATATTTTCAATTTTAATTAATCGCAGCGTCTATTCCATTGATCGTGAACGATTGCAATTGAAAATTTCAGAATGACCTGTCAAAAACTTTTATTGCTTTATATTAATCTGTATATATTAATTATCCCATATACGAAATTTGTTTGGGTGAATTGATCTTTTGTAAAGTAAGAAAATTGATAATCGTTTGACCACCCTTTATCAGAATTTTTTCCCAAGAATTTGTGAGGAAGCAATTCACATCACTTTCAACTTAACATGGTAGTTAAAGTTGCTATCAACGGTTTCGGCAGAATTGGCCGTCTTGTTTTCCGTGCTTGCCGCAAGCTCTATCCAAAGGATATCAAAGTTGTCGCTATCCACGATCTTGGTGACATCAAGACAAACGTTTACCTCCTTAAGTACGATACAGCTCACCGTGCATTCCCAGAGCCAGTCACAGTCGATGAGGTTAAGCAGGAATTCACAGTCGGTGAAGGCGCTGACAAGTGGGTTGTTAAGTCAATCGGTGGCCGCCTTGGCCCATCCCAGCTCCCATGGAAGGAGCTCGGCATCGATGTTGTCCTCGAGTCAACAGGTATCTTCCGTACAAAGGCCCAGAAGGATGCTGAAGGCAAGATCACAAAGGATGGTTATGATGGCCACCTTGTTTCTGGTGCTAAGAAGGTTGTCCTTTCCGTCCCATCTGCTGATGAGATCGAATGCACACTCGTTCTTGGTGTCAACGATGAAGACCTCAAGCCAGAGACACGATGCATCTCCAACGCTTCCTGCACAACAAACTGCCTTGGCCCAGTCGCTAAGACACTCAACAACGCCTTCGGAATCCGCAACGGCTTCATGACAACAGTCCACTCCTACACAAACGATCAGGTTGTCGCTGATACAATGCACAAGGATCTCCGCCGTGCTCGTGCTGCTGGCATGAACATCATCCCAACATCCACAGGTGCTGCTATCGCTCTTCCAAAGGTTTGCCACGGTCTCCCACCAAAATCCCTCGATGGCTTCGCTCTCCGTGTCCCAACAATCACAGGCTCCCTCGTCGACCTCACAGTCAACGTTAACGCCAAGGTCACAAAGGAGGAAGTCAACGCCGCCCTCAAGAAGGCTACAGAGGAAGGCTCCCTCAAGGGCATCATGACATACGTCACAGACCCAATCGTCTCATCTGATATCATCGGCTGCCAGTACTCATCCATCGTTGATGCTCTCTCCACAAAGGTTCTTCCAAACCCAGAAGGCCAGGGCACACTCGTCAAGGTTCTCTCCTGGTACGATAACGAGTGGATGTACTCATGCCGCTGCGCTGATATCTTCCACCGCCTTGAGAAGTACCTTTAAACTAAACAACTTTCGCTGATTGATTACATCATATATCCTAGTTTTATTCCTTCACTTGAATCAATAATACTCTGTTTCTAATCATAATATCCGAAGAAATTGAATCATATGAATAGACTTTATCATTGTGTGTCATTTCTTTGAGCTCGAAGTAGCTTAATGATTCCAAATGAATATTGTCTTGATAGCAATAAAATCATCAAAAAGAAAATGAAAATTCTTCAAGCTTTGGGTATTTTGTAATCAAAATAAGAAAATATATGAATTTCTACTTTGTTAGCAATGACTTTTGTTTAGAGATTTTATCATTTTATTCAAGAATGATTTTGTTATTTTACTTGAGCAAGTCTCTCGTTCCTGAAGGAGCGCCGCCTTCAACATGGGAGCAGTATGCAGCTAACATTGATGAACAATCTGGCCAGTTTACTTGCTTTGATGGTAAGAAAAAAATCAAGATCAGCCAAATCAACGATAATTTTCGCGATTGCTTAGATGGGTCTGATGAGCCTGGAACTTCTGCATCCAACGAAGGAACTTACTATTGCTCTAACAATGGATTTATTCCATATCCAATAGCTAAATGGAGTGTTGGTGATGGAATTTGCGACTGCTGTGATGGTGCTGATGAAAAAGACAATCCTAGAGTTCAATGTCCTAATACTTGTGCAAGGAAAGAGCACGAAAGATCAGAAGCTGCAAGAGATTATATTGATTCATTAAATTATGGTTATAAAAGAAGATTTGAAATGGAGTCACAAGGTAAAAAGATATATCGCGCCGAAATGGAAAAAATTGAAAAATATAAAAACGAAATTCAAGAATTGAACGAATCAATTAATAGATTACAAAACGAAATAAACAGTACCGAGGTATATGAATCGCAAACAATTGAATATTCACCATTCCGCGATTTTATTTCAAATATCTATGATTTTACCTTCGGATGGCATGATTACTTTTCACCAAGCAGCTCAAGTGCATCAGAAAAATTACTTAAAAAGCAAAAAGATCGATTAAAAGATTTATCTGCAAAATACGATGAAATTGCCAACTTTTCCAGCGTTAATTCCGAATCTATACCATTGTTTTCATTATACGAACATGAATACAGACATGACAGATTTATTGTCAAATTATTGAAAAATATTAAAGACAGAAGCAATACGATCGGCATTTTCAAGTCATATAATCCATCTACTAGGACTCTTACTTACGATGATGGCGATTTCTGCTTTGTTGTAAATAATTCCCGTAAAGCCAACATAAAAATGGAATGTTGGAAGACAACAAAGCTCATTTCTAGCTCTGAGCCACGAACATGTGAATATGAATTAGTTTTAGCAACTCCACTCGTTTGCGAAACAAATTCATCTGATATTTTCAAGAACATGACCATTGATCAAATCAATGAGTATGGTACTCGCTTTGATCAATAATTGATTGTAAATTTTTGGTAATAAAATATATATTATATAAACATAAATAGAATTTTTAATCATAACAAACTGCATGACAATAACAAAATAAGAAAATAATTAGAAATATGGCATTATAGAGCAAATGGTTTGATTTTGCAAATTTTGATTGAATCATAAGCAAAATATAATGTAAACGCAGTTAATCAACGCCTGAATTCTTGAACATTTGCTTCAAGAGGCGTTGAGTGTCATAATCATTATCAAAAGTATAATCTGGAGGAAATAGCTTAGGAGTAACTTCACTGACATCATATAATTTGCGTAATTCTGATGGTATGTGAGGATCATTTTTGCCGCGTAATTCTTCATTAGAAGAATTACCATAATTATCATATTTTGGATAATTAAGAACGTAAACTTTGTTTTTCTGCGTATTTGAAGAGTCCGATGCATATCGAGTTGTTCTTTGTGGTGTGTATGGTTTCGTATTTGTTTGTTCAGCAGTTGATGTTATTCTTTCAGAATGCGAAGTATTTTGTTCCCTCATTTCGCTTCGATTATTTCTATTTGGTGTGCTTGCTTGCTTTTGGGAGTTATCTGACCAAAAAACGGAATTAATATTAAAAGCTTTAATATTTGCGATATCTTCCCTTTCTAGAAACTTCTCACGAATGTAAGGTTCTGATATCATGTCGAGTCTTTGAAATTTTGGGAAATCCACATTCCCTTCCCATATCTGACCCCATTGGATTTGCATAAAATTAAAAAAAATGTAAAAGCACTCTAAGAATTTAAACATGAAAAGTTGATTGTGTAAAAAGATCAAGACTGAGAATTGCCATACTGGTTTTTTTGAATCAAGAAATTATAAATATTCAACATTGAAACAGAAGATCTATCTTTTAGTTGTGTGATTATTAGTCAATATGAATATTGCGTTTAAAGAAATGTGGGAAAATTAAAGAACGATTTCGTTTTAAAAACTTATTTTAATGTCCAATCCTTTGAATTTAAATATTTTGGGATTGATAGGTCTTTAAAAGAGAGATTTTAACTAGAATTTGGAAATCAGATATATTCAAAAATTTTGCATAAATTAAAAAGTGGTATAAACATTAATCTAGCGAAATCCATATCGGAGTTATTCAAACATTCAATTGTATTGAAAAAAAAATATGTATTGAAAAATGTTGTCGAAAACCTATTTTATTTATCATGCCTTTATTTCCAATATTTATTTAGAAAAATTCTTTTCTTTATGATCATTTCACTTCAATTGGAATATTCATTTTAGTATGGAAAAAAATGGGGGAACCGGTGTTCCCATGTACATCAATCACTTATCTGAGATTGATAGAGAAGCTTATATGAAACTTAAAAATGATATCAATTTGGCAATCTCAACAAATGGTCGAACGAAATTTTGTAGTCTATTCTCTGAGATAATCAATAAAATTCGGAAATACGTTGTGCAAAATGACACCAACGATGATTTTAGGTCGCTTGTATGCGGTATAATTTGGATGGGCGATACAATAGCTATAAATACAAGGCAACTAATGTGCGCGATAAACAAATGCAAATCCTCTATTAACAGTGGCTTTCAAGCCATTGGATATTCGACGGTTTCTATGGATCCAACATCGGCATCGAATCTTGTGCGTCACTTTCCTTTTATGAAAGATAATCTAAATGAAACTCGCCAATGGACTTTAAGAAGGCTCATCAAAAAGAACAAATGTCCGACTCCAAATATATCTCCACTGATCTCGCCACCTCAAATCTTTGAAAGCCCTGTAACCATAACAGATTCAAACTTTGAGTTTGATCCTTTGGTTGTGCCTTCCTCCGATCTTTTGCTTCCGCAGATTTCTGACGAGCCTCCTTACTTGGAGCCACTTAACATGCCATCTATCACAGAAGATAATCATGATCCTATGTCTTTTTATACATTATAAATTCTTTCTATCGAATTATATTTGATATTTATTTTAATTTTCAGGCAGTTGCTTCCTAATATTTCTTTTTATGCTTCTATGTTGTCTGTTTATTACTTTAAGAGTCTTTCATTGCATTTTCACGAATTAAATTTGCCACTCAGAAGATGTAATTTCTCATGCAAATTCATAATAGGATGAGATGCTTGTCATTCAACGAAGTGCACAGCAACTAAAAAACGTAGTAAATTTATCATAAATCATTCAATTTGATAAATTTTATTCAAAAAAAATCTTTTTTATGAGATTATAGAATAATGACAGCCAGATCTGTCAGTGTGTGTATTATTCAAATATCTGGATTCTGGTTTCTGGGTTGAAGAAATATATGCAAATGCAAATGTGGAAGATAACTCTTTCACATTTCTCGCTCAATATGTAATTACATCATACCATGAAGAAACTATGTATAAATATTAATTTATGTTTATTGTATATACTGTTGTCATGTAGTAATTGAGATTCTAATGTTTGCTTCGAAAAATTATAAATATTGAATTGTTATTTTACAATAATTTCTAATTTCAAGAATAGAAATCATATCTTTATTATTAATAAAAGTTTTTCGCCCTTTTAAAAATATAACTTTTCCTTTAAAATTTGATGAAAAAATAGATTTAAATTATTAATTCTAAAAAAAATTGAACAATCCAAAAGCAAATTCTTCAATTAATATTGATGCTTTTGCTTTTTCAAAATTAAACAATAAGCGTGAATTAACATCGACGGATGTATTTTTCAAATTTAGTAACATGTTTGATAAAATTTCAGAATAAAATTGAAACAATTTCATCAAACTACTTCAAATATATGCAAAAATCATATTTAAGCCTAGAGTTCGGTTATACTCCATGAAAGAACAATAATTTTGAAGAAAAACATACTTTTGAATTCGATTCACTAAATGATACACCTAATATACCAACGCCGTATAGTATTTAAAGTACATTATGGAAGAACTAGCATATTGTCAAAGATACGTAGTAAATTAAGTTCTGAATGGAATTTGAAATTTTCAGAAAGTTCTAGTATTGTTAGTACTTATCACAAATACAATTTATGAAGTAACAAAGCACATAGTATTATAAAAAAGAAAAACATTTTTCTCATATGAAAGAAAATATAACGTATTTTTACAGAGCGTAGGTATATATCGAGCCAATTCACACCATAAATTCTTTTCTCGTTCTCGGGCCTATAAACAACCTGAGGTGCACAACAATATTAACTTATATTGCTGTTATCTGGATTTGAATCCTCAATTGAGAGAATTCCAGATAACTTCAGTATAAACAAACCATATACATGTTTCCTCCTTGCTTCTAGGCCAAGCATAACAAGTACATTACCTTAGAGCAAATCTCATTCGGAGTTTCTCATTTAATGAGAGACTCCGAATGAAATTTGCCTATTTGATTAATATCGTGCTTTATGAGATGCAAATTCTGATGATAAATATTGATCTAGAGCTTATATAAGATGCGAAGAAACTTCAAAAAAAGCTAACCGGTAAAGACAGCAACTTGCAACACCAAGTTGCTCACGTAGTGATTACAAGCATATCTGCAAGGCAAAGTCCTCAGGATGCAGAACTTTGCCTGCAATCAGAAAAGAGATTGCAGCAGAGTAACCGGTAAAGACAGCAACTTGCAAAGTCAAGCAGTTTCTGAGATTTTGATTTATAAATCATAAACCTTCATGCTTGATGATTTTGTAGAATTGTTAACTCATGTCATCAGTTAAAGCTCACCTAAGGGAGGTGTTTTGCGGGAGCTGGGGGTATCTTGGTGAGTACTCAGGAGGCCAAGAAGGGCACCCCAACCGACATTTTGCTGATGGATTGAGTTCGCAACCATTTTTATAACCGTAAAAACCGTCGGGACAAAACAACTTGAATAATTGAATTTTTTAATGATAATGATTGTGAAATAACATGTAACTATAATTTAAGAATGCCATATTTTTGTTAAAAAAAATTTCGAAAAGTGAGATATTTTCCATTTTAATAAATATATTTGATAACAGGGTGTTCCCCGGAATCAAATAAATTATCATATCGAGAATCGGAGATCCTTGCAGTTTCGATTTTTTCGAAAAGTGAGAGATTTTCCATTTTAATAAATATATTTGATAACAGGGGTCCCCCGGAATCAAATAAATTAGCATTACTAACATTCCTTTTTTATTTAAAATTTTCAATTCTTAAAACAAAGTTTTACTTCTATTTAATTATTTGCCATGAAAGTATAGAACATTAAAATTCATCCTACTACCTCCACCCTTATAATACCTTCAAAAAAATTATATCTCAATTTATTTTCTATCTTTATATTGATGTGCTTATTCAAAAACACTAAATCATAAGTCTTCAGTTCTCAAAATACTCTCAAATTATCTCATTGCGCATATTTTGAAATTTGATAATTTTAAATTGTTAAAAAATTCATTAATCACAGTAAAATATCTATATACAACAATTAACTAACTGATTCCACATCTTGAACATTCGCATTTATTTAATATATTTGAATATCATTTACATCTTATTGAATTAGATCATAAATCACAGTTCTCTAATATACTATCTAGCTAATCATTATTGTTGCACAACTTACATGTGATTAAACACACGTGTATAATTCTGTACAACTCATATCTCTATCAATACTTTATTTATAATCAAAACAAAGGTTAAAATTGTATACCCTGTCACTGTAGAGTATTCTCCCAACTTTAAAGTGAAAATCAAAATTTGATATTTTAGTAATTTCATGTGAGATTGTTATTTTATAGGAAAACATACTGAAAATGTTTATAAGATGTTTCTCTATCATATGCCAAAATATCATGGTTTAAATGCTCTCCTAAGTGTCTATAACTGAATTTTAGGGCAATAACCTTATTCTTATGACTATTTTCCTGATCGAAAAAATCTCAGAATTGATGACGTTATTATAGAAATTTATACAAAAGTGATACCATCTTTCGTTATCAAACTCAAAATTGATCAAAATCCAACAGATGACCGTGTTATTAGGATCATGGAAAAAGCAACTAACGCAGAAATTGATGTAAAAAGACAAAGAAAAATCGAGAGTATTTCAATGCTCAATAGATTGCTCAATGCTGTTAGTGATGACTCAATAGATCCCACTAAAATATGTCCTACCTTGAAAGTATTATTACAAAGAACTCATTTTATTTAATTTTGATTTTAATTTTAGATTAAATTATTAAATTTTAATTCTTTATTTTTTAGGATTGTTAGCTTTGTAAGATTGCTTTCTCACAAGAGAAAACAAGTATAAGGTTTAAGCTGTATGTATTAAAGTTATAAATATTTGATTTTAAAAAAAATCAAGATTTTAAACTTTAAAGGTATTAATTATGATTATCTTTCTTTAGCTTTGCATGCTGTATGCTACTTTTGGAAACTGCTCTATTGTATTAGAATGTTTTTAAATTTTGCACCTAAAAATGCGTAATATTAAAAATTAAGGTATTAATTATGATTATCTTTCTTTAGCTTTGCATGCTGTATGCTACTTTTGGAAACTGCTCTATTGTATTAGAATGTTTTTAAATTTTGCACCTAAAAATGCGTAATATTAAAAATTAAGGTATTAATTATGATTATCTTTCTTTAGCTTTGCATGCTGTATGCTACTTTTGGAAACTGCTCTATTGTATTAGAATGTTTTTAAATTTTGCACCTAAAAATGCGTAATATTAAAAATTAAGGTATTAATTATGATTATCTTTCTTTAGCTTTGCATGCTGTATGCTACTTTTGGAAACTGCTCTATTGTATTAGAATGTTTTTAAATTTTGCACCTAAAAATGCGTAATATTAAAAATTAAGGTATTAATTATGATTATCTTTCTTTAGCTTTGCATGCTGTATGCTACTTTTGGAAACTGCTCTATTGTATTAGAATGTTTTTAAATTTTGCACCTAAAAATGTTGCATGCTAAGATCAGTCATAATGTAAACCTCTCAATTTTATTGTCGTGGGAAGTATCTCAATTCCTTCAAAAAAATTGAAAAACTATTTAATTTTAAAAATATAATACTTTTAATTAGTTAATTAATTGGAGATATTTTTTAAAAATCACTTTTGATAATACTTTTGAGAACTTTAATTAAAAAAATATATTCAAAAATATCCAGGATATCAAGAGGGAATTGTTCCTTATGAGGTATATAGTTATGATGTATACCTCATAAGGAACAATTCCCTCCTTAAAATGAGAAAACTTGTTCGAAATTGTTTATCATTTCGAATAAGTTTTCTCGTTTTTAATAGGAAACTAAAGGCTATGAGGCACTGATTATATATTAGTGCCTCATAGCCTTTAGTTCCTAATAGATAGCTGGGGAACTTTCTCCAAATGATAAGTTATTCAGAGAAAGTTTCCCAGTTATCAAGAGGGAATTGTTCCTTATGAGGTATATAGTTATGATGTATACCTCATAAGGAACAATTTCCTCCTTAAAATCGTAGACATTTTTATACTTATTAATCAACCATTCAAAATCATATTCCTCTGAAAAGTTATTTTATTAAAAATTTAGAATTTTAATAAATATAGAGTTTGAATTTCATAAAATACCTATATATTTTCAATAATGGAATTTGAAAACCATTCTCAAAAGTTCTCAGAAAACCTTTTTTTCCGTTAATTTTAAGAAATCTGAGTATTAAATTAAGTGATAAATTCGTTTGACACTACTTTAATTTTTAAATTCAAAAAATTATATGTGCTTCTTAAAATGACTCAAAAAAATTTTATTATAAAATAATATATAATATTAAAAATCCCACAACATTTTTTTTTACTTTACATGATCGTACTTCCTCGATGATTAATTTTCACTCAATTTCTATCGTTGACCGAACTTAGCATGCAACACTGTATGCTACTTTTGGAAACTGCTCTATTGTATTAGAATGTTTTTAAATTTTGCACCTAAAAATGCGTAATATTAAAAATTAAGGTATTAATTATGATTATCTTTCTTTAGCTTTGCATGCTGTATGCTACTTTTGGAAACTGCTCTATTGTATTAGAATGTTTTTAAATTTTGCACCTAAAAATGCGTAATATTAAAAATTAAGGTATTAATTATGATTATCTTTCTTTAGCTTTGCATGCTGTATGCTACTTTTGTCTTTGAGACATTCCATGATTTAAGTTAAGAAGCTTTCAAAAAAATGCAAAAAAATTGAATACTTTACTGGCTGGGCAAATTTGTCGCCGCCCCAAGATCATTTCCTCCGAGAAAATTCATATTCATTAACGATTTTACTGAATCACAAATTAAAAAGCTGCTAGACAATGGTTGATTGCATTCATAACGTAGAAAGTCAGTATCGATTTATCAAATATTTTTTTTCTGTAAGTAATCGTCGTTTTTGACAACTAAAATGTGGAGTTTTGGCGTTCCGAACCTTGCAAGCATCGAAGCTCTGGTCGAAAAGGAGGATACAACTGTGGAAGCTGTTCTAGATGATCCAGCTTTCATGGCAGCCATTAGAAATGGCATTCCAATGTTGATAAACTTCTTAGTCAAACCACAGAATATCAATAGACTCCTAGATTTAGCATTTAACGGAATAACACCAAATACTAAGCTACCTTCTAAAACAATTCGTACAGCAGTTTCTGTTTTATCAACAGGAATTTCAAATATGATGAACAGATTACTTAATACGCCAGAATTTACAGCAAGAATCATCGAGTTTCCCAACACAGAATACAGCGCAAATCCAAGAGCTTGTGGTCATTACTCGAAAATCGTAGAAAGCCTTGCTAGATTCAGCAACGGGAGCTTCCTCTCACAGCTTACAGGTCTTAAAGAGTTTCTCACTCGTAACATCAAATGCATAGGCCTTAGATACTTATTAATTTTCCTTTGCACAGATTTCCCAGATACATTCAAAGCCAACGAGGAATTATTCTGCAATTTAGCACAGTCGATCACAGAAGAGAACGGCTGGTACACAATTACAGCAATTAAAGAAATAATCAAATCAAATAGCAATTTTGCCAGCGAATTATGCAATCCACAGTGCATTACTCATCTACTTACTGCTGCCTCTAACCAGGAGTTCAGCCCCATGCTCCAAATGGAAACTTTCAATCTTATCGGAATGCTCCTTACAAATATCGACCAGCAGCCTGATATTAAGGAGATAATATCACAGTCATGCTCCAATTACGATTTCAGCCTCCCACACCCACAGAATGTTTTAGCAGCCGCATTAAAAGTTTATGTTACAGACAAACCCGAAATTCTCCTCAAAATATTCGACAATACTACATCTACATTCCTCAATGATGGCATTATCAAGTCATTCCAGGCAATGTCTCAAGATCAAATCCAAGATTTTGAAAAAACACATAATTTAACATCACAGATCATAGAAAACTTCCCTAAGACCAAGACTAACTACCATCTTACACTCCTTTCCAACATTCTCAATGAAAAATTGTCATCAAAATCAGAAGATTGGACAAACTTCGTTCAGAAGCAGCTTGCTGAGAGAAATCATAACAGAGAAAAGGTCTATGGTGAGAAATCTTCAACAAGTGAAGACGACGGAAAGAATTCTGATAAAGATTTTTCAGATTCGTCGAGCGATGACATTTCATCCAGTTCTGACTCATTAGATTCATCCAGCGATGAAGATGACGACGACGATGATGGAGAATTCATCATAACTCACTCAGATGACTCTTCACCAACAACAAAGATTTCATTCAATGCTGATGGTGAAGCAGAAGTCATAACATCCGATGAAGAAGTCATTATTGTCGAAAAAGAAAACACTGAAAATCAAAATGAGGAAGAATCGAAATCTGAACAGCCAAATTCAGAACAAAATCAAGAAACAAAGGAAGAGGAACACAACAATGACAATGAAAAGAAGGAAGATTCAAACGAAAAAGAAAATCAAAATTCTGAATCTCCAAAACCAGAAAATTCTGAAAATTCAGAGGTACAGAAACCAGAAGACACAAAAATTGAAGAGCCAAAGCCAGAGGAACAAAAAAGTGAAGAATCAAACGCTGATTCGAAGGCAGAGGAAAATATAGAGAATAAGGCTGAACAGCAACCAGCTAAGGAATAAGTGTATGAAATTACTATGTCCATTTTTTGTTAGGTCAGTAAATGTAATTTTTGTAATTTTTTTCTCAAATCAAAACACGTTTTTAATAATCTAAACCTCTTAACTAACACTAAAACATCATAACAACTAAGTTTTAGACGATAATTTGACTTTTTAGATAAAATATTAATATTTCATCGAATTAATTCTTAATTTATCGGGCTCATTTAGAGAGAATTTTGATCTATGAGCCATTCTGAGTAGTATTTGATGTACGTATGCATATTCGATTGATTTCTGAGAAATCAATTTTTTCTTGTTGCTTTGAGTTCACAAATTTTTGCAATACAAAAATATTTTACATCTAAAGCACATCTTGGTTTTAATTTTTTTGAGCTGATTCGTTCGGGGAGATAAAAAAATAGTTCAATCCGTATGACTGAGCTTTTTCCAAGTGAAACTCCTCTCACTAAAGAAATCTTACAGGGGTTTTACAAGGAAAAACTCAGTAACGATGCCTTTTTTAGTAATTTTATTAAAAATCATGGGTTTCAGCTCGTTTTCGAAAAAATTTTCTTCAATCAAGAAAATCCACAGCTCGGCAAGACCTTATCAATGGCATTTAGCACATATCCAACCATGAAATTATACGGAAATACAAATTATTCGAAACTTTTTAGTTTTTTTTCGTCAGCTATATCAGGTAATAAAATACGTCCAATTATGAGTGAGCAAGCAGCATGTTTTATCGCAACAATCTTTTCTTTACTATCGCCTTACTTCAAAAACCTCACTTCATATTTTATGAAAAATTTATATCAGAATTTTCACAATTTTATTGAGAAAAGATGCATCAATGTCTACGGGTTTTGCTTTGCCCTACTTCTTAAATCGAATAATGACGATTTATCTCCACCTCCAAATATCACGATTTACAAAACACTGGCAACCCAATTTAATACGTCTGTGGATACCAGGGCATCGATATTCGAAGCAATCTTGGACTCCGCGTTAACTATTCCCAATGCTTTAATACCAATGAACAAAGCTGTTCCGATTGGTTTATGGTTTAACTGCGTTTCAACGCCATTGAACCAAGTTGTATGGCTGATGACGAAGATAAACGAAAAAGACCCTTCCCTTGTTACACAATGCATTCCTTTTATGCTCAAAGCCTTTTTAAATAAATCATGTGATTTTGAATTTCTCATTCAAGCCATGAATATCATCGACGAGCAACTACAACTAGGATACATCAATACTACAACACTTTTGGAGTCGAATTTCCTTTCTGCGTTCATTATTGGATTACCTGATAAATTTTTGATAGATATCTTAACGCAATTGCCAGCATTCATGCATATATCAGTAGATATATTCACTCTGCCTGCTGCTGTCTCGTTTAGACCTTCAGTTTTTCAAAAAATTACATCATTAGCTTCACAATTTCCGAATTCAACACAGTTTGTAGGTGTATGCTCAGGATTCTTCATAGCTGATCCTACAGCTGGAAATATGAAATTACTTTTAGAAGCAACAGAATTTACAAAAGATCCTTCATTATTGAGAGCTTTGATTGTAGTTTTCGGAACAAATAGAGATACAGCACCAACATTTGTCTCAATAAATGGCATATTTTGGCTCTTTGACCATTTTAAGTCAGGATTAATCCCGGCCGAGCTGATTGCAGACGTAACAGGCTCTTTGGTGTCATATGGTGGCTTTGATGAACTGGAAGATTCAATTTGGAACCTTCCAAAGGACTCTCCGATCTTTTCTTTGCCAAATCATTTGATAGAAAAAATGTTTTATGGCACGAATCATTCCAAATACCGTCCAATCAGAACATACTCCATGTACCCATACTATAAACCCCAGAAAGAACTCGATCCTTACAACGCTTACATATTAGGAAGATTTTATCTCAACAGATACTTCAAAGATGGCGGAGATCCCTTCAAATGTCCCATGATATCAGACATAGCCAATCAATATCTCGATCCAAAATTGATGAAAACCATGATATCTCAACCATATTCAATAGAAAGCTTCTGCAATACGAAAAAGGACCATTTTCCACTGTTCCAATTTTATCCAAGTTCACAAGAAACAAGTTTCCAAGCAAATTATACAACAATTTCATTTTGGATAAAATTTTTAAACAAAACAGAGAATTCTCCATGGTTTTTCCAAGCAGATGACATTGAACTATCATTTTCCAATGGAGATATTCTATTATCTTCATCAGGTCAGTCGATGGCCGTGAATTTCGAACATGAAAAGTGGAATTTCATATTAATAAAGATCCAGCCATACTTAATGTCCACAGGAGTCATCATAAATATCAATGAGAACCAGTATACGATCGAAATGAAGCAGAAAAGACAAAATTTAACATATGCAAATTTCAAATCTGCCGGAGAAACACTCATGTTCATTGGTTCAGCGATCAGGCTCTTCAAGAACCCTCCGAACATCACTCAGCTCATCAGCAAAGGTCCAAGATTCATAAATTATACACAAGGAAACCCAGAAGATAAAATTATGACTCCGACCGTCATGGAAGAAAAAACGACAAGTGTCACTTTTTCAAGGGGTGATAATTGTTTCTTAGTTCAATATTTCGGATTACCTTTACACTTTGTTTCCATTGCGAAAATACGCAAATTAATTGGCTTTCTTCAGAAATCGAAATCAAAAGAAGAATTTGCATCGTTACTTCGCACAATTTTAAGCATTTCTGAGATCATAAAGATAAGTGTTCGCAGAATATGGCCATTGCTCTTGTCAACAATCATGAAATGCCAAGGTTTGCTGACAAAAGAGTTATTTGACGAATGTGTATGCAGAATATCCAAAGTATTAGACGTCAAAAAGACAATATCATCGATTGTCTACAACTCAGAGCTCTGGACAGGCAACAATGACGTTTTGGCCATTGATGACATAATAAATTCATTGTTCAGAAACTTTTCTTCCTATAATTTGCACTTAATCGATAACTTTGAGCTATTCTTAGTGCAATGTATCATCAATACTCCAACAAAATCCGAAGAAATCTTTCATGCCTTGTTTAATAACGTCAAAAACATGCCATTGTTCATGAAATACATCACTGTCTTCCTCAAGGTCGCACCACAAGTGTACATAGCCGCTATAAGTTGGGAAAGCCTTGAATACAGAGAAGAAAAACAAGTTCAATTCGTAATTGTCAAGTCGTTGAGCAAATTGGTCAATGAAGATACATTCCAATTAGTTGTAAACGCTCTTCCATTCGACGATCTCTTGTCTTTGATGGTTGTTTCCTCTCGAAATTTCGCATTTGACATATTTTTGTTGATGACAAAAATGACAAAATTTGACATCAACTATTTACAAGTCAATGACATTTTAGAGATGGAAGTCGCCACAATCGCGAATCATCCTACTGTCTGGAGTGAAGTTATTGAACTCATAATCAGAGGCCAAAACACAACACCCAAAAAAGATTTCATTTCTCTAGGAATGATGTTGATTTGGGCTGCTTCTGTTTGTATGGTCCATATGTATTCATATAACTTAGAACTCACTCATCACATGGATGAACTGAACTCTTTATTGACAGGAATGGTTGATTTGTGTTCCAAAAACATTTCTTTGGTTTTGTCAAATTCACATAATGTTAATTTGATTTGTTTGTTGTATCCATTGATTTTGCATCACGGAAGACTCTTTAAATCATTCGTAGAAGACGAGTCGATATCATGTGATCCGTCTTTGGAATCATTCTCAATCCAAAATTTGAATTTAAACAAAAATATTTGGATTGATTACGATGAAATTGTCAAAAATTTGGTTCCAGGAATTTTACAAAAACCGCCATTACCTTCTCAATATATTTTAGAGAAGATATCGATTGTTTTACAACAGAATGGATTCAGTCTTCCTATGCCGACTGTCCAGGAAAACAACGAAACTGTTATTAGTTGGTTTGCTGGATCAAAAGTCATCATGTTTTTGACAGATTTGATTTTATTCAGTCAACAAAGCAATTTTTCGATAATTTTCGAGTCCATATTCTTCAAATTTGCTTTGATGACATCACAGAGACTAGATCCTTTCATTCCAACATTAGTTCATTCTGTTTTGAGTCGAATTCCGATTTGTTACACTCCAACATTACCTTTCCATCAATTATTTAAATATCTACATTGTTTAGTTGGTCTGCAGTTCCTTTCTGAATCAGCTTTATTAGTATTAGCTGATATATTCACAGCAGCAACAGTAATTGTTTCTAAACAAGGCGAAAGTGGTTTGGAAAATTACACAGAAGATATTCATCCAATTATTTTGTATTTATTCCAAAATATTCATTTTGAAAGTTATCCATTAGCTTTTAATTTGTTTAACCAGAACGCGCAGATGTTCTATTTGATTGTCAATTCGTGCCAATCACTTCCTGCATGGATATTCACTTTTAACATGCCAAATATGCAATCCCAAAAATTTGAATTTTTCATAAAAAGATTGTTAACGGTTGGAAAAGTGACAAAAGAAGAAGAAACATTATTAAATGCATTGCTGTTAAAGAAGCCCAATAAGAACTCCGAAGAAATAATTCCTAGTTTAACAGAGAACAAATGGAAAGAACTGAGTTCAGAATTCCAAACAAAATTCCAGAAAATTTTGAAAGAATTAAAAGAAATACAAACAAATACGATGATTCCTCCAAGTTACACAATAGAAACACACAGAATCAAGTACACAACAAATTGCCAACATTATGTTTTAGCACATTTATTATCACATTCCTTGAGATTCCTTCAATCAACAGTCCAATTAATTGAAGAGAAATTGCAATGGAAGAATTTGACTTTTGATTTGGAAGATGAAGGAAATGATGTGAATAAATTTAATCCACAGAGTTATCAGTTGAGTTTATCAACATTCCCTTATAATCTACCACATTTGATTGTTCCTTCTCCTTACAAAGATAACTTAAACACTCCAACAAAAATCCACAAAGATCACATGAAATTTATCAAGTCAAATTCAAGAGATTTAGGACTGGATTTGTTTGATTTATTTACTAAATCTAAAGTAAATAAATACGGGCAATTGTTGGCAACGAAAAATGTTGGACTCGAGAGATTATCCAAATCAATTCAAAGTATTTTGTTTTGTTTCCAAAAAGTTGTTTTTATTTTGACTTACGCAATGATTGATGAAGATAACGATATAGAATTGATGCCAATCATTGATAACAATCAATTTAATGACTTTGTGGAACAAGTTTTCATTGGATTGTGGGGAGAAACATCAATTTTCGCCAGAAAAGTTGTTTTGAAAGTCTACACGAGACAAATTTTATATGTTCAATCTTTGAAAGGTGATTCTGTTTCTGTTTGGACTTATCAACATGGAAACTTCATTCTTAGAATGAATTATGATGACATTGAGAGCTTAAGAAGCTACTTTTCTAGAATTAACTCTATTTCTATATCGATAATGCCTCCTTTGCCAATGTTGCATAAATTTAGATCGAGTATAGAAATCGAACAAATGTGGAATTCAGGAAAAATTTCAACTTTGCAGGCACTTTTGGTTTTGAATGCAAAAGAAAGTCGTTGTTTCGCTGATGTTGAGAATTTCCCTGTGTTTCCTTTAGTATTCCAGGATAATGGAATAATTCCTCCTAATTTGAACCAGATTTACGAAAATCAGAACTTGAAAATTCTGAATTCAAAACAAGTTTCTTATTTATTGTCAGATCTAAAACCGTTTTCGAATTTGGAAAAAGAAGAAATCATTAATAATCAAATGGTTCCTTGTTTGCTTTATACCTTGCTGGAGAGCTCTAATACAGTTCCACAAGGTATAAAAACAAGACAGAATTACATTAATTTATGTCAAATCGCTTTGGAAAGTTCGAAATTTAGAAAATCATTTTTGAATTTTGCCAAAATTTTATTTGATTTTTCTCCAGAGAAACAAACAGTCAAATCCCACAAAGAGTTTGTATCAATAGCATCTCCAGACATCTACCATTTCTATCAGCAGATCTCTATTAATGATAATCTATCACAATACACTCTTTTCTTTGATAACGAAAAGATAATCAAAGCTTCTAGTTTAAGTGTAATGTTGAATTCTGTTAGATCCACTGTTGTTTCTTTAGAAAAAAGCTCTTCTATTTTGAGGATTTATGATACTAAGAGTTTGGAAACAACTGCACAAGAGACTAATGAAATATTCTCTTATGCAAGCTCTATATCCGTATCAGACAATGGAATTTTGTTAGTTATTGATTATGATTTCGGACAAACAAGTGTTTACAAAATTATTTATTCGTCAAATTTCCCGGCACTTTTTGATTTAGTTGCAAAACTTAGTTGGGAAAGTGGCAGTCCTAAATCAACAATATCAGGTGTTGACTGGATCTGTGCCACATCATTGGATAATACATTAGTGATGTGGAATGTTTTCTCGAGGAGAATTCATCGACAAATTTCTTTCAATTCACAGATTTTGTTTACAAATTTTGATGAATTGATGAGCGGATTGTGGATTGTTACTCAGGACAAGATATCATTTATCAATGTCAATGGACAGTTTATTAGTTCATTAGACATTGATTATCATGTTACTGCATTCCAACCTTTGTCTCTTCCGTTCGAATCCTTCAAGAGATCTGCAATTTGTGGATTGGAATCAGGAGAAATAATTTTGTTGAATTTGTTGATTGACAAAAATCAGATTATTACAAAGAGACTTAGTTCGCCACATACAAAGACTATTACACAGATATCTATACATCAATCTCTAAAGGGATTCATGTCTGTTGATTCTTCAGGATTAGTTTATCTTTGGAATGCTTTCGGAATTGGATCTCCACGATTGAAATCTTCTCTTTTCTCTAAATGCCCAATTTGTTCAGGAAAAGTTGTCACGTACTGCGAACAATGCCACAGAATGGTGTGTGATAAGTGCATTGTACGGGGAACTAACATGTGTTCAATGTGTTTCGCTATCAATTCTTATTTATAATTCTATTTTTTTGTTATAAAATATTATAATAGATTTTATATATATTATAATTTATTTAAGAGCAATACTATTTTATAAGCAAAAGTTGAAATTTTCTTTTAGAAATATCAATGTAATGATAAGAGAATCCCATTAAATTCTTGGTTTTTCCTACAAGTGCAAAATATGCACAAAAACGATTATTTTACATTCAAACACGCAATATTTTTGCGTTTAAGGGTGCCGGAAAGTGAAGTGAAAGCTATTTTAAAAACATCACGTTTCAAACCCAGAAAATCATTTTTATTTTGATTTATTTATATGAGTATAAACCTTATGTGATGATGTATCATAGTATCATATTTAAACTAAGTAAAATCGATGTTTATGATTATAAGGTTATCGAAAACATACAAAAATCATACAAAATTATTAAAATATGGAAGGGAAAAAGTGCATTTATCTCAATATCTGAGAATTGAAAATAAAATTTGTTCTGTAAAACTTTTAGTACAACTATTGAAATTTTGTGTTTAATGTATCTCACTGGCTTAAACACATTATTGGAGGACTAGATGCAAATCTAATTAAACTTTGAATGTGGCTATTTCGGCTGGAAACAGCTATCATCAGGTTTGTTCTCTAATAGTAATTAGTAGAATCCAGTGAGATGGTAGTGTAACCGGTCTTAGTTTTGAAGTTTCCCACTAATCGCATCTCGAGACTTTTTAACAAGTGCCAAATGTTTTCTGTAAAATATCTAGTATTTTGTACCTAGATATCATTTCTGCAGTATCAGCCCATGAAATGGAAAAACCAGGGACTAGATAGGTCCGCAAGTTCGAAAATTGAGAAGCAGTTTTCTGAGGACTGGAAGTATCCAAGCCATCAACATCATGGAAATAAAAACCTTAGTATATACCCTACTAATATATGTTTCAATATCATTAATCTCTTTACTACAAATGAAGTTATAAGCAATACTCGAAATTGCGTCACCTCACTTTCCGGCACCCTTAAAAATATATCCGTGTAAAGTAGTCAAAAGATGTATGTATTTTTTCTTTTTTTCAAGCACGTAAAATATGTGCAGATTCAATTTTAAATAATCGTTTCGCTAGCTTTTTTTGCACCCCATGTAATGCACAATTTCTTGTGTGACTCACTTTTAAAAATTATCATTTAACTAATAGATAGAATATCGCATCATTCTGGTTATTTAAGCTCCTGGGAACTGATTAAAACTTTGTTGCGAACTGTTCTATACAAAGATTTCAATTCGCGAGGTAAAGCTCTATATATGTTGCAATCAATTCTCTCAAAATCTATACGAATATACCTCAAATTTTTTCTGATGTAAAGCTCTATATAGATTATATAATATATAAAAATGGAGTGAAGATATTCTTGACAAAATAATATTTTATATCATATTGTTAGAAATAAACTATTTTTCTGCACCATGCTCAATTAAGAATTTAGCAATATCATCATATTCCATCTTGATAGCAATCATAAGTGGACTAACATTATTTCAAAAATATATTTCATAAAATATTGATTGACATTAAATGAAAGAGATTTTCATATAATAATGATTGATATTAAACAAAAGGGAATTCTTTATAATTATGATTGATGTTAAATGAGGTTAAATTTTATATAATTATGGTTGATATTAAATGGAAGAGAATTTCATATAATTATGATTGATATTAAACGAAAGAGAATCCAATATAATAATGATTGATATTAAATGAAAGATAATGTAATATAATTATGATTGATATTAAACGAAAGAGAATTTCATATAATTATGATTGATATGAAATTTGAAATAATTTGAAATAATTGCAAAATAATGCCGTCAGGTAATGCGCACCTAAGGGAGGTGTTTTGCGGGAGCTGGGGGTATCTTGGTGAGTACTCAGGAGGCCAAGAGGGGCACCCCAACCGACATTTTGCTGACGCATTGTGTAAGCAACCATTCTGATAACCGCTCAAACCGTCGGGATAAAATAATTTATGAAATTATAAGTCATCTTTCTAATACATATTTTTGGAAGTGCGTAAGATACGCCAACTTAAATATATTATTAAATATGAGAAAATCGCTCAACAAAAAAACAATTCTTTCAAAAAGTTTAAAATTTATCTTTCTAATACATATTTTTGGAAGGGCGTAAGATACGCCAACTTAAATATATTATTAAATATGAGAAAATCGCTCAACAAAAAAACAATTCTTTCAAAAAGTTTGACATTGATCTTTCTAATACATATCCTATGGAAGGGGTTTACATTCACAAAATAAAAACCAGTTCAAAATCTTATTACTCCTTGAATTAAAATCATTTAATTTCAAATCCATTCCAAATCCTTAAATCTGTATTAAAATCATTTTGCCAACAACCAACACAATACAAATTACATTTCCATATATCTTCTTGTCCATTTTAATTTTTTATCTCATTTTATTTAATTTTATTTAAAGCATATCGACATCGAGATCCTTTACACATAGTTATATAAAAGTCAAATACATAATAAATTCTTAATTCTAGAGATATCTCAAAATCTCAATTTTTTAATTTAAAATACCTTTCATTTTTCACAGTACTATCACAACAAACAAGCCATTTACTAATTAACACATATAAGAAAAATATCAAATTACAAAACAACTTTCAATATCATTCGCATCGAATTCTATTTTTTCATAATTATCAACTACATGTTATTATATAATATATGTCGGCGCATATTCCACTCTATACAAGTGTCAGACACACTCACACAAAGCTGTGGGATTCATACCTCTATCAGTAGGACTTCTCAAATCAAGAACACATATGTTTCACTATCGCACATCTGTGTAGGATCTAATTAACCCTTTGGACTGGTACTTCAAAATTTGATAATTTGATAATTTCATGTGATATCATCATTTGCCTTTAAAACAACTGTGCGTTAAACTAGACACGTTTCTCTATCATAATGCAAAATATCAAAGTTTGGGAGACTCCCAAAGTGTCTGAAACTGATCATAAGGGTGAAAAACCGTTTTCCAGAAGTTGGGAACGTAGGGTAAATCATAAAAATCAAATTACTTTAACGTTACCCGGAAATAAGTATGTGTGACAATGTTTGAAATACGCATGTATTTTGTGGATTTGAAGTTTGATAATTGGCATTCTTAATCAATTATTTTTTATTTCCTTGGAATAATAACATAATTTTTGCTTGACTATCTTTTCCTCAGATATACGTATGTATGTGAGAGTTATGAAAACCATTCTCGGAGGATATTTCAACAATAGAAAGATGTACAAAAAAGGGAAGTTCCTCCATTTTTTTTTCTCCAAAATCTTTGCTCAACTCTAGCTTTCAATGAGGCTGGAGTTCCGAGTGACATATGGGAAGAATACTTTGGTCAGCCAACACAAGACCATACTGATATCACAAATAACACGAAACCAACTATTTCTTCAGACTTTTTCTTATTTTCTTCCGAATTCAAAGATTTTTCTGACAATGTTATTAATTGCTACAAGAATTCTATCAAACTACTTCATTCTATCTGCACATACAGTAATATTAATCAGTCATCAGGAGCTGGTGGCTGCATCTACTTCTACTGTAACAGTTCGATTGTTCAAGACCGATTCTGTTCATTTAAATGCTACACAAAAGACAATGGCAAACATTCATACACAAATGTTCAAACAAATACAAACAAAAATCTTGTAAATTTAAGTTCTCTCTATCAATGCGGTCATGATAACACTGGATCTGCCAGTATATATCATTACAATGGATTACAAAGTCTAATTTCTACAAACAACACTAAAACAAGATGTAGAAGCTGGGCTGGTTATTATTTTGAAAATAGTCCAGTTAATATTAACTATTGTTGTTTCATTTCTAATGATAATCATGAAACAAGTTATGTTTGCATGCATCATGAAAATACACCTGATTCATTTGTGAAAAGATCTTTATTCAGAAACAACTCATGTAAAACTGGTAATACATATTATGGTCTTATTTATTCTCATCGGTCATCAAATGTTACTGTTTCAGAATGTATTTTCTTAAAAAACAAAGCAAGTAATACTTTTGGTGCATCTTTTCGTGGTATTATAACAGTTATAAACTGTACTGGAGATGTTTTGACTGCAAGTACTGGTTATAGTGGTTCAGTTTATACAAATGAAATGAAAGTTTGTTCTTTTGATCTTACACTTTCATTGCATGCATTAGGAAGTTGTGAAGCAAGTCCAATTTCATTTGAACTTATTTTATGTCTAAGTAAAAATAAGAAAAAACTTTTTTTTTTGAATTTCTTCTTTCATTTAATTTTTCTCTTGAATGTTTCATAAACATATCTCGTAAATAATTCGATTATTTTATATTAAATAATTCTATTGTTCAACTATAAACAAGCATGTCATGATGCTTTTTGTCAGAATGAATTGAATAAAGTTTAGAGATCTGCAGTTTGAATGTATAAACTTACAACAATTCTATAGGCAAAAAATCAATAGCTTGAATCTAGTCTGACGAGAATATGCCTAATTTTAAACTTTTACGTTATATATCGACATTCATGGATGGATAGTCATTTTAATAATGATGAAGTTGATAGTTCATCACTTGAAGATAAAAAATTAGTAAATGGTGCCTAAGAATCTCTTGCATGAGACTCAGAATGCCTTAATCATTGTCATTTAATAATAATTTTGCCATTTTAGCATTGACGTGTGTAAATACTAATCACTACTTGCATTATCATTGTTTATTCATGTCAGCAATCCACCATGCAAAAAAATCATATTTTATCAAAGATTAAATTTCAAACCGAAATTGTATTTGAAAAATAATTGATTGTTTATATTAAGAATTCCGTGTATTGAAGTGACTTATCATAATTTGCTGGAGAACTTAAATAAATTTGGTAGATGAGAAGATTTAAAAATCATTACGTTCAATTCTTAAAATTTCAAAGAATTCTGTAAATTAAACGTCAAAATTTTTAAAATGCATTTAAAAATTTTGTCGATTTCAATTAAATTTAGCAACAACATATTTACTGAGAATAGTCTATTTTCAATTCATATTTGGCTAGGCTAAATTTTTTTTAATTGATCGGCCACTTATCATCGAATTTGCCATTTCACATGCAGCCATCTATTGTTTGGGCACAGCGTAAGGACGGCAGAGTTCTTGTTACAGTCCGTGTTCACGATTGTGTTGATCCAGTCATCAAGTTCACAAACACAACACTCGCTTTCACTGGCGAATCTGATAATAAAGAACACAAATTCAATGTAAATCTTGAACTCTACGAAGAAATCATTGCTGAAGAGTGCAAGTACCTTGCTCGCGCACGCGGCATCGAAGTAGTTCTTAAGAAGAAGGACGCATCAGTTTGGTGGCCACGCCTTGCTAAGACAACAAAGAAACTCTCATACGTTACAGTTGATTGGGACAAGTGGGTTGATGAGGATGATGATGAAGACGAAAAGAATGATATGGACTTCGGCGGAATGAATTTCGAAGATGATGATAGTGATGATGACGATGATATGCAGGAGGCTGCTCCATCCGAGGCACCAGCTGCAGAAGCTGCTGCTCCAGCCGCTAGCGAAGCCCCAGCAACAACAAATACAGACGTTGAAATAGATTAAACTCTTTAATATTAGTAATTTTATACTGTTTAAAACATATTTAATCTTTTTAACAAAAATTCCCAATTTTGAAAAAAATATAATTTCAATTTAACATAAAATTTAGTATTTCATACATAAATAGGATTAAATCACAATTATATCATTACATAGAAAGCGCTTCACACACTCTCTTGCATATTTTTCTTGATCCATGGATGCTCTATTGCTGATTCAAGAGTAATTCTCTTCGAAGGATCTCTTTGCAGGAAGGAGCTGATTAAATCACGTGCATCTTCATCAATGCTGTCTGGAAAATCAAATTTTGCTTCCTTTATTCTCTCACATGTAGTTTCTTGATCTGCACATTCAAAAGGAGGTGCTCCTACTAGAAATTCATATAATAATACACCTAGACTCCAAATGTCTACACTAGCATCATGCTCTTCACCAGAAATCATTTCAGGAGGTAAATAATCAAGAGTTCCACAGAGAGTGGTTCTTCTTGAGAATGGAGCATGAACTGACCAACCAAAGTCAGCAATTTTAAGATCACCATTGGATCCAATTAAAATGTTTTCAGGTTTAATATCTCGATGAATTACATGCTTTGAATGAAGGTAAATAATTGCATTGCACATCTGATAAATGTATTTTGCAGCTGTTGTATTATCAAAATGATGCTTTTCACGTAAACTTCTGAACAATTCTCCGCCAGAAGCATATTCAAGAATTAGATAAACTCGTGTTTTGTCATAAAAATATCCATACAAGCGAAGAACATTTGGATGCTTTAAATGTGCCTGAATTTCAATTTCTCTTTTGATTTGATGTTCAACTTCTGACTTTTTAATTTCCGCTTTATCAAGGACTTTAAGAGCAACTATAAATTTCGTTCTTTTTTCTCTTGCAAGATAAACACGTCCAAATTTGCCTGTTCCAAGCGGTCGTCCGATTTCAAAATCTTGAATTGTCCACCTCATTTGGGTATCATTAACTTGAACATGAATAGGAGCATTATCATTTACGTTTTCAGACCTTTGCACTATAACTTTCGACATGTAATGAAATTTCAATCAAAAATTCTAAACGTACATCAAAAATATATTCTTTATTTTATACCATATTATTATTTGCTGTTCCTCGTTAGATTGAATTCAAATAAAATATTGCACATCTATTATTTACTAATGATTTTCAAATGCATTTCATGTATTTATGAAGGTTGAACAATAGATAAGCTTTATTAAGGCATATGAATTAATTTGCCATGAATAAAAATGATTTGTACATTTTGCTTTCATTTACACCAATCAATTTCCGATTACTATTTATAAATTCATGTAGCAAATGGATATTTAGGTTAAAGAAAATTTGTTGATATAAGTTTAAGCTTGAATTCAGATTTAATTAATTTTCATTAACTAATGATAACTGGAATCGAATATTATCTCAACTGTAATTCATCTAGTATAAGAAGTACTTTATGGAAATATAGTGATTTAATAAAAAACAAGTATACTTTTTCAAAGAATATTACATGCACAATCAGGTTCTTCGGATTGATCAACATTTGATCGAGAATCTTTCTTACCAGGGATATCAGAAGGTGAGTAATAATTCGGATTAGCTTCTCTCATCATTCTTGCCACGGTTAAGAAAGCTTCTTGAACATTTATATTTCTCGCTGCAGAAGTTTCGAAATAGCAGCATTTGACACTACGGAAGTACTCTTCAACTTCTTCTGGAGAGATCTGTCTTTGATCACCGAGATCACACTTGTTTCCACAGCAAACAATTGGAATGTCTTCTCTTCCATTTGTTAATCTGATGTCTTTGATATATCCATTTACCATATCAAAGGAATGACTGTCAATTAATGAGAAAACAACAAGGAACCCATTACCTGAACGCATGTAAGTCTCTCTGATAGCCTTAAAATCGTCCTGTCCTGCAGTATCAAGAATATCTAGTTTTAATGGCTTTCCATCGACATTTAATAGCTTTACATATGAATCTTCGATTGTTGGATCATAAACAGTTGAAAATCTGTCTTGAACAAGGCGAATAGTTAGAGCAGACTTGCCTACACCACCCGAACCCATAATATAGAGTTTATATGATTCATCATACGACATTTTATTTAATGGACGTTTTTCAATTCACTATTTTCAATTGAATAAAATGATATTTATTTTCATCCATGAGATTGCTTAGGTTCAAAAGGAAAGTCAAAAAAAATATGAGACATATGACTATTCAAAATCATACTATTCATTGAAAAGTGAACATTGAAATAGATGAAATAATCATTTCATTCAATACAATTCTTTCAAAACTCTAAATTCCTATTATTTGCTTAGTCCTATTCCATTGTTCGTTCAAAAATTAAAAATGATTTGAATGTTTTATGAAATTTGCCAAAGACTGAATTATCGATCATCTTCAATCCAATTTAGGGAAATTTTATTTATACAGTCTATTATCCTCTTAGAAGACAATGAAAATAGAGATATATGGTCTCATTGGTATCAGAACCAAATATAAAAACTACAACGTGGATAACTACTTCCGATATAAAATTAACCTCATTATTTCTCCATTCTCGAATCTAACTAACCATGATATCTCCTTTTGGTTTCAACACAATAAATAGCGATTTAATTACAATATTTACGATTTAATTGGCGTGAACTCAATCAAAAACACCCAATTCGCGACTAGCTAATAGCGATTCATGTCAATAACATTATTTATCTTGGCATCAAAACACAGGCAAACCCAAATTTTAGCTAAAAGTGACAGTGAAAAAAAACGTTTAGTATTAAAAAAAAGACCGATGAGAGCTTCGTTCGAAATATAGAGGGAACTGAGAATGCGCAACCATTCTCAGGGAATATTGGATGCTATTCCCGTTCCCTCTGTATGGAAAATTGAGGTTTTCAAAGGGAGTTAAAATAATATCAAATTTATACTAATTTACTTCAAAATACAAAAGTATTTGACAGCTAAAATTAGTTACTTTAGCAAGCCTATCAATACCCTTTTACGATTATTGTTACTTTTTCGAAATAAAAGTAAAAACAAATTTATACTAATTTACTTCAAAATACAAAAGTATTTGACAGCTAAAATTAGTTACTTTAGCAAGCCTATCAATACCCTTTTACGATTATTGCTACTTTTTCGAAATAAAATAAATTTATTATCAAAAACCTTTTTTTTCTTAGTAAAAATAAACGAAATTTTTTACCTTATGAACTTTTGATGGAAATATGCAAATTTAAAATAATAAAGAAAGCCGCGAGCGAATCGAGCGGCTTAGGTCTAAGATTTTGATTCAAATCTTTGCTTATATTCCTTAAATTCTTTATGAAACTCGCAACAGTTCCATAAAAAATTTTAAATTCTAAACTGTCGAAATTACCGATCGGTAATCACACCCTTCACGGGTGTGTCACTTTTAGCTAAAATTACCCCTACTCTCAAAACACATAGAATTGATTGAATTCCTATCAATTTTATTCAATTCATTCAACAGGAGCGAGAGTAAAACTATTCCAATGTGTTGCTTTTCTTAAATATTCAGTTATGTTTCGGATCCCTTTATATCATTTTCTACTTTTTGCACTTTAATTTTATCAAATGTATTCATATGATGAAAATTGGTTAGAGTATTATAGAAATATATAATCCATCAAATTCTAGTGAGTACATTGAAAATTATATTTGTTTGCATCATAAATATTCTTAAAATAAAGAAGAATATAGAATTTGATATTTCATTTGCTTATAAAGATGCCAAATAGAAGTTTCAATCATTCATCATGACTATTTATAATCAATGAAGAGATGAATCCGCATTAATTCTAAGCATTTGATCATTTTCAATGAAAATGAAGTCTTTTCATGAAAATCCGACAAGAAATTATGAATATCGATAGAATGGGAAATACATAATTATAACCAAGATATTTAACCTACTAGTTATATGAATTTATGGTAGAATAAAGGTACATTCACTAGGCGATAACAGTAAAATGGGATGAAAATAGGATAAATAGCATCCCTATATAGTGCCTAACAATATTTATACGAGCCAAAAAAAATTGGCTAGAGATTTGGCGAGTTATAAAACTTAGAAAATTGAGAGGGATTTTTATTTTTGAATTTTTTTTGGAAAGTTAAAATTGCGATTAAAAATCGATTTCCAGGAGAACTAAGCATCTCATCATATATTTAAATCGATAAAAATATTAAATAATAGTTGAATAGTATAACAACGTGAAATTATGGCTGAATCTACAAAAAAAAATGAACATATTTGACATTTTTGAAAATTCATACATTAGTTGGTGACAGACTCATAAACTATACTTTAGCTAAGATTGATATATGGTTTCAACAACACATGGTTAAAATCGTAAAAATATTTTAGATTTCAAAAAGATATATATGGTAATATAATGGAACAAAGTCAACAAATAGCATGTTAAATATGTTATAATTAACTTTTTATTAGATCCAATAGTAGATATCGAATGGTTTCCAGCTTTATGGTTAAATATTTTCTTTTCGAGCTTCTCTTTAACTGTTGTATTAAGGTTGTAAATTTTTGATGCTAGAAACTATGGAATCTTCTTTGCTGCTGCATTTTTCTTGAGAGTTCTTGCAATTTCGAATAGATCTGCGCATTGTATGAAATGGAGGCTTTAAAATATCTTGAAAACAGAATAGGACTGCTTTTCCAAAGGAATGCTTACTTGTAAATCAGAGAGTTTCAAAATTGACAGCAAGATTATCATCATAACTTTCGATTTTGCTGCGAAAAGGAAGACAAGTAATTAACAAATCATTTACTGTTGTTCATCAAAAGAAGAAAACTTTGATAACAACTAATGATGATAAAATCAAGCTATCTTTTAATATTTTAAATTGATAAGACATTCAAAATATTTGAATGGTTTAAAATATTTTCTTTTAATTTCTATAAGATATTATCATGATTATATAATAAAATTTAAATTTTTATTCAAAAAGGCAATATTTCAAACTTTTAATTTCAAAAATCTTAATTCTGCAATAAGTGTATTTAATTGTAGCAAATTTAATGATCCTTCGTCATGCTTAGCAATTTGGAACTCATAAATTAATGATTTCTTCAAGTAAAATTCTGCATTATTTCAAAAGTCAATAATTCTCTAGTAACTTTTCTTCAAACACTAACCATTATATTATATGTATAATGGAGAATAATTGCAAAGAAAGATAGCCGAATTTACTGGGTAGTTCTTGTGATGCGAAATAATTGCAAATTAACACCTAGTTTTAACAGCATCAATCTCTTTTTGCTCTCATTTAAATGCATTCGCACACTTTAATTTTGAAATATAAGAGTTTTGGAAATTATCAAATTTATCTGCTCAAATACTATAGATCTTCATAAGTGTTAATAGAATCATTAGCCTTACATATAGTGTTTAATATAATGATGCACATTATACTGGGATTCATTCCTTATTCATCTAGTTATTATAAGATTTACAACCCCATGAAAATTTAAAATTTTGTCAAAAATAGTGAATGTACCTTTGGTAGAATCCTTTGGATTTGAATGAGTATTGATTTTTATCATAACAAATGATAACCAATAAAAGTATGAAGAATGCAATAAAAATCCATCAAATATTTGCAAGTCTCGAGCTGACAACATTGAAATCACTTCCAATAAAATTCTATATATTGACCTATACTGCCTAAATTCGAATAAAGAATAAAAGAAAGGCAATAGTCAAATTTGAGAATAAACCCCCGATCGATTGAAAATATAAATGGTCCATGATATCTTTTTTTCCGTAAATGGGATATAAAGCCAATTTTATCGTATATCAAGACATTTGATTGATGATTGAAATTTTATTTATTGATCCATTTTTATTAAAATCCTTTTTATTATATTGCATCTAGTGACTTTGCTTTTTTTGATAGATTTACAGAATTGAACACTAAAAAAAATTCTCAATGACTACAGAGGGAACTACCCCAACGCCTGCCGAATACCAGTATACAGTGGTTGATATACTTAATAGATCAGATGACGACATCACAATTTTAGTTCGTGATCAGGAAGGAAACAACGCTTTGTGTATGGCTTATAGCATCAAGAAACTCGAAGAGAATCACATTTATCCTCAGTTTGTTGAAAAGCTAAATAAACTCAAAGAAATAAATCACAAGAATATTCCTAAAATATACAGCGTACAAGCCTATGGCGACTATATTTACCTTTTCTGCGAAAGAGTACCAAATGCAACTCTAAAAGAATATGTCCTCAGCAATGGAAAAATGCCAACACAGCATGTAATTTTAATTATGAACCAATTATTATCCGCCTTACATTGTGCTCATTCTAAAGGAGTTGCTCACAATCATATTACACTAGATAATATTATGTTCGACAGAGATATGGTTCCCGTTCTTTACAACTTCCACTTGGGAATGAAAGATTTCTTTTCCGCTGTAAAAACACCTAAAAACGATATAAACTTCTGCTCTCCAGAAGAAATCAAAGAGGACTCTATCGATCAATACGCCACAGACATTTGGCATCTCGGAGTTGTAATTTATGTTTTATGTACTTCAAAGTATCCATTTAGCAACACAAACCATTCGAAACTATGCCAGAACATATTGTCAGAAGAACCCGATTATGATTCAATAGATCCGAAAATTGTCGTGAAATTGAAGCAAATGTTGGAAAAAGATCCGGCTAAAAGAGCTACAGCTGAACAACTTATGGAAACAGAACCAATTGCAGATGTAAAGGCTATTTATTTCAACCCAATTAAGAAGATTATTCCAAAACTTCTTCACGTTCACGAATTGAAGAGAATCGAATCTATTATCAAGGGTAATTCTGTTCCATTTAGAACAAATAACTAATCATTTAATTTTTTTTATGATTTCGATTTTTTATTTTGTTGTATTTTTTTTCTTCAGACAATTATCTATTAAATAAAGTATTAAATCAAAACATTTTCCATTTTTAACTTCACCATTTTAATAAAAATCTATACATTTCATGATAATTACAAAAAATTATGAACTAAAGCTAATAAAAATACATTATTGTCTTCATGATTAATAGTTGAGGACATTATCATTCTACTTTGATGATTTCATAAACGAAATGCCATTCTTTAACAGCAAATAACATCAGTAACGAAAATAAGATTTATTATTTTGAAACGGAAAGATTAATAGAAAAGGCGTATTGGAACTAAATCATATAATCTTTGATATGTAAACAAGTATAGAAAACACACTATATATACGAAGATTGAAAACTAATAAAGATATGAAAAATAATAAAATGAATAAATTGGAGATAAAGTACTTGATCTTAGCACTATAAGCCTTTCTATCCAAAATGATGTACAAACTACAGTATGTTACTTCTTGTTAAGAATCAATAAATGTATAAAAATAAAATAAAAAATATTAATGGAAAGAAAGTATTTTACTAAATTTTATAAATCACGAACTAAGTAGAAAGCATATTATATCTTTGTTAATTGAAAACTAATAAAGATATAATAATATTTTTCTGAATTCAACAAATTAATCAATTCCAAAGCTGTGGTAATTCTTAATATAATACGAAACGTTTGTTAGCGGGTAGGTTATGGAAATAAGCTTTTCTTCAGCCTGAATTTTCATCTTTTTCTTTCTCCAAATCGAAATCGATATAACAATAATTGCAATTGAAAACATCGTGAAAACAGTTGTAAGAGCGTATGCAGCAATATCGTAAGTGTAAATGTAAAAAATTGGACGTTCTAAACTTTGGAAATTATGAATTCTCATGAATTCGCTACCATTCGTCGCAAATAACGAAGCAGCGTTACCTTGTAATGTCACAGAAATCGCTGGAAGATCGATTTGATGTGACAAATTTTTTGGAGCGAATTTTAGCATCAAAGGTGCATTATCATTCTGCTGAGAGTATTTGTATATACGGTCTGGGGCTAAAACAAGCTTTAAATATTGCCCTTCGTATAATGAAATTTTTGGACAAAATTCGCATGCGTTAACCGTTAAAGTAATCAATTGGGGCGATGTACTTGAAAATAAATAACATTTATTTTGCGTTATATTTGTCGTAAAGAAGTCATGAGACTTTAATTTGTAATAATGAAAAGCTGTTAATGAATTTTCAATAAATATATCAGTACAATTGAAATTCCTAAATGATGACATAGTTATTTCTATACATGCTGAGCCAACACCTCGAAAAATGTAAAAATCATTTTTAGAAACAGAGAAATCAATGACACCTCTATTGGAAATAGTTGTTTGATAGATAATGAATTCGCTATTTCGTGTTTGGTTCTGTGAATATTTTGTTACCTGAATTGTATTTGGCGTATGATAAGAAAGATAAAGAGGAGCAGAATCAATTGATATAGAAAGACATATCTCACTTGTAAGACCAAAATAATATGTTTCAGGTAGTCCACTTGCAACAACAGAATGCAAGCATAACTCCTGTAACATTTTCTTAAGAAAAGTGACAAATTTTGAAAATTTTTGCCAGCCTTTATAAGGCTAAGAGTTATTATACAAAAACAGGCATCTCCTTGGCCTCGTAATCATGATGTCATTTGAGTCGAAAAAATCACACATTTCACGATTCAGAAACATCTTTTGGTTGTTGGCTCTTTTTTGCATATTATGAAAGAAATACCATCATATAGAATTATCTAAGTATCGAGCATAATATCTGTAATAATTTTTGCAATGAATTGCAATCTTGCCCTATTAGATATGATAATAACGTCATTACACATAAAAACTATAATTAATTTATATAAACAAGATTATGACATCTGGCGAACTCTTTGAATTATTCACAAGAATGAAAATATTAAATGGTTGATGACAAATACTTTGATGTATTGCCATCACAGCTACAGCATATAACTACTATCATGAGATTTTCAATGGTATAGCTTAAGAATGGCAAAATATGCATTAGAAACTAATAAAACAAGATATACCAAAATTAGCATAAAATCAGGTTAATTTAGAAGATCAGCATTTAGAGTCATTAGATTGAAACAATTGAAGTATATATGGCCCATGAAGCTATTAATGAGTAATTTTATGCATAATCTGCATCAATTTGAATTTGGATATCACATACTAAAGCAAATCTTATTTAATTAGTTTTATAATATACATCTTTTCGTGATATTATAGGACTCCATAAAGCAATATATGCAACATATCCTATATTACATATACGCTGATATCGAATTGCATCCAAATACTCTTTGAAGTTCAACCTTTTTTGATGTAGTAAATTTTTCAAGATGTGTAATAATCCAAATTCTGAGATCACGATTCAGGCTTGATGATTTTAAAGAATATGTTATCATAGTGGAACTAATAAGAAATCATTAGATGCATGAGATTTAATTAGTGGTTAATTTTTACATTTTTTTTACAGTCATGTTTTAATAACAGAATAAGGTGATTTCACTGCACAATATATGAGAGTATAACGCGATACATTTCCCTATAGGAGAAGTTGCAGGTTCGAAACAAATTATTCTAAATTCTATCGCGAAATTTAATTCATTTTATTAGATTTAGAAAATTGAATTGAATTACTATTCTAATAACCTATATGTCTATTTTAAAAGAAAATATTATGAAACCTAATTACTCATATCCCTTAAGTTAGAACAAATTTTCAATTTTGAAAAATTATGTTTCCATACATACATTGAGCTTCAATTAGTTTTATAATAGGATAATATAACGAAATTAATAGCCTCTTAATGAATAATAGTTAAATTTAAGGAAACCAGATTATTTGATATCTTCAAAATGACTCATAATTATTGAATTCTTCCCTCATTGACTTAATATCAGGTAGTTATAGTTAATTCTACCACAGTACTCACATATTCAGATATATATAGTGCTGTTTCGAATGGGTATTAACATTACCAACATTTTTGCCAATAAAATGCCAAGATCTGCAAATATAATTATAAATTGGTTATTATACAAACATATGAAATAAATCATTAAATCAATCCGATCAAAGGAATAAAACAAATGGAAAAAGAAATATTTCAGATTTTCGCCAAAAGATGATAGTATAGATGAAAAATTTAACATATACTCAAGATTCAGATAGTATAGCAATATATCAAAAGATACCATTAAATTAACTTCGATTTTATCCAAAGTCGGATCATTCTATAACATCTCAATATCTCAGAAACAAAAGACTTTTTCATAACACAAACTCGAATGCATGCTTACACATATCTTATAGGATTATACTATCATAGAAAAACCAAATGAAACTCAATATTTGTGTTTTTGAATTATTTTTCTAAATTTTGGCATTTTTTGGGAAATATTAATCCCTTATTGTTATATTATCACAAATATGAAAATATCGAATACTATACACATTCGGTAACAAAGATTGAAGATTGATTTCTCGCTGAGGGATTCCTAGCATAACATTAACATTGAAATATTGCTTTGGAATATGAATAACGAGTAAAGGAGCGAAGTATTTCATTTGAGCATTGTTTTTTGTAAACTTCTCTGATAAAATATTAACGTTCTTTTCTCAAAAACGACGGACAAAATTTGCTAAGAAAAATAATAATTATTGTTATTAACAATTAATACTAAAATTTTATTTTGTAAGACTATTGATTTAACTTTGGTCGCATAAAAATTGAGATCCCTATTAATAAATTCTATTGTATCTGAATTATTTGAAATTGTTCGGAGTATTATATTATTGATACTGATATGATTTAAAGCAAAAGTCATAAAATGTCTATTCTTCCCGACTAAATTTTATTGGATTGAGAATAACATTACATTGACAATATATGAATATATGGATGCGCAAGTCAACAATAAATTTAAGTCAAATCCGATTGCGATCAATCTGAAAAAAATTTACAAAATATTATTTTTTTTTGTTTCTAGTTCTGATAGAAAGAAAACAGTTTATAATATATCCATATGAAGTTTGCAGTCTTCAAGAGATACAAATTTCATATAAAAATTACTTGCACTTTGCGATTTGTTTTGCAATTCTTGTTGATGCGAGTCGTGAAATCTTTGTGAAAACACGATTTAGTTTAGATTGTCCAAGTGCTGTCATGCAGAAGTATCCACCATCGGCTTGTTCATAAACTTGACATAATTGGCAATATCTTAAAGCTGTCGATCTCTTGAATGTAATGCCGTTACGGAGGAGGTGGTCACAAATATAAAACATGGCATCTTCTGGGGTGTGGAATTTTCCTTCATTTGAGTCTTTAAGGTTAAAAGGAATCATAACATCTCGACTTGTGTGATAATCTACCATTGGAAATGGCATTGATAATGTCGGAAGTGGTTTAGGAAGTTCCAGAGTGGGAGCTACTTGAGTTTGGGTCTGCTGTGTTGAGGCGTTGTTCGATTCGTTGATCATTAAGAAAACTAAATTGACTGGCTTCTCAAAAATCACTAAATCAGAAATTTTTTGATCGTAAAGCGGTTTGTTTATTTGGTCAAATGATTTCACCTTAATGAATCATCGTTAATATAAATGTAGGAATGCTGAAATATTGAAAACCAAATCAAAAATTTTTCTTTGAAATCGATTATAAAATTTTAGATTTTGTTTGTATATTGTATTGACAATAATTAGTAAAAAATTTAAAAACACTCTCATAAGTTTTTATCGTTAAGATTGCTTATTTTGACCACTATAACTAGTCAAAATCAGATAAAAAAGGAATTCAGTGGGCTTTGAATTGAAACTAACCTTCCTAAAATAATTAATAGATATTTATTGTAACTATCATATAAATAGTAATAAAAACAAATTAAAGATTTTTCGCATTATCCCTTTCAATCCGTTGTAAAATTCTCAATTTGATATGACTTTATGCATATTTACGTAACTCTATATTTTATCATGGAAACCAGCCATATATATTCATTTCTCAATGCCTTATAAAATAATGAAATATATGCCTATAGATGTAATATTTATGAATCGAGGGATATCTCAATTTCGGCAAATAGTCCTTACTTTTTAGTATTTTTCCTAGTATATGTTTGCATATGAGCAAATCAAACATTTTGATCATGCATTTTTCTCTAAGCTTCATTTGGGCATAATGCAGATTGGAAATGTTCAAAAAATATTAAATATGGAAAATTTTTATCCGAATATATTAATCATTATGTACACATTGTTTTTTAGTAATCAAATCATAGCTAGCACAAATATTCAAAGATATTGTAGGATAATCCAAATTTGGGCATATTTCGCTTCTATGCATAAAATAAACAGGGAGACCAATGCTGACTATCTGCGTAATTAGATTCTTGATTATTTGCCATAATCATAATATCTTGAAATATCCTATTTAGAACGTTGATTATCATAAATGAAACACTTACAATCATTTAATACATCTTGAGATAATGGTTGCGATGACACAGAAGCATATAAATTGGGTTTTCATATAGAATTAATTTTCACAATTGGATAAACATGAATGGTATGAAAATGTGATGCTTTTGAGGCATTGTAAATATATTTGGATTAAATTTTTGGTAAATACAACAGAACAATTCAATAAGAGATACGAAGATATAAAAATATTAAGAGTTTGACATTTTAATGAATACCATATAAGCGTTAAAACGAATCATTAATTCCGTTTATTTATTGAATTGTGGGAGGATCACAAATTGAATAATCTCATTCAATTTTATTAACGATATCAGCTTAATTCAATTATTTCAAAACAAATTTTATCAATGAATTTGTTCTAATAATGAAAAAGATTTTATTCCCAACATAAGTAACAATAATATTTCGATACCGAAACCTATATCTTTAGACTTTATCTAGATTTTTTTTCTCTGTTCGGATGGAGAAATGATAGACCACGATTATCATAAATGGAAGCTCACACACATATATTATTCATGAATAATTGCTATTTAATTTTTTAAAAAACTTCAATTTATAATTGTTTATGCCGAAGGAGCTATATTCATTCAAAACACCTTGGCAGGGAATCCAAACTCCATAAGTATAACCATATTTCTGAGTTAGATTGAGGATTTATGGAGTATTTCTAAAAAGATCGGGATTTTTACGAATATCTTCCCATATCATACTTTATTGCTTTTACATTACACGCATGACATGAAATTGATAAATTTCAAGTGATTTATCTTAATTTTTACTTTTGAATGTTATTCAAATTATATTTTAATCTATTTTGACCAATTTTCAATGATTGCTTGATATTTGATCTCTACTTGAGTGTGTATCCTATATTGAATTATATCACATTCCCCTATAACCATTGAAACTGTTGGATATCAAATCAAAATAATGTAACTGTAAATCCGTGATCGTTGAGACTTCATATAAATGAGCGATAGATGCAATGGTTGCAATATATAATGAACGGATCTTAGTCATATTGTGCCTCTTAATAGAAAGCATATCGGAATAGCACAAATGACTCTTTTCAAATCAATTTTGAGAAATGACTGTGATTTTCATATCGCATGTTCTGCTCATATTCTCATCAAAAAAGTAGATCACCCACTTATGAACAACCTGGCCAACTGTATATAACATATGAGATTCATTGTATTTCTTTTCATTTTATAAATTTTAATATGCTTGATAACAGAAATGGTAATTAATCGATAAAAGTGCATATAATTCTAATAACCATATAAAATAAAAGAGATCATATCTAACATTCAGTTCAATCTATAATAAATAGCAAATAACTCTGATATCTTCGATTTTGAATAACATAGTTTTTTTGGATTATCTAGCTATTAATCCATTTTTTTGATCGAAAGTTTAACCATTCATCTTGACTAATTAGTCAGTTCATATTAAATTTTGTTTATTTATTTATCCGATTTAATTCAATTTTGTTTACATTTTGAGTGAATTTTCGTCAAAATAAATAAAAGAAATTTCCTAAAACATTCCAACATTGACTTCAATTTCAATATTGATGGGAAGCTTATTAAGGATTATATGCTTTTGATTTGTACCTAAATTGTGAGTAGTGAATATTTCATAATATACGAATACTAAACAAGGAAATACCGAATTATTCTATATTACTTTTTTGTCACCGGTCAGTATTATAAAATTATTCAACCATTTTAAACACTGGATTGTATATAAGAACAGAATACGTCAAATTATAATCTTTGAAATAAAAAATCAATTTTGTTTCAAAAATATTGCAAATATCAATAGTACAGCAATTCTTTATGCAAAAATTACTTGAAAATTTGAGTGGTATCATCATATTCAGAAACTACGCTTTAGTCGAGCCGATTATCTGTCACATGAATAGCTCTTACATTGAACAAGCAATTAATAAGTACATAAGTTCCTTGCACGATTTTATTCAATCCAATCATTAGATATTTGATCAGTAAGGATAATTTTTTCTCATCACAAATTTTAGCTAAAACGAAAAGTTCCATATATTTTATTCCCCAAATTCCCGAAATATAGCCCTATGAGCCGTTTATAGATATCAAACATTATGGATCTTTCATAATTATGAGTTTATGTTGTTTGTGCTGTAGAAGCTCGTTTCTAAGCTTTTTTGTAAGACACGCTCTTATTGATGTGAGGTAACTTGTAGTGGATTCTATATGAAAGAATTTAATCTCAAATATTTGACTAGAAAAATTAATAAAGATATTCAGTTCTTTCAAATATAGCTTCCATCAAATTAGAGCCACTAGATTATCACTAATTTTCGAAGGATATCGTTTTAGTTGAATATTTTTGGTTTCCATCGCAACCATTGCAATATCATCCAATACTGTATGCAATTAAAACAAAAAATACATTTGTTTCCTCAAAAATTTAATTTGTTCATTCGATTATCCATCAAATTTTCATAGTTTTTCCATTTTGATTCGATAATTCATATGACATATATCAGTTTTGTATCACCGATTGCTATTGATGGCATTTGCGAAATTAAAATAGATTTGCCAAATTTGAAAAAAAAAGAATACTGCGAAAATTATGAACAATAATTAACAACATTTTATTAAATAACAAACATCATTTAAGACTAAAACCGAGGATTACTCTTCTTCCCCAGCTGGAATTTTCGCTTCTGCCTCTCTTGCAGAGATATTTTTAACAAAACATTCTCTCATTTCTTCGCGTCTGCGTATTACGTAATTATCTGTATTTGTAAATATCGGGCGATTAAGGAGTTGTTCGATTGACATTATACTATCGAGATTGTTTTTCTGTGGCACAGGATCATCGACTATATCCTGGCTAGTTATAAATGGAGGATTTAATATGACCTCGCAAACTTGTTCTGATCTCGTTGTAACGTGTATTGCATTTAAAATGTAACTGATTTGATAAAGCTTGCATAACGTTGTTTTATATCGACCTGTTCCCCTTGAGAAAAACTGTGCTGCAAATCTGATGTCAACTTTGTTAGATTTCAATGCATAAAATAAAAGTAGGAAATACAAGGTTAAATTCGCAATTCCGATGCAGCCATTGACCGGGAATAATTCTTCTAATGTTTTATTTGGATTATTTATATCTTCTTTGATGATTAATGCCTTTAGTCCTGGAATAATTTTCTCTTTTCCAAGCCAAATTACATGATCTAGACATGTTTTCTGGCAACAGCCTAGAGATGTGTAAACGTTGATTACATCGTATAGCCTTCTCCTCTTGATTTTATATCTAGTGCTTAATTGAGTGATAGCTTTGCTTTCATCTGGTTTCTGTTCGAACTCACTAACCAAGTTCATGATGCAGGTCTTAAGATCATCATGCTCTTGTGGCCTTGGTGGGATAACATAACCAGTAAACATCAAAATGTAAACTCTGAATAATTAATTTATTCCCTCAAAATAAAAATCAAGTCCATAGATAGGAATTTCTTCATGCATTCTGAAATCACGATGAAATATTAGTATTAAATTTTTTTTGTATCTGGTTATCCACTCAAAACTTTTTTTCGTTTTTTCAGATTCTCTCAAAAATTATTTTGAGTTTTGAGTCATATTATTTCACTTTTCACGTTTATTATTTTAGTTGCTCATACTGTTTTCGTATTTAGCACTCCTAGCAGTACGGGTTGGCAAGTACCAAAACGATTTATTGAAAGTGTAAAATTAAATTTTTCGAAATTTGAATTGAGTTTTTTTGCAATCACAACTAAAATATAAATACCCTGACTACACGACTGTATGTTTTGGGAAAGTTATTTGCGGATCGTCAAGTTTGTTTTAATTCCCAATCCAATAATGTCAGATGGATAAAAATGGTTACTTAAATTCAATTATAGATGATAAATACAATTTGTACGACCACAAAACGTTAGCTTATAAGGTAATGAAACAGTAATGCGAAGTTGATTAATGAAAGAATAAGTAAAATTTATTGCTATTATTATAGAGATCATATCTCTGCGCGAAAGTATGCTTTTGCATGAATAATATTCAAAATCATAAAAAATTTGCATTCCTTTCACAAAAACTATAGCCATATATTGGAAATTGATACACTATCAGTTTTCAAGTAAGAAAAAGCTCACACATGATTTGATAATTTCAATATCGTAATTTTAGAGAAAAGAGAGAAATCTATACTTTTCACTATTATTTTACTTGTAGAACAAAGCATTAGTTGCATTGACTAGATACCTTCGCATGAGGCTGAAGTAAAAAAATGCCTTATATTTACCAAAAAGGTTTTTACCAGATTCCATATTATCCATTGGCTCTCATCAGATATAATTGTATTATATATCCGACTTCAGATATAAACTTTTCATAAATTCAAGTTCGAAATTTCATTCAAATTATGAAATATTGCATTTGAACAATAAAAATATTTATTTAATTAGGATTACAAAATTAATAATTCATAAGATATGACTTAATTAGAGAGATTTTTTCATATCGTTATTATCTTCTTCGGCTTGAGCAGGATTTTCTTGATTTTCAGGAATTCCTTGGAATTCTTCCTCTTCTTCTTCAGTCAGAACATCTTCATGCTTTTCTTCTTCCTCGTTTGGAATATTTTCTGGGATAATTTCTTCATTTGGAAGATCATCATGAATTTCCTCTTCATTTAGAGGTTTTTCAGGGATATCTTCTTCATTTGGCTGGTTTTCTTCATTTTCAATCTGATTATCTTCAATAATTTCTTCTTCCTCGTCTTCTTCATCGTTAAACTGGTCAAGGATAGCCTGTAATTTTTCTTTGGATAATGGCTGATCATCATCTTCCTCTTCTTCCTCTTCTTCATGTTTAATTTCGATTTTATCACCTTCTTCAAGAGATTTTTCTTTTGTTTCTTCTTCGTTTTCTTCATCTTCCTTCATCAGCTTATCAATCTCATCATTTAACTTCTTTGTTCTCTCTTTGAGTTCTTGGGCCTTCAAGAAACTGTCGTTTTCGGATTCTTCTTCCTCGAGTTTGGCCATTCCTTCATGAGGAATTTGGTCGTCATCTAAATTGGCTTCTCTTGAGACAACTTCGATTTCATCTTCTTCCTCGGCTTTGGCCTCTTCTTCCTCTTCGGTTTTAAGCTTGAGTTCGTCTGCTTCTTCCTCTTCATCAGACTCCTGAATTCTGCTGAGTTTTTGTTTCAAAGCGCTCAGGAATTCAAGTTCACTTTCTTCTTCGTCATCTTGGACATTTCTGATCGCCTGGTACTTGCTTGCGGATTTCGGTGATGCGGAACTGTTTAATCCGACAAGGCCGAGGTCTTCAACGTCTTTCGGTGGCTGAAGAACTTCTTCATCTTCATCGGAATTATTCAGGATCTTGTCAACGAGTTCGCGGTTGAGGATCTTCTCGCGCTTCTCCTCATCCATCATATCATCTTCGTTTCCGTTGATAATCTCGTCAATTCTCCTTGCATCGACTTTATCTGCAACAGGAGGGACAAAAGCAGGGATTAAGTCATCATCGTCATCAGAGATATGTTTCTTTGGAGATGGCGACTTCTTTGGTGATGCTTTTGGCTGTGGTTGGTCGAATGATTCTTGATGAGACTGAACAGGAGAAACTGGAGGGATAAGAGCTTCAGAAAATTCCTCTTCCTCTTCAATCTTGAGTTCGTCTGGTGGTAATGCAACTTTTTCAGACTTTTGAGGAGAAATTTCTTCAATTTGCTCTTCTTCAGCTTCTTCTTCAACAGGAATGCGCTGTTTGGATGGAGAAGATCTCTTACGTGGTGATGGTGACCTTCTGTGTGGTGAAGAAGACTTCCTTGGTGAATGTGCGTAAGCATCAAGTTGTTTTCTGATGCTGTTGATCTTTCTGTAGAGTTCTGCTGTATCTGATGAGATGTCTGAGCGTTCTGTGTTGAGTTCTTCGTCAATCTGCTCCGAAATCCTGCTTCTTGAGTGATGATGATGGTGATGGCGGACTGGAGCTTCTTCTCCTTCGCTGAGAGAGTCAAGGATGGACTTCTCTTTCGGTTCAAGCTTTGGAGAAGACATCAGAGATGACTTTGTCGCTGATGTTGCTGGAATTCCACGAGATTTGAGAACTGGAGATGGCTTTGAAGCAGAACCCATAGGTACCTTTGCAGGAGATCTGATTGGAGAGATTGCTGTTGGTGCCGCTGTGTATTTCGAAGGAGATTTGATTTGATAACGAGACTGTGGCCACTGCGAGAAGTTTGTAGGAATTGGTTTCCTTGCTGGTGATGTAGGTGGTAAGTTAATCGATCTTGAAGCTGTTGGAACTGCTTTTGTCGAGCTATGAGAGTGATGATGAGATCTGTGATGTCTTCTTCGGCCATAATCTTCATCAGAGTCTGTAGAAGCGAGAAGTTCACTAGTCGAAATCTCTTCGGTGTCGTCTGAGTCTTCTAAGAGATCATCTGAGTCTGTTCCAAGGAGTTCATCAGTATCGAGATCTGAGGATGACTCGTATGTTGGCTTGCATTGATGTCTATGATGAGATTGAACTTGTCTGCTCTTATGATCGCGATGATGATGGCGGTTTGAAGAAGATGTGACACCGTGTGTATGATGATGAGATCTCTCGGCATGCCTGCGACCACCTTTCTTCTTGACTGGTTCATAACCATGATCAGAGTCCGAGTCAAGTTGAATATTTCGGGTTGTTGGCTGGTTTACAGGCTTAAGTAAGTAATCATACTTTCTGAGAAATTCTTCATCTGATTCCGTGTCTGAAAGGGAAATATTTCTTGGGCGAGTATTATATTTATGGTGAACTGAAATTTGACGAGTTGAAACTGGGGCATTTCTTCTTTGGGTTGGTCTGCTAGAATGATGGGTATTATGATGGCTTCTGTGATGATGGTGTGTGTGGTGATGAGTTGACGGTTTAGCTCTGATTTGAGAAGATGGAACACTCATTTCAGTCTTTTGGTCTTTTGTCGGCGATTGAACACCAACATCCCGTGTAGTACGTTCGCTAACAGTACCAATGTTTGAATAATTTTTAATAGGAGAGCTGTCAATCATTGTAGAAGTATTCTTTGTTGGAGAAGCGAGTGTTTCACGAAAACGATTGATCTGATTCGTCACTTCGTGAAGTTTCGCCTTAATTAAATCATTACTCATATTGACACAAAATTTACACCACTCTTTTGAATTACTCTGTTTGCATTTTGAGAGTTAACGTCTTTTATTTATACATTACATATCAAAAATCAGCAAATAGAGTTAGTAAAGGATGTATACGGTATTTTCATACAAAATAGAATCAAATGAAAAAAGATTAGCGTCAATTTCTTATATATTAAAATTATTTCTGCATGAGTATCGTATGTATAAATAGCACAAGCTATTTCGAATCAAAAAATCTCGAATTGATGATTGATATTTCTGGAAAATTAAAATGTTGGCACTAATAATGAAAATTTAGTATCACTAGCTTTACACCTACTAACAAAAAGCTAATAACATATTCCCAGCTTGAGAATTATAAAGTGCAAAGCATGCATCACATACAACATTATATAATTCTTTTTCACCTTTGAATGGCTAGAAATTCAATAGTCAGAGACAAAGGATCATACTAGTATACTTTCATGCAAATTTTCCCATCATTTACATTTCTCATAAAAAATGTTATAATAACATATTTTTTGCTTGTCTACCTTTTCCTCAGATATACGTATGCATGTGAGAGTTATGAAAACCATTCTCGGAGGATATTTCAACTAGAGAATGATGTACAAAAAAGGGAAGTTCCTCAATTTTTTTTTCTCCAAAATCTTTGCTCAACTCTAGCTTTCAATGAGGCTGGAGTTCCGAGTGACATATGGGAAGAATACTTTGGTCAGCCAACACAAGACTATACTGATATCACAGATAACACAAAACCAACTATTTCTTCAAACTTTTTCTTACTTTCATCCGATTTCAAAGATTTTTCCGACAATGTTATTAATTGCACAAAGAATTCTATCAAACTACTTCATTCTATCTGCACATACAGTAATATTAATCGCCCATCAGGCAACGGTGGCTGCATCTACTTCTCATGTTCTAGTTCTATTGTTCAAGACCGATTCTGTTCATTTAAATGCTACACAAAAGACAATGGAAAACATTCATACACAGATGTTAAAACAAAAACAAACAAAAATGTTGTAAATTTAAGTTCTCTCTATCAATGCGGTCATGATAACACTGGATATTCCAGTATATATCATAACTACGGATTACAAAGTCTAATTTCTACAAACAACACTAAAACAAGATGTAAAAGCTTTGCTGGTTATTATTTTCTAAATAGTCCAGTTAATATTAACTATTGTTGTTTCATTTCTAATGATAATCATGAATCAAATTATGTTTGCATGTATCATTGGTATACACCTGATTCATTTTTGAAAAAATCTTTATTCAGAAACAACTCATGTTATACTAGTAATTCATATTATGGTCTTATTCATTCTTTTTGTTCAAATGTTACTGTTTCAGAATGTATTTTCTTAAAAAACAAAGCAAGTAATACTTTTGGTGCATCTTTTCGTGGTATTATAACAGTTATAAACTGTACTGGAGATGTTTTGACTGCAAGTACTGGTTATAGTGGTTCAGTTTATACAAATGAAATGAAAGTTTGTTCTTTTGATCTTACACTTTCATTGCATGCATTAGGAAGTTGTGAAGCAAGTCCAATTTCATTTGAACTTATTTTATGTCTAAGTAAAAATAAGAAAAAACATTTTTTTGAATTTCTTCTTTCATTTAATTTTTCTCTTGAATGTTTCATAAACATATCCCCTAAATAATTCGATTATTTTATTTTATATAATTCTATTGTTTTGTTATATAGAGTTCTTTTTTAAATGAGAAATCTAACCAAGAAAAAGGACAGATCAATCAAATATGGGATGCCCTAATCATGATAAAATATCCGCGAATAATTGATTCATTTGAAGCTGAACTTCAAATTCAAATCAAATTATTCGACCTCTCAAACCCGACTTGCTCATTGGTGCATCACACCCGTAAACAAAATTTAACTGTATGTAAACTTCAGAAATTTTTGATATGATAAATTTCATTTTTTGAACTCGAGTTCTCGAGAACTTGGAGTTCGAATCAAAACAAACCCAAGTACAGAGATGTAGTCAATATGTGCCTCAGGTACGCATTAAATGGACACCTGATAGTCTTACACATATCAATGAAATCAAGTCGAATAATACGTGCAGCTCCATTTCCAGAAATTGAGCCACCTACTGCATCAAAGGGGTTTGGCATACTCTGATCTCCGCCAATGAATTTGATATTGGTGAAGAAAAGGCCGGAAGGATGACGATTAGTATAGTTTCTAGTTCCGTCGTAATTGTAGCTGACGCAGGATGCTGATCCACTTGCGTAAGAGCTACCTCCGCCGCCACCAGCTGAGCTAGCTAGGTTTATATCACGATAGAAGAATCCAGCAGCACCGCCTTTTCCGCCGAAATAGCCACCTCCTCCACCGCCACCGCCTTCATCACCGATACTACCTTTGCCGCCGTTTAGAATGGCATTTCCGGAGGTTTGGGTACCACCCTGACCTCCAGCGGCTGTATTTCTTCCGTTATTATTGCCATTTTTACCGTTCAAGCCGGCGTGGCCGCCATTACCGCCCTCACCGTAGCATCCACCACCTCCGCCGCCTCCTGCGACCATAATGCGGAGTTGGTAGGGGTATCTCGCTCTGTAATCTTCAATTCTCATATCAGTTCCACCGCCCCCGCCGCCACCAGGGCAGTTATTATCGAAATTATCTGTACCGCGGCTTCCTCCTCCATTGAAAGAGGTTGCTTCTGTATTTTCGTTGCCATCTTTTCCTTTTTCACCGAGAAAGAAGGCAAATTTTTGACTTGATGTTAAGTTAAGGATTCCGTATACGTAGGCACCATTGCCCCCAATGCTACTGGCTTTATAGGTGCCATGACCGCCTTGCGCACCCCATAATTCAATTTGATAATCTCCTCGTGGTAATTTGACGGAGTAATTTCCGCCCTTTTTACTATATAGGACTAAACAACTGTTGATGCCAAACGAAACGCTTTGTAGTTTGGTAACAACACCACATATATAATTAATCTTATTGAGCGAGAAAAATAAAGTCATCGGAAAACAATCGTCAAATCTGATCAATTGCTCATTAACATATAAATAGTCCGTATTTAATCTTAAAATTACTATATGATCTGAATTATTTTTTCTATGAAGTTGTGAAAGATTTCAATTCAATTTCTGAAAAATTAATCATGAAAAATGTAATACAGTGCCGGTGATATCGAATTTGGTAAAAATGTAATAAACAGAAATTCATCAAAAGTGACAGCTCTCAATTTTTTGACATTTGTAAATTCTAAATTGAATGAGAAAAATGAAATAATACTAAGCATAATACAATATTCTAGATTTAATTATAATTAGGAAAAAGTTGGTTTTGAGAGTACTTTTCATAGGCATATAGAATGAAATCTTCTGAAAAATAATATCACATAAACTCATATTATTTTCTAATATATAACTATTTTATATAAAAATCAAATTCAATGATCTTAAAAGCGAAGGATAAACCTCAAAATTTACGAATATAATGAGTGGGAATATAATGCTTATCTATCATAAAACCATATGAAATATCAATTTTTGCTTTACGCCTAATTTTTGACGACAATTAGCAAAAAATGTTAAATGTTAACACTCAGTCCATTTGAATATGAAAAATAAAATTGACTTTGATTAAATGTTTTTATTTATCATGCAATTCTTCTTGCGACCAAAGATTTGAATAAAACTTCAAAAAATAAGATAGCTTAAAAAATAATATACGGTAGTGTTTACTAATAGATGAATAGTATATAAATTCTATTAAAATGGATTTGATCCAAAAAAATATATAAAATTTGATCATAAATAAAATCGTTTTAAATTACTTCTTCATTTAAATTATAACAATTATTTTTGGTTTTATATTTTTTTGGATCAAATCCATTTTAATAGAATTTATATACTATTCATCTATTAGTAAACACTACCGTATATTATTTTTTAAGCTATCTTATTTTTTGAAGTTTTATTCAAATCTTTGGTCGCAAGAAGAATTGCATGATAAATAAAAACATTTAATCAAAGTCAATTTTATTTTTCATATTCAAATGGACTGAGTGTTAACATTTAACATTCTTTGCTAATTGTCGTCAAAAATTAGGCGTAAAGCAAAAATTGATATTTCATATGGTTTTATGATAGATAAGCATTATATTCCCACTCATTATATTCGTAAATTTTGAGGTTTATCCTTCGCTTTTAAGATCATTGAATTTGATTTTTATATAAAATAGTTATATATTAGAAAATAATATGAGTTTATGTGATATTATTTTTCAGAAGATTTTGTGTTCTTCTTCAAAATTTTATTTTTTTTTATTAAAAAGAATCTTTACAAAATATACATTTACTTTAATTAATATTTAAAAACGTGCTCTATCAAAAGTTCCAAAAATTCAATATTTTAGCTTTTCTGAGGTGTCACTTTTGATGAATTTCTGTTTACAACAAAAACGATTGTTGTCAAACAGGTATTAATCTGACATTTCTCTTTCAAAACATTTTACAAAAAACGATCTCTGTCAATCTGAATTTGAATTTTTCAATTCGGCATTACAACATATACATGATTATTATGTGAATGCGATAATCATTCAAATGAAATGCAAGAGTTCCTCTGAATTTGCTGCCAACATTAAATTAAAGATTGTACATTACGACAATGGTGACAAGTTCAGCACATATCAAATATTTCAAATTGAATGATTATGAAAGTTCAGTTTATGGAAATTTCTTCTGGTGCTCATTGCAATGATTTTATAGGTTTTAGCTTTCAGCAATTGCTTCAAGGTAGTCAAAGAAAATGATTGATGGATAAATTGGCGTTATATTTTCGGAAATGCCAGAAATGAAGACTTTTGACTAATTTAGGGAAGAATTCACATTAAAAACACCTTGAAAAACTTTTACACTTTTTAGTTTAATCATTAAATGCATAGTTGTATCTAAAATTAGAAAAATAAAATCAGGGAGTTTTTCCTCACCTATTCTCGTCATTATTGCATTTGCATTCAATCAATATATCATATAAAAATATAGAATTGTTCGTTAAAACTTTAGGAATGGTATTTTTTTCATGTATTTTATTTTCATTTTTGAGATTTTTTATTTTGCAGTAGAACTAAAGATCAAATTCTAATTTGGCAATCATAAAAATAGAGATTGATACATATATTTTACCTATTGTTCATCTTTTGAAAATATAAGATTCTTTTTCTCCTTCACAAAACTCAATTTGAGGTTTTCCATGCGAGAAACAAAAGATATAATTTCTGAAATTTAACTTATAAGGATGATGCGTTCGAGTTTGTGGTTACACAATTATATCCGGAATTTTTTTCAGAACTTTACAAAATAAATTTTATGAAGAACAATTGAATGAAATATATAACAAAAACATTTAAAATAGGAAATGAATTAATTTTTCGATAACTTAAGGGTGCACACGAGAGGATCATGTAAACTTCAGAATTTAGAACCTTATTTTAGGCATTATCTTGGCTACCTATTTAGGCTCGAAAAGCAAAAAATATCAAAAAATACAACTTGAGTCCATTATGACCCTTTCATGGAGGTAGTTTTTATCCGCTAGTATTTTCCCTTTGAATCTCTTTACAATTCGAAATCAAATTCAAATCTCAGTAGAAGAAAGGAAGAATCGACTTACTACGGTTGTAATACGAATAAATACATATATTTAATTATTTTTATTTACATAATAATTGTTTGAAGCTCATATTCCAACAAATTTTTAAATAAAAACATTAAAATGTTGAAAATGTTCATATATTTTAATAGGGTTTTGGCACTTTATTGAGGAATTACTACATACATAGTCGAACTGAACTTGATATTTTGAAATTTAAATTATTTATCAAAATTAAAATTTAACTTGAAATTTATAATTATTTAGTCATATTTTGCATAATTCTAAGTAGATTTTGTAAAAAATCAAGAAAGAAAAATTTTAACGTTCTTTATTTTTTCTTTTTTATAATAATACATATTATTATATAATTAACATATTCATAATGTTTCACCCTTTCAAAAATATAATCCTCCTCCTCTCAAATAAACGTACATACGGGTGGCCTCTTTTTTCAAAAAATTAAAATTTGAAATTTTTGGCTCAAATATTAGAGATTTTTTCAACCTTCAACGATATATGTTGTCTATATCAGACCTCCTTTCTTTTTGATACTTAACATTGTTCCTAAATCTTAGCCGTTAAGGCTGTTCTGAAAATATTTTTTTTTTCGAAAAAATTCGAAAAAAATTCTTAAAATTCAAAAATCCCTTAATTCCTGAGGATTTTGGAAAAAAGTTTTTACATGAACATGTGTATATTATATGAAGTATATTGATAAGGTAAAAATCAAATTTTATTGCATATTCATCGAGAAAATAAACTAACGAATCCCTCAAAATTGAGAGGGTAATCCTCCTCTCAAATAAACGTACATACGGGTGCACCCTTAACATCCAAATTGAAATCAGATTTGTAGTATATTTTATCATAGGACATATTATCAGTTAGATTGATTCATACAATTTTTATTCAAATATTTTTGAGTATTGAACATTTTATTCTTATTTGTCATAATTTCTTTGAAATTCCTTTATAAATATATGCCATTATACGTATTATATCTAAATATTTATTTATAATAACAATCTTCTTTTGAGAATAAATTAAAAGAAATTCAAATTTTTTGAAAGACAACCGATATTTTACATTTGATAACTTTAACCAATCGGTTACAAGATGATACCAAGGAAAATAATATTTTTCCAAGATGTCTGATAATCAAAACAAATTTAATTGTTAGTATTACAAGGTCATAGTTACATACGAAAATATACAAGTAAACATTTTTTTGAATAATTATCAATTGAATAAATTATGATTGCCGTTATTTTACAAAACGTGCATCTAATATTGTGATCATTTTCAGAATTTACCTTTGGCAAATATGCAATATAACTCTTTTTCTAACGTATGTATCAATTTTCAATTACATACAAAAGATAAATTGAGTACAGCTTTTGTTCGATACTCATCTCAAATTTATTCAGGTTTATTTTAATATTTCGAAATACTTTTGTTATAAGAGTCATGCATCCAATTTAATAAATTAAATTTGTTTTCGATAATATTTTCTCAAAAAAATTCAGAAAATATATATGACTTATCAACGACTTGATCAAAGTTTTCTCGAGGAAAATGATTATGAATTCCTCGAAGAAATAGGTACAGGCTCTTTTGGTAAGGTGTGCCTTATCTATTCTTATCAATATAAGCAAAAATTCGCCCTAAAAATAATACCAATCAAAGTTTTCGACGAAAATGAAATAAAATCACTCGCTTCAATAGATTGTCCATTTATCACACGCTTATACCAATATATGATCATGAAAGATGTTGTCTACCTAGTCATGGAGTTCGTCCCAAATTCATTGCACAAAATGCTTCAGGAAAAAGGAGCAATTGAGGAATCTAAGTGCATCTCAATAGCTCGTCAACTGTTAACAGGAATCAAAACATGCCATGAACACAACATCTCTCATGGAGACATTAAATTATCAAATGTTCTTGTAGATGTCTACGGTAGACCTAAGCTTTGTGATTTTGGTATGGCCTCTGTATCAGAAACAAAAAGATTTTTCAATTTTCAATTCCGAGGATCTTTTCCTTATGTATCTCCAGAAATACTTCTTAAACGCCCTTATGACCCATTAAAAGCAGATATATGCGCATTTGGTGTATTACTATATATCATGCTTACAGCCAAATGCCCATGGAGTGGTAAAGATGCAAATACCCTTACAAGTAACATTTTTGCTGGAAATGTTAATATTGACCTTATTACAAATCCAGACCTAGCCAATGTGATAAAAATGTGCCTATCTATAGATCCTAAAAAGAGACCGACGGCAGATGAGCTAACAAATATGTATATATTTACTGATAGTCATTTACCACAATTGACAAATGGATTTACAATGATGCGCAACAAACAAACTAATTTGTCGAAGTCATTAAATTTATCGACCTTTGGAAGGAGCTTCCCAAGATTATGCAGTGCATCATTATCTCGCTTGAACTTAACTGATATTAATCAGTAAGTGTAAGATTCGTTTTCCCTTTGCTGTGAAAAATGGATCTGCTATATCATCCCTTATTCTTTTATTCATCCTTGTTTATTAAATATGTGTTTTTATTGTTTAGATAGAGCCTCAAGATTATCAGGAAATAAGATTTCATTCAAAAAATCGTTATGAAAAATAAAATATGACATTAGTATACAAATAATTTATTGATATAATATTTCCTGTTTAATATGGTAGTATAAAATATCGTCTTATTTTCATGAATGACCATAAAAAGTCTCAATGATCTGTTTCAGAGGATTTTCTATATAACAACAGTCTTAATAAAACTTCAATATAAAAAATTAGTTTATAGTTCTATTGAAAACTGTTTTGAAAGGTAAGAATATTATAGTCCTCAAATTTTATGTGATATTTCTATTATGTCGAAATTATAACATCTTATTATTAATCAAAATGTCCATTCAAAATTCAGAAATGTGAAGTAATAGAGAAGGTTTATGTTAAACCTCATTGTTAGACTTAGAATTCATTCATTAAAAATTAAAAAACCGTTGATTTCAAAAAATAAATTGAATGTTATAGACCGAAAATAGATTTTTTCGGTTTTCTCTTCAAATAATTGAAAGAATGATACTATTATAGGTTTATTATATTATATAGCATATAATCATGCTATAGCCGAAAATTATAAGTTTTGAGAAGATTGAATATAACACAAATAAATTTGAATGTAAGTTAAATTGCTTGTTGTTTTTAATAGCTATTTAATGGGAAATCCAATATTGCAAAATTCAAATTGAATGATTGAAAGAACAGAAAAAGTCATTCTTTTCAATTTCGAATATGTTTCATTATATTTATAATTATATGGCAAATAAGATATTTAAACTTGATTTTTGAAGGAAAATTCACAAAATTGAATAAATTCAAATAATTTTTATTCAAAAATAAACTAGTTATTTGAGTTTACTACTAATTATCTATTCAAACTACAAAGTTTGTAATTTAAAATATTTTGTGAGATCAGATTGAATTAATTCAAGGTTCTTTTCAATTAATATTCATGACCATATTACGCATTTTCGAACATTCTAAACCAAATATATAAAAATGGGAGACGAATGTTAAATTTGCTAGACATGGGGGAGTTGTCTGCAAAGTTTTAGCTCTTATCTCTAACAAAAAATTAATTTTTAAAAAAAAGACCGAATACGTTTCACAGCGAGAAAAAAATAAAAGGCAAGATAGAATTTTCTAGACATAAAGAAGTTGTCTACCAAGTGTCAGCTGTTACTTCTTCTCAATACTGATATAAAATAAAAATCTTTATTATTTATTTAACCATTATTGTTTCATTAAACTTCATTTATTTTATATTATAGTATTATTCTTTTAGCTACTTGTAAAATAATCTAATTTTATATCATCATTTTACCGGATTATTCTTCAGTACATCGATTGTGTATCTAAAATAATATCATTATCCTTATTCTGTTTTTTCCAAAATTCTTTTAAATATCTTTTTTGGTTAGATTACTTCATACTTTTTACTTTTATTTTTTAATTTCAAAAAAAAAAAATTGGTGATTGTTCTATTCTGTTACAATGTGCATTATCATATTCTAATGAATTATTCATTACATACATTTAAAAAAACTTGTTAAAAATGAAATTAAAAAATTATGTTTATTATTACGCTATGAATGTGTTAACAGCGGTCATGCCTGTATCTGTATCCCATATTTGCCACAACCTTTCTGTATCTGCATTTGTGTATTTCGGTTTCAGCTGATACATTTGAAAGGTAAAAAGATAAAAAGCGTTCGAAAAACAGCCCAGCAATTTAATTAATATACGATTAATTATTTTATCGGCACTCAATTTCTGATAATTATTCAATCTAATTATTTCTGAATGTTTTTCACCCTTGTTAAAGACTGTAACGCGAACACCATTCTTGACGTTGGCGAACTTTCGGAATCTTGTTTAACTCAAATAGCTAATGCGTGCAATTTCACTCCAAATAACATCGTTTTATGTTCACCGAACTACAAAAAATCCCTAACTCCCGACGAAGATCCGTTTCAAATTGAACCAAATCTAAAACTAAACTATAGACCGCAGCGTTTTCCACCACCTCCATATTTCCTTCTCCAGAATTTATCTGAAACCCCGCCATACTTTTGCGTTGGTGTCAATGTTAAAACCCAAACAGATATAGAATTCCCAAAGATTTTTGTTCCTCTCACCAAAAACGAATGCAGAACACTCCCTCTTGAAGAATTCATCCATAAATGCTCCAACGCTTTCGGATATGATAATAGCGAGCAAGAAATTTATATAGGCGATTTTAAATGCGAATCCGAAATAACAATCAAACAAATGATAAGAGCGGCCTTGGAAAATAAACTTATTTTCAAAACGCTTTTGACACAAACAGAGCTCCGTCCCATCCAGCACAGGATCTACTTATGCGAGCAGCTCGTAGAATCCGAGGAATTCTACATCAACACGCTTGATACGATGACAAAATACTGGGAACCGAATTTCAAGGATACAAAGATGTTTACAGAAGAAGAAATGAAAGAACTCTTCAGATTAATACCGACTATGAAAGAAGCTCATCAAAGTTTCCTTGATGCTCTCAAATCAACACCAATCTCATTCGCCCAGACAGTTTGCGACACGTTTTTGAACTACATACCATATTTCAAGGTTTCCAATCCATTTATTTCGAACTACCGCTCAATGGATAAATGGTATCAAGAAAAACTCAAGGATAAAGAGTTCGGCAAGAAATATTTGGAGATAGAAAGCAAGTGCCCAGATGACACAGGCAGATCCTTCTCCCAGTATTGCGTATCTCCAATTCAACGTTATCCAAAATATAATCTTTTACTTAGGGATATGGATAAGAAGACACCAGCCTTCCATCCAGATAAAAGATATTTACAGTACACATTACAGCAACTCGCAGAAGTTATTGGTCAATTCAATATTAACTCGTTAAGAATGGACCAGACTTATCTAATGAACCAGATTCAGAAGGAGCTTGGATCATCATTCAAACTCATTACTCCGCGACGTAATTTGATCATGAGTTGCGCTGTAAATATCGAAGATATGGATGATACAAACGGTTTCTTCCATTTATTCAACAATATCTACTTGATTACAACACAAAATGATCGTACGCAAACAGTTCTCTCTCAACATCCGCTCTACGAACTGAAATTCCTCGAAAAAGGAGATTCATTGATCGTATCTAGTGATATCAAGCACACACTGAAATTCAAACAGCCCGCTGAGATTCCACGTCTCTTAGACCACTTGATTACCAGCATTCCACCAACATTATCCGAAATTAAATGCGATGATAATTATATTGCATGGACAGTCAACGAAACAGACAACCTTGCAATGACCAAACACATCGGCGCAGTCATCGGCAACAAGATTTTCTGGATAGGAGGCCGCGATGCCAAAGATATTCTTTCTACAGAGTACGTTTCCTTCGATACAACAAACAATGAGTGGCTAAGAGTCAAATGCCCACTTCCTCCAAGACAAGGCCACTCAGTAGGTGTCATAGGAAACACTGCTTACGTACTTTTCGGAAAGACATACGATAATATGGCTTCTGACTTATGGAAATTCAACGGAGAAACTGAAGAATGGTCCGAAATCACCATATCCGGAGAGTTTCCAACTGCCAGATGGAGCCAAAGTTGCGTTGTCTGGAGAAACAAGTTAGTTTTCTTCGGAGGAATGACAACAGACCAGAAATTCCTCAACACAGTCACTATTTATGATCCAGAATCGAACACGATGTCACAGATCGAGACAAAGAACGCTCCAATTGGAAGATGCTTCCACGGAGCAGTCATGATTGATGACGATCGAATGATGATTGTTGGTGGAAATGCGGGAAAGATGTTTCCATCAGATTTCGACATTCTCGACTTGAATACAAAAGAATGGTGTTCTGTTGATACTCCTAAAGAAGACATGAAGATCATGGGAGTCAATTTCACATGTTTGAAATATGGAAGATTCGTTTATGTATTTGGTGGATCTCTTATTTCATCAAACATTGCTCCTTTCGCTATTGACACGATCACAATGAGATCATTCAAGTTAGTACAGTTCGGAAACAGCCCAGATGCACACATTGACAGTGCATTTGCTATAAAGGATAGCATTGTTTACATGTTTGGAGGAAAGGAATCATTGACATGCTCAAGAAACATTCCTCTCGTTTACCAGACAGATTTACAGCCTGGTCAAAGAGATATTGAAGGTGATGACCCAATGTTTATTGTTCCTCCAACAAGTAACTTAGCATAAGCATTTTGTTTTTATTATATTTTTTTTATATTATAGAAATTTTATTTTCATTGTTTTATTAGTGCTATCTTTAAATTTTTAAGGGCGCACCCGTATGTACGTTTATTTGAGAGGAGGATTACCCTCTCAATTTTGAGGGATTCGTTAGTTTATTTTCTCGATGAATATGCAATAAAATTTGATTTTTACCTTATCAATATACTTCATATAATATACACATGTTCATGTAAAAACTTTTTTCCAAAATCCTCAGGAATTAAGGGATTTTTGAATTTTAAGAATTTTTTTCGAATTTTTTCGAAAAAAAAAATATTTTCAGAACAGCCTTAACGGCTAAGATTTAGGAACAATGTTAAGTATCAAAAAGAAAGGAGGTCTGATATAGACAACATATATCGTTGAAGGTTGAAAAAATCTCTAATATTTGAGCCCAAAATTTCAAATTTTAATTTTTTGAAAAAAGAGGCCACCCGTATGTACGTTTATTTGAGAGGAGGAGGATTATATTTTTGAAAGGGTGAAACATTATGAATATGTTAATTATATAATAATATGTATTATTATAAAAAAGAAAAAATAAAGAACGTTAAAATTTTTCTTTCTTGATTTTTTACAAAATCTACTTAGAATTATGCAAAATATGACTAAATAATTATAAATTTCAAGTTAAATTTTAATTTTGATAAATAATTTAAATTTCAAAATATCAAGTTCAGTTCGACTATGTATGTAGTAATTCCTCAATAAAGTGCCAAAACCCTATTAAAATATATGAACATTTTCAACATTTTAATGTTTTTATTTAAAAATTTGTTGGAATATGAGCTTCAAACAATTATTATGTAAATAAAAATAATTAAATATATGTATTTATTCGTATTACAACCGTAGTAAGTCGATTCTTCCTTTCTTCTACTGAGATTTGAATTTGATTTCGAATTGTAAAGAGATTCAAAGGGAAAATACTAGCGGATAAAAACTACCTCCATGAAAGGGTCATAATGGACTCAAGTTGTATTTTTTGATATTTTTTGCTTTTCGAGCCTAAATAGGTAGCCAAGATAATGCCTAAAATAAGGTTCTAAATTCTGAAGTTTACATGATCCTCTCGTGTGCACCCTTAAATTGGATATAAATTAAAAAAATAATTCATCTTTGCTCTTATATCAATTCAGGAGCTTTCAGTAGAAGGAATTGTAGAAATGTAAGATCTTCTGAATGGATCTCTTGCTTTGTATGTTATTTACTCATTGAGTCTTCATCCCAAGATATTTTTTTTAGATTTCGAAACAGCGAAAAGATTGACTCTTTGTACAAAAATTTCAATTCTATCATAGGGAAAAAGTATCTTATAATTCTAGAGCTAATGCTACTTAAGCAATACAAACAGCAGGTCTATATTGCAGGACCAAACAAATATCTTCACTTCTAAAAATAAGAATTTTCTTTGCAAATTTATGGACAAGTTGTTTTTTGGTATGACATACACCCAATTTGAATGACATTGGCGTACTCTAAAAAATAGTATTGCTTGATCTTTGGTAAATGGATTCATTATATAATAAAAGAGTAAACATTTAGCGAAATTTACGTCATATAGATTTATATGATCTATCTTGTATTTTAAGGTTAAAGATGCAGAAATTCTCACCCGTAAAAATTGGATTAGTTTTTACAGGCGTGCAAAATTTCATATGATTCACTTCCTTTTTTACTTATCTATCTCATATATGGCCCACATGGGATATGGAATTATTCCATTAAGCGAATTTTCCATCATTGGCCAACGTCAAGTCATACAAATTACACCTCCTCGCCATCCATTACAAAATGAAACTTTTTATTTCGTTGTTTTGAACAATGATATGCTTCAACACTCAGGACTATATAATTTTAGTTCAAATGAAACACTAGTCATAGTACAAAGGACTCTAAGCCAGAAATCTGATTTAGAATATTACTTAATTTCATTAGATTCCACAGCTGAAAACCAAATCATTACAGGTTTCCTTCCATTACCTCTTAAAACACTCGAATACGCTTGGGATCAATATTCAAAAATAAGAAAATATAATGTAGTTTTAATTCCGAATTATGATACAACATATCATATTTTATTATCAAACAGTAACAAAACCATTTATTATTACACGAATTCTAGTGATCCAAAGACATTAGATTCAGAAAATCAAATTTTTGTTCGCGAAAACAGCTCAGCTATTATTTCCTTTGAATTTCTTCCACAAGATCCTCACTTTATGCTTATAATTGATTCAATGGAACTCCATAATGACGAATTGCGCGATCAAGAATATTATTATGAACCAAGAACTTATAATATTTTTATATCTCTTCTATTTTATAATCGATATTCAGGTTTGAATTTAATAGTTTTGCCCACTAATAAAGACGATACATCTTTTCAAGTTTGCTCTAATAGTTATTTCGCATTTATTCAAACTCCGCATATGGTTGGGCACATTGATGTATTTGATGAGAATAATCAAACAATAGATATAAACAAAGGATCAGATCATGTTTCCGTAAGTTCTCTGCGTTCAGATCGCTATCCTTCGATTTTATTCTTCTATACTTATGGACTTAATTATTTATGGACAGGCTGTTCAAATATATCCCTCGAATTTACTAAGGGAGAAGCTGCACTAAAAATGACTTTTTTTGGCATCAAGCATTTTGATTATAAGGTTTCACTATCAAATTTCGAATTTATGCAAGATTATATCTCTATATTCACTTATAAATTAAAAGTAGTTGATCAGAGAAAAGGTGGATCATTAAAATTAACAACAGAATATCCTTATAAGAATCCTTTTGTGGTGCCATACTTTAAATTTGATTATAGAGATGAATTGTTTGATAAAAGAGCAAAGTTTTACAAGATTTTCATTCCAACATATATATTAATGGTTCTCTCAGGATTCTTAATATCTGCGTTAGTTACACGCAGCAAGAAGTAATTTTATTTTGTTATTTTAATAAATATGTAATTAGATCTATTATGGAAAATTCTAGTAGATGAATTTAACACGTTTTGTAAGGGGCGTGAAGCAACCCAAAAGTGTAATTCTCTAGTATATGATTATTTTTGCTTTTAATGCCGAACATCACTTGAATCAAAATTAATTGTATGCTAGAGATTTTTTTTTCTAAGGTTCAATACAATTGTGGCTTTATAGTAATATCTTAGAGATTTCTAATAGTGTTTCAAGTACGAAGTATAGACGAAAATACTCTTATTTTTGAGATATTATTGGATTGAACAACTAAAAATTATTTAATTTTGTAAAGTTGGAATCGGATTTTTTCTGAGCAGAAATGGTCATCATTATCAGGCTTACGAATTGCATTATTAATCAAGAACTCAATTCTTGAAGATTTGTTTAGTATTTATAGTAGAACATGAAAATAAGGTAGTCACAAAATCTAAGTAGAAGGGCTTTGAAATATTGAGGGGATTTGAAATTTTGGCTCTCAAAATTTACCCTTCCTCACTACTCGAATTCCGAGCCTCTCAATGAGTTTCCTCTCAATTTTGAATGGTTTATATTGACTTTTGAATTGGCTCGACCTCAAAACAAGCATTTTATGAGCTTACTAAGGGTGTTATAAATGAATTCAAAGGTATTTACATACATCCTGACCTCGTTCATTTTGTTGCTGAATGGTGCTCTGTAAAGTATGCATTTTATGTCAAAGATATTATGGACTCCATAGACAAGAAAGTTCATGAGAAATTAGATGAAGAAGAACTCGAAGATACAGTAGTGAATGCTAAACATTTGTTTGAAGAAGAAGTTAGAAAAATGTGCGAAAAACAATTAGAACATGAAGGTGAGATATGTTATGGTTATAGAGATTCTCCATACGAACTAGACCAATGGGAACAAGAAGATTTAAAGAGAGAATTTAGAGAATATGAACTCGCTAAGATAGCATTAGAAACTGCAGAAAAGAAGTTAAAAGTTTGGGGTCGTTTTGTACAAAAATATTGTGAGTAAATGAACCATTTATTTTTGTCATTAACGACCAAAAATATATTTTATCGTTAATGGTTTTTAGGTTATTCAATAATGAATTATTTTTGAAGAACTGAAGGTGTTACCATGTTACCATGTGCTACCATGTCAATTAACTTCTCTTAAAAATGATGACAACATGACATTTTGACAACAACACAGGAGGAAGGCATTTATGAATTATTTTTGAAGAACTGAAGGTGCTACCATGTTACCATGTGCTACCATGTCAATTAACTTCTCTTAAAAATGATGACAACATGACATTTTGACAACAACACAGGAGGAAGGCAAAAATAAATTCAAATCATACTTTATAAAGCTTCATTTACAGGTATTTCATCATCAGTAAATGAATCCTCATTATCGTTTGGTTCAACCTGTTTATATAATCCTTTCATTTCTTCTTTCAAAACATAACACCATGTTTGTTTACCATCTATTCTTCTATGTTTCCTATCACATTTATCCTTAATACTCATTTGGAAATTCTTGTCTTTCATGTCTGATGGTTTGCAGAATAGAGCATTTTTACACGTCATACCTGCACACAATTCATCATAATGTGTATTTATCCATACATCTAAAGGATTTGTTGATAATTCAATTAAATCTTGTTTGGCTTCAGTCATCGGTATGATTCGTACATTAAATGATGAAAGGTCGTAATTGATAAAATATGTTAGTAAATTATCATAAAATTCCTTAGTGCATGAATCCATTAAATTCTTGAAGTAATCAAATTGACCCTTGAATTTACCATTAACCCTTAAAACTACATATCTTCTGTCTCCAACTTCAATTTTGACAGGGTAAACATTGTTAGTTACGAAAATGAAGTTTGCAACGTTCTGAGCAGTTCTTCTGGGTTGATTCTTTTCATTAATTCTAATCTCATTATCCGTAATAATTGATTTCAAAGCGTTGAAGTTTGCAAGTCTGTCTTCACCAACATTCTTGAGTTCATTAAGTACAAGAAACATTTTATTTTCAACTACTGAGTTGAAATTACCCGTTAGCTCACCTATTTCAGTAATGTTTTTGCATGAATAACCAGCGAGAAGTTCAGAAATAATGTCTGTGAATCTGTTTTTACCTGTTCCCTGAAGTCCTTTCAAAATAATTGCTGTTTCATTCTTGATTCCAGGATGTTGAATCATTGATGCAATCCAGCCGAGAAGGTATTTATACACTTCATCATTATTATCACAAATGGCTTCTTTAATGAAATTCATAAACATCTCAATTTTTGAGTAATCAGGCTTTTCGAGAATGTTGTATTTATAACCTTGAAACGTTGAGAAAACATCGGGGGAATCAGATTTAAAGCAAACACCCTTAACGGTTAATGAGGATAATTGATTTAATAGTACGTCCCATGCTGTTATTGTTTTACCTTCTTCTTTAAATAATTTAATCATTTTAAGTGACTCTTTCATGTTTGATTGAAGAACGAATGATATTTGATTCATTTTGTCGTGGATATTATAGTCCTTTTGAATGAAATATTTATTTCCACAATCTACAAAACGGATTACACGTGATAAATCCTCAATTACTTCAGAACTGTTTTTATACTGATGATTTTCAGCCTTGCGTCTAATATCTGTTATCAAAAACGAGTCATCAAGTTTGATATCAAATGTTATTTTTGGCTTACGTAATAAAGGCAAAACGTATTCATCATAATATTCCTTTTGATATAGTTTTAGAATCTTCACCAAAACAAATGGAGAAGTCATTAAATGTGCATATCTACTACGTGCTTTTTCAAAATTACTTTTTGCATTTTCAGTTAAATTGCAGAAGTTATAAACGTTATCGTATGCTTCATTAATCAAATGATTAGGTAACGAATTAATTGCTTGAAACAGTGTGAATAATGTAACTTCTTTTTCTAAATTCATGTTTCCACCGTCATTATGTACTTCAAAATCACTGATGCCATCAACTATGCTCTGGGCAAGTTTATCGTCAATGTTTACATCTTTGTTTTCATTCATTATACTCTTTATTTCTTCATTCTTCTGTTCAACTCTTACCTTAATATTCAAATCATTTAATATATCATTCACTGTTCTGGTTAATGTTGAATCGTAACTTCCACGAATGAATGAGTATGTATTGATTGGTTCTGTTGCATTCTTGCGAACTCTTGAATCAGCCATAACCACTAATGAACGCTTTGAATCATCAATAGAAGTCATTATATCAATATCATAATCATTGCAGGAATAACATTTAATCATTCTGTTCGAAACTGCATAGAAGAAATTAGTGTTGCAATAAATGTGAAGACCTCCTGAAGCGGTTTTAACTATAACGTCTTTATCCGAAAGTTTTGATAGAATGTCTTTTCTAACTGTTTCTTTAAGTTCATCATTGTATGATTTATTGATATCGACATCTATAATCGTTAAATTTGATATTTTATTTACTAATAAAGCCATACCAGTTTTCCTTCCTCTTCCTCCATCATGTTTGAGGTAGTTGTGTAAATCAATCTTGTTTTCACCAATTCTTTCGTTGAGGGTTTTAGTTTCTACCACAACTAATTCCTCAACTAATGAATCAATAACTTTTTCATCAGAAACGATAAAGTTGCTGCTGTTGTTTGTTGCTGTCATTTATATAGGAATAAAAAATAAAAAATAATTTTAAAACCAACTTTATTTTTGGGCTGCATCAAATTTCCTGTGTTGTTGTCAAAATGTCATGTTGTCATCATTTTTAAGAGAAGTTAATTGACATGGTAGCACATGGTAACATGGTAACACCTTCAGTTCTTCAAAAATAATTCATTATTGAATAACCTAAAATCATTAATGAAAACATAACGATAACATCAAATTTCCTGTGTTGTTGTCAAAATGTCATGTTGTCATCATTTTTAAGAGAAGTTAATTGACATGGTAGCACATGGTAACATGGTAACACCTTCAGTTCTTCAAAAATAATTCATTATTGAATAACCTAAAATCATTAATGAAAACATAACGATAACATCAAATTTTATTTTTATATAAATGGATACCCCACAAGCTCAAAATTTACCACAAATCATAACAAGGAGGAAATGATAAAATGATGCAAGAACAAATTAAAAACAACAAACCACGAAAACCGAGAAGATGAGGAATAAAAATTAAATTTGGATTGAGTTTAAAAATTCATCTTTATTAAATTCATCTCTTCCAATCAATTTATTTATTCTATTAAATTCTTTTTATTTTTTTTTTGCTTCACTCAGTTTAAGGATTGAACGGTAAGTTTTTAATTTTTCGATTATTTCTTTCCTCTCTTGATCGTTTTCAACCCCACCACATTGCGGCTTCTTTTTGTAATAGCATATTTTTGATTTAATTCTGTTTAGTTTCTTTTATATTCATCGTCTGACTCTTGGATGCTTCGTTGTCACTCATTTCTTACGAAATAAAAAATTAAATATTATTTAAATATAATGGAGTAATAAAATAAATCGGAATTTCTATTAATTTATTGTTAACCTCAACTAATGCATTGCCGTTAATATATCTAACAAATTCAGCTATTGTGTCAAATCTTCGTCTTCTTTTGTCATTGATTTATCAGTTTTTCCATAATCGAGATGAAATCAAAACTTTATTCCCCTTGTTTAAAATTCATGAGCCCCGAATTAATTTGTTCACGTTTAACATCATTTAACCTTTCCATTTGCTTTCTAATATATTCCCATTCTTTTGAAATATCATTTTTCATTTCCACTGTTTCATGTTTATAGTTCTATGCCATGTATTATTGTAATAATATACTAACTGCTGTATGATGGAGTCATGATTTCCATCCCAGTATATCTGACCGTTAACCCCTAACGCATCTCTAAGAGTTCTCATTACCGCATCAACTATTTTATTATGAAACGTATATGGAGAGGATGAAAAGAAAAATTAATTTGTGGAAAATAATGAGCCATAGCTGCCTGAAATCCTTTATCACCATCACCCCTTATATTATCTACTCTTTCATGATCTAGTAAGTATTGTATAGCTCTTCTTGTTTCCTGTTCTGTTTTCCCTTTCACCGGAATGCAATATAAATATCTGGTGTTAATGTTAATGGCAAATAAATAAGTAACGTTTCCTTTTGAATATTCTAAATGATCGATTTCGTATGAATATGGATATGGTGCAAATGAAGGGCGACTAAATTTTTCCTTTAACGGTTGAATTTTTGGGTCGGTTGGTTTATTTAATATCTTGAAATCCTTTTTAAAATCTTTTTGCTTCTTTAATGTTTGAAATGGATATAATAAAGTGAATGATGAAGGATTAACTGAAGGAGGAGGTACTGTCGTTGGAGGTTTTGGTGTTGCAAGTGGTTTAATTTTATCTGCTTTGATTTTGGATTTCATTCCCCCCTTCATTAATTCTGGATGTATTCTATTCATTTGTTTTAAATATGCTGTATATAAAGGTTTGATATACTTTCCCGCTTCGAGTTTATGTTGAAGGATGAATTCCAAAAGTTGATCTTCATTTAAAAGTCGGGCTGAATATGATTTAACTAACGAATCATAAATTAAAGCTTGTGCTTCATTTATGGTCTGAAGGACCTGGGCGTTTTGTTCCTTTGGCTTTTGTTCCTTTGGCTTTTGCGGCTCAGGATTATATAAATTATATAATTCATCAATATCTTCTTCTGTTAATACTTTATTTTTGAAATCTTTCAATTGTTTAAGTTGTGATTTAGTTTTTTCCTTTGTATATTCATTATTTTTAATTTTGTCTTTAATTTTAGAAATTATTTTATCATGATATTTCAAAATTTCATTTTTATAATATGGATAATAATAACCCATATCATCACCCGTTATAGTGTTATCATATTTTTGGAGATATGCTTTTAATTCATAATAAGTAAGAAAATTTTGATTAAATACTAAATCATCAATTAAATTTTTTAAATCTGCGCTATTCATTTATATAAAAATAAAATAATTGTTTTAAGGGTGCCCACCTCTTTGAATCATAGTATCAAAACCATCATTAACGGTTCCTTTTGTCTCTTCTGTGGCATTTTATTAAAAATAAAATTTTAAATTATATTAAATAAATGGCATACAACATCCATTTTCACAACATACAGCCTTAGTGTGTGCTCCTGTTAATGCAGTCTTACCGATTGTTAAGCGAGTCATTGACCCGTTTTGAAGTTGTAAATTAATATTCTGACCATCAAATATCACTTTATCATTTATTATATCCAAATAATTTTTAGGTGTTAATTGTTTATTTTGTCGTAAACTAACACCTTTCATTTTTTGTGCAATCTTTTTAAAATCACTTCCATCAATTGAACCGTTGAATGATGGATAACATTTAGGACATAACGCCACCATGTTATCACCCTGTTTCTCAATTGCTAAACCCAATAACTTCTTCTCATGTGCTTTTTCTTCAGCTTTATTCTTTAATTTAGGTTTAAATTTCTCATCAAAACAGAAGAAATCAAAAGGTGCGAATTTGAAAATGTTTTTATCATAAAATTGTTTATCGGTAACAATTGCTTGAAATGCTTGAGTGTTAGGAAGATTTGACAACGTGTAAATTGAATAAAATGTTTAAAGTTGATGGATTCAAAATTTCAAAAATAAAAGGAGTGGTTAGTTTGAAATCTATTCCTCAATCAAGAATCACCTCATTAATGAAAATAGATGATTTAACAAAAGAATAGAAGAGATTGAAGAAAGAATGAATCAAATAATTGATTTCATAAATTCAAATAATCATTAGTTTCTAATTTCTTTTTCTCGTTTATGAGGTCTTTGATTATGACTCCATTGATTCCATTCAGGATTTAAACAATGTTTAATTAATCGCGGAATATCTGACATCATCTATATATATAGCTTCTTTTATAAAAGATAAAAAATAAATTATTTTTTAATTAATATTAATTTTTTTTAATGTGTTTATTTCATTATGTATGGGCTGAGTGTAAATGTCTTACAATTTTGAAAATTTTTAAATCTTGATTTATTCAAAAACGTAAGAATAAAAACCGTAAGAATCATACATTTTTTACTTCATATGTTAAAAAAATGATACAAAATCGCTCGATATTGTATGAATTCTTACGTTTACAAAAAAAGTCACACAACCCGTCATACCCTACTACTTTTTCTGAAGGAGTTTATATGACTGTTTTAATACTTCCCTAATCATTCTATAACTAGTAACACAACTTTTGGCAATTATATATGTTCTTGACAAATTTCACACCGATATCACATTTCATTTTGAAATAATTGAAAGTTTTCATCTAAAATCATGCTCATCATATCATCAAGGATCGAATTTTTCATGAAAAACATGAAGGCATAGTTGAACAAAAAATGTTCGGGAATGTGAAATCATTCTTAATGATATTTGAGATTGAAACATAATAGTAGGATGCAATACTTTATTAACAAACACAAAAGAGCTTAAAAAAGCATATATTCCTCGAGTTGAGGAAAAATCGGTCTCAAGACACCATGTATATCAAATGCCACAGAGAGGGATTCAATCACCTTTAAATGACATTCTGATTGTGATATACATTTTTCCTTTTTTATCAGTGCTTGAGAAATTTCAAGTACTGCTTGGGAAATTTCAAAGCTTGTGTAGTTCATTGAGCAATTAATCAGTAGAAGAGAGTATACACAAGCAATTGTGATACTTTTTAATGTAAAATTGGTCTCTGGAGTCGCTTGATTATAATATTCCGGAAGAAACAGGTCAAGATAAGAAAAGGGTGTAATGACTTCTAAGTCAAACTTTAAAACGCTTAGAATGCGTAGTTCACATGATACAATACTGTTAACGGAAACATCTCCATAAAAGGATGAAAAAAGCTCGCAGTAATCAATTGGACCTTCATCCTCAAGCTTTGTCGCTATGAACAAGCATGTGGCAGCGTAGATATTGATATCACTTTCGGAGATCTCCGACATTTTTAACAATAAATCGAAGAGCCTTGTAGCATATGCAAATGTATTGTGCGAAAGTGAAGATCCTACTGATATAGAAAACATTCCATATATAGCAGCATCTCTTTCTTCAGGACGAATTTGAGATGTCAATCTTCCTTTCATAATATTTTTGTTTGAGTATGTATTTTCGCGTCTGACATATTTGCTGATAAGACTGTTCTTGTATTTTGTATTGATTGGCGGACAAAAATAGGATTCATTCTGAATTTCAATTGGCAACAATTGTGGTGGGAAATGTCCGTCTGCATCAATATCTTCTGATTCGCTTGTATAGTTTGGATTTTCGGCCCATTTGAGCTCTTGAGTTGCAAAATTCATATCTACAGACTGAGTATACATTTGAATGATTGATAGTACTCACAAAAATGAGTTAGTTTTTATATTTCAGAAAATTTTTCTCATGATTTCGGATAACAATATGATAAATAGCAATTTGTAACTCGTAATAAAATCAATAACCGAACATTTTTCACAATTTTAATGAAAAGTCATAAAATTGTCTATTTTCCGAATTAATAAATATAGTGTGGGTATTAAAATCTGAAAAATTTCGTAAAAAAGTTATATAATGACGTTAAGTTTTTTTCCTTGAAGTGGCTTGAAATACATTGGCCGAAAGTGAAATGGTATATACGTCTGGTATAAAGCAATTATACATCAAAATTATTCATCAGTTTCGAGTTTATCTAAGATTTGATATGACAGGATTAGCTTTTTATAATTTAAATGTGATACACGCATTTGCTTAACTATTTACATATGAAAGCACTTAAAGAGTGAATGGTTTCTAGTAAAATTGACGTTATCTTTTGGCCATTGTTATAGACCGAAAATAGATTTTTTTCGGTTTTCTCTTCAAATAATTGAAAGAATGATACTATTATAGGTTTATTATATTATATAGCATATAATCATGCTATAGCCGAAAATTATAAGTTTTGAGAAGATTGAATATAACACAAATAAATTTGAATGTAAGTTAAATTGCTTGTTGTTTTTAATAGCTATTTAATGGGAAATCCAATATTGCAAAATTCAAATTGAATGATTGAAAGAACAGAAAAAGTCATTCTTTTCAATTTCGAATATGTTTCATTGTATTTATAATTATATGGTAAATAAGATATTTAAACTTGATTTTTGAAGGAAAATTCACAAAATTGAATAAATTCAAATTATTTTTATTCAAAAATAAACTAGTTATTTGAGTTTAATACTAATTATCTATTCAAACTACGAAGTTTGTAATTTAAAATATTTTGTGAGATCAGATTGAATTAATTCAAGGTTCTTTTCAATTAATATTAATGACCATATTACGCATTTTCGAACATTCTAAACCAAATATATAAAAATGGAGACGAATGTTAAATTTGCTAGACATGGGGGAGTTGTCTGCAAAGTTTTAGCTCTTATCTCTAACAAAAAATTAATTTTTAAAAAATGACCGAATACGTTTCACAGCGAGAAAAAAATAAAAGCAAGATAGAATTTTCTAGACATAAAGAAGTTGTCTACCAAGTGTCAGCTGTTACTTCTTCTCAATACTGATATAAAATAAAAATCTTTATTATTTATTTAACCTTTATTGTTTCATTAAACTTCATTTATTTTATATTATAGTTTTATTCTTTTAGCTACTTGTAAAATAATCTAATTTTATATCATCATTTTACCGGATTATTCTTCAGTACATCGATTGTGTATCTAAAATAATATCATTATCCTTATTCTGTTTTTTTCCAAAATTCTTTTAAATATCTTTTTTGGTTAGATTACTTTATACTTTTACTTTTATTTTATAATTTCAAAAAAAAATTGGTGATTGTTCTATTCTGTTACAATGTGCATTATCATATTCTAATGAATTATTCATTACATACATTTAAAAAAACTTGTTAAAAATGAAATTAAAAAATTATGTTTATTATTACGCTGTGAATGTGTCAACAGCGGTCATGCCTGTATCTGTATCCATATTTGCCACAACCTTTCTGTATCTGCATTTGTGTATTTCGGTTTCAGCTGATACATTTGATTTGGCGTGTAATTTGTTCCAGTTAATGATTAATTGGGAGATCTTCATGCGGTGTGTTATTATTGTACTCCCAAATAAAGGCAGGAATAGCCTGAATGCTTTGGCAGCGCTCCAATGTCGGCCAGAATCTCTCAATCTTCCCATTTTGGTAGGGAGAATGAGAGTCTGTATGCCGCCATTGGCCGCCCCCAAGATCAAGTAGATCTTGAAAGGCGCCCCTATTTTCTGAACCGTTGTCGGTCCAGAAACAATAAGGGGCGCCAAATTCAATGAAGGCGGAAGCCGCAACGTTCGCTGTCGTCGCTGCCAGCATATCTGGTATTTGTATACACGCTAGGACAGTTAGTATGGGTTAGTTGGGTACGGAGGCACTGCGCGCCTCCTTACCCATTATATGTGAATTTGACACTTTACAAAACCGTTAACGTATATTTTACAACACAAACGACAACACTAACTTAACCTTAAATATTTACAAAACCACCACCCACTTCACTTCACTAACGAACTCACTAATGTAAAAAATAAACGTTCTCACTATCGTTCTCACTAACGACTTCACTAATGTTCTCATAAATTTTCCTCAATATCTTCATCATCAGTGTTAACCCTATTGTAGTCATACTTGAAGCCATAAACTTTCTCTAACTTCTTAACGTACAATTTACATAACTTACCTTCGTCATCGTATGGTTTAATGATATAACTATTTCTATCTTTATACACAGTCAATGAAAATCAACTGGTCTCGGATGTATTGGAAAGAACATGTTATGCTCAGGAAGGAAGAATAAATGTTTAAATGTATGTTTGTTATATTTTTCGATTTGTATGAGTTGCTTTTGTTCTGTCATTTACATCCAAATAAAAATTTTCAGTAAAATAAAAATAAACTTAAAAATTAATGATATCACCACCCTCACACGTATGAAAACATAGCACAAAAATAAATTTAGGTGAAGTGGTGAGATCTCACCTCTTTTTTCACCTGTTTTTTCACCCTGTTGAATTCATTGCTTTATAACTCTCTTCCTTGGTTTCTTTTTAGTTGCTTTCTTCACGTCTGTCTCCAACTTGACTGTCTTTCTTCTTCGTCCATAATGATACCAATTACTTCCACCAGTCAATGGGTCAAATGGTCTTTCGTAAGGGTTTCCATACATTCCATAGGGACCATACGGAAGAACTACTGGTGGAGAAGAAACATTTTCTTTAGTTCCATCGACTCTATTTAAATGCATTGTTTCACCTTTCATCTGGTCATTAAAGTCTTTTGCGTGTTTTGCAAACTCATCGTCCTTTCCTAAAGCATTTTCTGACTCAGTCGCAACCAAATTGGATGCTTTATTTATGAGCCCTATTTTATTTAATCTTAACTTCTTTGCAACCCAGCCTCCAATCTTCCCTTTATTTGCATCTAATGTCTTCGAAACCCTTCCTCCACTCATTTTATTTACTGCGTCATAAGCTCCAAGTGCTTTTGCTCCAAATGCTAATGCTTTTGTTCCCATTGCGCCTAAAGCTGCCCAAGCTACCATTTACACCATATTAAAATCATCTCTCTTCAATATTATCTCATAAAAGTTCTCGTTACTGGAGAAAGTCAATGAAACATAAGCGTTCTCACGGGCTTCGCCCTCACCACTTTGCGGTCTATCTAACTTCTTTCTTATCTCATCTATACGCTTCAAAATGTCTGAACAATTGCTAACATCTTCTACAACAGTTATTTCATCATGAATGACCTTCAAGAACAAGCTCATTTAATATGCTATTAAAATCATCTCAATAATGAGTCCATCCTTTCCATCTTTAGGTAGCACAACATCTTTCATTGAAGAAGGTTCGACAAGTCTTATGTTAAACTTACTGACAAAGTTTGTTATACTATAATGCTTCGGCGGCGAATACATGTAGTTTGAAAGACATAATATAGATTCTTCAGCAAATTCACTTATACTGGATTTTATAACAATGTTCTCACGAGACCAAATACCACCAATTGACAATCTTGTAAGCAATCCTGCTGAACCTTCTACTGTAAACGTCGATGGTAACATTCCACGAAGGTCATCTATTGACATCGTTGAGTCACTGAATTTAAATATTTTCTTAAAGCAATCGTCATTATCTAACCATGCAATAGCTTTGAAGTTTTCATTCGAATAGACATCTGCTTCATTAAATGTAAAACCTGACTTCTTTGCAGAGATGACTTTAAAATCTATTGAGTTTGTTTCAAAATTATATGCTATGGTAACTTCTGAAGGCAATGGATGTCCTTCCGCAGTCAGTTGTTCTCTCACTACCGTTTGAAGCTTTGTATTAAAAACTTTCATGTCATCTCCTGTATCTAAGTTACATACACAGCAACAGGGAAACTATCTTGCTTCTTTGTTTCATCATTATACCTCAAAACATTAAAGTTCTTCAATAATATTGTTCTTCCTGCTGGAATACTTCGAACTGTCTGATTTCAATAGCTTTCTCACCTCCTACATACTCTACCCAGTGTCTTGGATATTCATAAGTATACTGACTTTCTTGAATTTTGGTTGGTTTCATCATAACATGTTCATAGTATATCTTTATACTCTTGTCAGTTAGACTCGGTGCTATGTTCTGAATATTTCTGACTTGCATTTTTAATGGAGATAAAATGAAGCATTTAATACATGACGTAGATGAAGACATGAATGAAACTACAGACAAACTTAACTCTTCTCTTATTCTTCCTTTCAGCAAAGATTATGAGTTCTGTTCAAATGGTGTGTATTTCTATTGTGGAAAGATGGGGTCAGGAAAGACATTTAACCTCATTCGTCATATACTCATAACAGAGCGTTTAGGAAATGACTCATATTATGACCAAATCATTATATCAGCAACTTCAGACTCTATGGACTCAACAGCGAAAACATTTATGTCAAAAGTTCAAGCTCTGTCGTTAAAGTTCCAGATAGCGAACTCATTGAATTTCTTCAACGTTACATTCGACGTAGAGAAAATATTATGCCATCGTAGAGTTCATACAGTCAGGAATGCAAAAGACTTCGAGGAGATGGAAAGAATTATTGACAAACACCACTTACGTCAGTACTCAGGAGTTTACGATATGAAACGACTGACAAACTACATTCTATCAAAACTTTCAAAATACCCCTTCAAAAATATCCTTCAAACACTTGCTCGTTTGTGACGACTTCGCTGGAAAAGGTTTAGTGTCAAAGCCTGACTCACCATTAGCTAACATCATTACTAAAGTCAGACATTACCACTTAACTGTAGCAATACTTATGCAAACATGGGTTTCTTGCTTTAAACATAAAACGTCTCATAACTGACTTCGTTATCTTTCAAGGTTTCTCACGTTATGATATTGAACTCATTTGGAAACAGTCAGGTATAACATTACCTTTTGAAGAAATTTGGGAAGCATATAAGTCTCTCATTTCTCCTCGTTCATACCTTGAGATTCATATCATGACTAATACCATTAAAGTCAAAAATATTCCATGGGAACGACCAACATTGTTTTAAAGTTTAACCTTCAATTGACTGATGGTAAACAAATTCCATGCATCTCTGTCGCCATTTCTGTTAATATTTTTGCTGTCATTCATATCATCCACTTCCCCATCCGTTAGCTTTTGAGGATATGCGTTAGAATAGCTGTTCTTAAATGAAGGCTTTTCACCTTTGAGAGCATAAACTCTATAACTTTCTGCATACTTTATGTTTGAACCTCCTGAGCCATCATTGACATAAATTTTTATAGGCTTCCACCCTTTGTTCATGTTCCTGCTTTTCCCTTAGCTCTTTTGTTCAGTAGTTCTACATCTTTATACACAGCTCCTGTCTCAGTGAATTCAACAATATTTTCATTCGTTAGCTTTACATTCAAACCCTTGTCGAGTATATTGTTCATTTCATATATAAAAGGTTTTTATTCTATATGAAATGAGAAGCAAATCCATCTTAGCTGGTGCCGTTAATGTTCCAATTGAACCAACATCAAATGTTGACTCACGAACGACAAACAATATTGTCATAAAGAACTATAGTTCAGAGTGTTTGAAAGAACCAGAACCAGAGCTGAAATCCGTGAATTTAAACTCAGCTTCAAACGCTAACGCTACATCAGATGTTAAGTTAGAGTATCCACCACTGGACCAAATTCTTTCAAGAGAAGCCAACGACAACCCTTACACAAATGTTCAAACAAATCCTTCAGATAACGTAGACCATTACCTTCTTCAGTTATACCAAACAATTTTACTCAAAGACGATAAGAAGCTTTTGACAAATCTTATAAGCAAGAACCAAATAATTCTAACAAAGGAGGACCTTGAAAATGCTATCTCACGAATAACAGGGAAACAATGTGTCATTGACTATCTCGACCCTGAAATCGAATGCTGTGGTCAAACGCCACTATTCATGAAAATAGGTAACATCCGCATCATTGAAACACCAGGAACTACAGGAGTTGAGTTTAAGTATAAATATTCGACGAGAATATACAAAACTATCTACTGACTATAAGCTTTGTTTGAAATATGTTTTAGTAAATTAAAGCAGTCAGGAGGGCTCTTTGAGCCCATCTTGGCGCTTTGCGCCGTCAGTCAAAAAAAATTTCAAGTTAGCAATTTGTAATATCTATCCAAAACTTCTTCAACAGTATCGAACTCATCTTCATAATGCAAACCTAATCTTATTGACTTGGTGCAGTTTTCACTAACACAATATTTTTCTGTTCTCTTGACTGACATAACTAATTCATTTGTTTCATCAAACAGCAACAACCAAAGTTCATGACCTAATACATAACATTCATACTTTATATTTTTAGCTCTGAGTTCTCTTGTAAGCTGTTGCATTTAATATTTTCTAAAAAGTCAACTTCAACAGTCATTCGCGCTGGTGCCTTCAGTTCTACAGGCTCTCCTTGAAAGTCAACAAGTCTGAATTGCATGTCTTTCAAATTATGAGGACTAATGCGAACCCATTTACCTAAATGAGTTGCTATGACAGGAACGTTTGGAATGAACATTGAATTGACTGCATAACAGAAGGATTTATATTCTACTGAACCTTTACTATTAACTCCTGAAATGCCTGTGACATTAGCTATTTTAGACTCAATGTACAAACAATTGCCATAACATACATATGGAACAGATTTCATCTCAATCGTTTTGTCAACACTTTTCAAAGGAAATGTCATATGGTATGCTCCCAAAGCAATTGTACTCTATGACTCATTCGTGTTATCTTAAACTCCTTCGCATAACTGAACTTCAAAACTCCTGCAATAAGTTTAACATTCATTAAGTTTTCTTCGTTATCCTTGTTTATTGTAGTATTTATGAGAGCATTTAACACTCCAGCTAATGTTTCCATCTTATATTCTACATTATTGTGAAATCTTATTTCGTGCTTCTTTCCATCTATTTCAATCTCCATGAAATCTGTTTCATCTGTTATAACGAATGAAGCGATAGTATTGAAGTCAACCATTCTGAATGCAAGCGCCTCATTCTGTAGACCTAAGTTTGTTTGTAGCTTTACTGTCCCGTATTCATTTGGGTCTGTACTTTGCAAATAGAACAACATTTTTATACTCATTAAAATATGAGTTATAGCTGCATATGCGTATGAAGCTGACAGAGCTAAACGTTTATATTTTGGTCAATACTCTCTCACACTTACTGACAAATATATTGTTATACTGATGGAAATACTGAGAAATACATAACATGGAAGGACTATGAAAAGTTTGACCCTATTTTAACTCCATGTACTATGCCGTTTATAAAGGACGGTGAAATTATTGAAAAAGATAATACAACCGTATATAGGTCTGTTTATGAAGCATTAGAATATATGTTGAATCATAACCCAAAAAGATTTGACCCAAGCACTACACCATGTGCAATGCCTTTTATTAAGGACGGTGAAATCGTAAGAGTTCCGGATTCAACGGTTTACACAGCTGTTCAAAACAGTTTACAAAACATTTTAGCGAATATCTTTAATTCAGAAACTACAGAAATAAAATTACCATATATAACAGATGCTAAAGAAATTAAATCAAAACGACAACATTATTTACGTCACTTAATGATTTAATGACTTATATCATTAATATTCCTGCACCAACTACAGCATTTGATCCAAACTCGACGGTTTGCAGTGTACCTTTCATAAATGACAGTTCATTAATTACTTTAAGGGATTCGACAGTAAATGAATCATTAAAGGGTCATTAATGAAAATCATTGATTTTAATTCATCACGAATACATATAATTCATTCATTAATGTTTCATATGCTTCTAAAGAAGGTGAGCCAAAAACTATCGATAAAAGCGGTGTATGAAATAAAGCATCAACGACGAATTGAATTCGTTAACTTTGACGGTGATAGTTTCGTTAATGAATAACATCGGGGAAAACAATTTTAACGAAAGAATACTTAAATCTCATGTTAGTGAGTTCGTTGAAATTGAAAAAGAAGGTGGAAGTAAGTTCGATCC